AAGTATTCCTGCACTTGCGCACACTCTATGCGCATCGTAAAGGTCTTACGCGCACGCGTAACGCCTAGGCACATTGTCAACGCGGCGCATGCGCAGAAAGTTTTTAGTTTTGAGGTCCGGATTATAGATCATTCCGAATTATGGGTGTCCGAATTAACGACTTTTGACTGTATTTCGCAGTTGATATCATGATTAGGAATTGCATACGGACGTTAAAGGCAACCTGGATTTTGAGCTTCTGGCCATTAGTGCAACAACAATGAACCTTTTTTGAACGCACGAATATTAACACAGGCAGTTGTAAGAGCTTCATTTTAGGGTGGGAGAGAAGAGAGGTATTTTTAACATAACGAAATATTTGATTGATGAGAGAAATCAAAGAAAAATTGCATGAGATTTTCATCAAATGAGTTTAGCATGGGGGAAAAAAGGAAATCAATTCTTTGAAAGCAACTAGGCTTTCCACACAACATGTATAAAACCAAATTTATAAATTTGGTCTAAAAATGCAAACATGGCTACTATATTTATAAATGGAATTTTCGAAATTCCAGCTCCCTTCGGATACTGATTGCATCGCTCTCTCCGATTTTGATCTATCATGTCATAAAAACTCAAGTTGCCTAAGGCTATGATTCCTCTTCCCCATCTGCAATTCATTTTAATACTCATTGACTTGCAATTACTGGATATTTTGTTAATTGAGGGCATCAGCATGGTTCTCCTCTAATTCGACGGGTAATTGCATTTTTGTTCCGAAATGTAAAATCGAAAAAAATTGATTTTTAAGTCTAGATTAATAATGACAAATTCTCGCAGACAAAAGAGAGAGAACGGAAGTGCCTTCCTTTAGTTCCTTCCGGTAAAGTTCTTTGACAGCAATTAACAGATATTTAACGGTTTTTATTGACAATTCTTATTACTTCCCATACGACTTCCTGTTTAACTAAAACTGATTTTTGTAATTCTACTAATCAAAAACAGATCTTATTTGCTAAACTTCAAATTACAGAAAAGCCTATGGTTTCTTAAAAGGAGAATTTTGTTAACTGGTAAAAAGCATTAAAACTCCAGTTAACAAAAATTCCTACACTATTGGTATTGATATTAATTAGAATTTTACTCTGTGGTGGGGTTGCCATGACAACGGGTTCGTACAATTTAAAGTTCCTTTCCACTGTTAAAAGATGGGCTTGTGAAAACTGAAAGTTCTTGAAGAATGCTACGAATATTTATATCAAAACTATTCAAAATCACCGATCGGGAGTTACCGGCCGATCGCGATCTGTTAAGTTACTAGAATATTATATTTTCTCTTGTGACGGTAGATCGTCAGATCGAAGAGCAGGACTGCTCACGCTCACGAAAAGGTTGTGCGTCCTTGTGTATATAGCAAAGTCATCTCTCAAATTACGCGAATTCACTGTACGCGGACAGAAAATAATATCTTAATATATATTGAAATTATTATATATCAGAAAGTCCCCAGTTATTTAATTGTACTTACTTAAGCACAAAATTCTGATCTTTTATTGGTTAATCTGCAGGCAACATAATAAGATTATCCACGAGTTAGCAACAATTCACGCAAATAAATATAAATAAACTTATTTTCTGAGAATATAATATAGACAAAATCGTAGGCCGGGAAGGGGGATCCAATTATAGTTAAATATCGATCCAATTTAATTTTACTATTCGCCTTTTTCAAAAGAATTAACTTTCTTCCGCTCTGTTATTTTTTTTAGTTCACAAAATTTCATTCATTTGCTTCTACTTCAAAGCTATTTATTTCTGAAGCTGAAGCTTCATAACCTCCCTTGCTGCCCCCCCCAAAAAAAAATGGCACTTGAAAAGTTTGATAGCTATTATTGGCAAAAAATGATTTTTTATAAATTCAGTGGGCCAGCATAAAAGGTGCTTTTTATAACATTGTACCCTCTAAAAACCCAACTTTACTACATCATAGTCTGTAATGACTGCATGATGGAGTAATTATCAGTTACAGATGTCGTGATAAGGAATGCTATAACTGATACATCCTCTATTGCTTTACTTAAAAAAAAAAAAAAAAAAGAAAAAAAAGAAAGAAAAAGAAAGAAAGAAAGAAATATTGTATCCTTTATTTTCGTTGATAATGGAAAAAAGTTTAAAATAATTCAAGGCAAATATTATCAAAGTACATTTCAAATTAACATCTTGACAGATTTTATGTTACACAGATAAAATTTTTTATCTAAATATACAGATTTCATTATCGAATAACAACGAACGAAATTTCCTTTTTCAATTTTTTAACACTTTTTTTCCATTTTAATATTTATTTTATATTCTTCACACTTCTTTAAAAAAGTAACCTTTACTTTTCAATTCGTCTTCTTTTTCTCTTTTATTGTTTTTTAAAATTAAATTTTGCTTTTATACCAACACCCATTTAACTTTTTTTGTTAGAATTTTCAGATATTAACATGTGCTTCTAATTCATTTGTATTTAATCTTCAAATTTCTTTACTTATTTAACTTTTTTCTTTTTTAACTTTCAATGAAAATTTCATATGAAGAGCTTTCACTCATATGTATGACATAAATGAGGTGAATTTGTTTTAATTTATTCCTGTTTTTAAAATTAGCGAATAGGATATCAGACATCCCTTGCCATAGTACTTCTTCCCTCCTCCCACACACTGTGTTTAAGCAGTATTATTACTTATTTACTTCCAAAAACATTATTCTTTATTCACTAATTAATTCGTTATTCTTTATCGTCTCCGATTTTAAAATAACCATCAGCTTAGGTATCAAAGCTATTGGAGAACATGTATCGTTTATCATCAAATGCACTCAAGCTCTATGGTACTAATTTTATGACCTTTCAATCTAATTTTCTTTGTTGTCACTCAGGAATGTTATTACGAATTAACGAGGCATTTTTTGCAATCATCACATGTGATCATGCTCTTCACAATACATCTCAATATTTCTTTAGCAGTTTTTTTTTTCCGCTTCTATGTCCTATATAAATGTCTGTGAGATATACAAGTATCTGTCACTTCTCTGAAAGATATAATTTATATTCACTATTAATTCTATAAATTCATAATGAAAGTTGTACATCAGAGTTTTACTAATATCCATTATGTAGCCTCAGTGCTTAATTGGATCACTTAATTTAGGTGCTTCTTCATGTTTACTGCAGCAAAATTATCAGTAAAAATCACAAAAGCTTTAAAAGCGGGAGATGCAATAAGTTTTTAAAAACATTTTTCATTCTTCACTAATTGTATATTGACGAAATTTCTCAAGTTTTCTGTTGTTTTTCCACACACAGAATTGTTCATTAATTTTAAAAACCCTTTTTCAAATTAATATTTTTATCAGCTTCCACTGCTCTGCACTGAATTTTGTATACGATTTCATCGAAGTTTCTCGCCTGAATTCAATAATTCAATTAAAACTTTTTTATCAGATTCATTTCCAACTTAATATATTGCTTTAAGTTTTTTGAATGATGCAGACAAACAAAAATCTGTGTCAGGTGTGCTGCGTTAACCATGAGGCCGATTATTATCGGCCAGGAGGGTTGCAGCATACTCATAAAGTAAACTAAACTAAACCTTATATACTTCCCCTTTTTAAAGGGCAACTGGGGGGGGGTAGGGAAACCCAATCACCAAATTCAGGTGCTGAAGAATCATCATCCACTATCTTTTAGTTCGAGCACCATTGTAGAGACATTAGGTATTTCTGAAGCAGGAGACATGAAAAATGTGCAATACCTTCACCGGAACTCGAACCTGGACCTTTTGAATACGTGCCAAAAGTGCCAACTGTTACACCACAAAGGCCTTCCTTTCATTATTCCTTATAACATAAATTGGAAAATATAGTATAACATAAATTGGAAACAAGTTTCATAACAATTCCAGGAAATAATTCATTCTGACTTTCAAGCCTCTGTATGCAATAAGAAGAAAGTATAGCAAGATTGATCTGTAATTGTTCTGGCACCGAAGTGTAGTTCATTATGAACATCAGGAAGTTAATTTTGGACATTCCAAATCTAATTCTAATACGTAACCATATTTTCCATTATCACCAATATCATCAATTCTAAATAAGTTGTATTTTTTCCCCAGATAGCCATCTTAATTTATATGTTGGAAGTGGTTGAAGCATGGTCCAACCATACAAATTATTAGCATTTAAGTATACTATATAAGTATTATCACCTTCTAGACAGCCGTTGTTATAATATTTATTAGTATCTTTACTATCGCAATTTTTAATAGTACTCACTCCTCCCCCCAAAAGAAAACAGATGTGTATCTGGATCTGTCAGAAGTTTCAATTCAGTTCGCCTTTAAGCAAGTTTGCTAAGCTAATCCAGGTGCCATATACCCATGGAAAGGATCACACTGACAATAATTCAAGTAACGTTTTTGGAAATGCAAGCAAGTAACAGAACATTTGTTTTCATACACAAACCATTATAATTTCCTACAGTTTTTATATCAAAAGTTTTCCACACATTCTGAGAATGATTATAGTCACTTTTGAAAGAGCTTCAACGGTTAAGTCAATAAGAAATGCATAACGATGAGATAGGCTTTCTTCCTTACATCATTTAATTACTGTCAATGTAATGGTAAGATAATTGTAAATGTAACTGTAATCACTTTTTCATAATTGGAGAGCTAATTTTGTTGCTGTCTTTTAAATGATCTCTCAAGATATCAAACTGTTCATCAAGATTTCCAACCAGTTTTTCCAATAATGTGGACATGAACTGGAAGGAATTCAAAAACTATAATTTTTCTAATGAAAAGGTAATGTATTGCTTCCTTTCTTGCACAATGCAACTGACATTTCATGGTTTATTATACTAGATCCTTGCATGTTCAAATGAGCATCATAATTCTTCAACCCATGAAAAATAACTGGAATTTTTTAGTTTAAAATTCATATTTCATCTTCCATGCATTGTCCATGATATTTTCCCATCATAAGACTATGACACATTCTTGACTTGACACACATTGTTGAAGAAAATGATCAACACCACCATTCTCTCTGTAAACCACAGGTTCTTGGAATGTTCTTTCATCAGGACCTATAATCAAAAATCAGTAGCCTCATGGAAAATGGTGAGCTATAATTACTGAATGAGAAGTGTCTGAAATTTTCCTAAATGTGTCAGTTTCATAATCTGCATGTATGACAAAAGGCATTAAATGCGTCAGTTTCAAAATCTGCACGTATGACAAACGGCACTTTCAGCTGAAACTCATACTTTTCCAACAGCAACCATTTCTCATCTTCTAAGATAAAAGTGTATTTAATAAATTGTTGGTTTTCAGTTTCCCTGCTTTCTTTGATTACTTCAATGCCTTTGTCTAGGGAAGTGGAAAAAAAAGAAAATAAAGTGAAGATAAAAAAAGTAGATCAAAAGATCTTCTGAGATCAAAAGCAGAAAATTCAAATAATTTTGTTCTCACTGTTCTTCCAAAAATTCTCCAAAGATAAGAAATTCATCACAAATATCCTATAAAATATGTCCATTAAGTACTAATACCATTGAAGACACTTTTCAGAAAATTTTATGTCTATAAATCTTGCCTCTGAGATGCAAGGTCTAATATCTGAAAGAAACATAATCCCTACCAATTCTAAAACAGCAAAAATCCAGAAGATCTAGGGAAAGGTAATTAAGAAAAAGAAGTGTAAAGTAAATTCTCAAGAGAAAACTGATGTCCATTTAATTATTCTGAAACAATCACATTGGAAAAAACTCTTATCATGAAAAAATATAAAAGAAGACAAATGAAATTAATTTTTAAATAATTACAATAGCATTTTTGCTTTTTCTAAAAAGTGTTTCACAAACTGTGCTTTATAGCATTTATTATACTGTTTATTATTTTAAATCAAAATATTTTTAAATTCCCAAAATGAAAAGTATTGCCACTTTAAAATATGGCAGAAGAAATTAAAAATACTTCCTTGTATTTCTTAAATAATTTTATATAGTATCATTATTATGATTATTAATGTTAATGTGTTTCTAAAAAATCATCCCAATGTTGCAAATCCTGAAATGAAAAATTGTTACACAAATTGATCTCAAAATTGCCAAAATATCAAATTTAGGCAGAATAAAAATACTCATATCCCCAAAAGGAAAAATTGTTTTTGATGCAATGTTTTCATTCACTCGCACAAAAAAAAAAAAAAAAAAAAAAAAAAAAAAAGAGGAGGAGAGAATAAAAAAAAGGGGGATTTTAAATTATGTCCAAAGGGGCATTTTTTAACATTTTGCGTTTTACCATTATTTATTAAATATCATGTTCTTTGCACTTAAATCCTAAAATTCAATTCAACAGCAATATCGCAAAATAATTTTAAATTGAGCATATCTTTAGAATTTCCAATACACAGTCTCATGTGCTGGAGATAAAAATGTTTTTTCTGTACAACATTGCCATTGCTCGCTTTTAAATCCTTGAGTTTGTTAATCAAAAATTCGTTAAAATTTTACAACGTATAAAACTGATAATAAAACAAATTCCAAATATCAAATTTGGGCTTCCAGATGCCCATATTCGCACTAGGATTCCGTCATTAAAAATTGGATGGCTTTAGGTATTGTTGTTTTATCCCAATGCGAGAAACATACATACATTTATGCAGATTCTTCATTATTTAATTTCTTCAAATATAACACAGGGCAATAATATTTGGTGGCAACAGTTTGAAAAGTGAAACATGGATTTAGAGTGATTCAACACAAAATCGCAAAACAAAAACAATAGTTCCTCAGGGACAAAGTCCCTTTGGACTAAAAAAAAAGAAGCTTTTTCAAAATGTTTATGTTTCAGTCGAAGCAAAGCCTGGTGCCTAAAACTCGAGTATCCACCATTTATATTAAGAAGCAAAAAAGAATTCAAATGTTAATCCATCAAATACATATTTGTAAATGTATTGCCAAAAATGTATTCCTCCAAAATGTTAACAATCGTGAAAAAACAAACAGATATATCAGATGAGTAAAATCAAGGATTTTTAAGGACCAAAAATTGTTTTCAAAAAACCTATGGAATTTTAAGTGCTTTTAAGGACCCTATGACTAATTCAATAAAATGAAATCTATTTTATTAAAAAACAATGCACAGATTCCAAAGATCTCGAAAGGTTTTTGCTTAATTCTAATACCAACTTTGCATGAATATTCGTTAGTAAACTCATATGTCTTGAAAAAACACTCAGGACCGCCACTAAGCTTATTGCTGCTGGTGCAATCTCTGCAGATTGTAAATTCTGAAAATTTTACCAACACCCCAAAACTGCTGACCAGTACCTTCTTAAAAAAAAAAAAAAAAAAAAAAAAAAAATTGCCATCCCAAAATTTTATTGTTTTGTGTTCCTCCAAACCCTAAAAATTTTGCAGCATCTTAACTGAGATGCATTGGTTGTTCTAGCATATGTAAAGACTATGCATATTTTCTAAAAAACACTATAAATATATTTATTGTTGTCTCTCCACATTCATAAAACTTTTTGAACACATTTCCATACTCATATTCTTACAACTTTTTAAATGATTTTTATAATTAGACTAACAATAATACTGGTAATTTCAAAACAGAAAATTTTATTCCCTCCCTAAAAACATTCACTTATGCTCAAATATTTTGCTAATGGTTTGCAGCTAGTTTGTTAATTAATTCTTTTCAACCAGTGATGTTGGATACATCTTTAGAGTCTAACGTTACAAATGGAGACAAAGAAATACACAGAGATTCAATCTGGATTAACATACATTGCTGGCCATTAAAATTGCAACACCATGAAGGAAAGCAAATACAAAAAATATATTTATTAGACGTAAACAGTATGGCATGAAGACAAAACGATTAAATGTGTAAGCACTTTGGAGGTTTACAGGGGTGCGAAATTAGCAGAAACAGCTGCCACTCCTGGTCGATAAAACGGCCCTTACCCCAATAGGCATGGAGTCAAACTGGGCTTGGATGACAGAAATGGGCAATTCAATCCATGCTGCTTCAAGTCTATGCCACACTTCATCAATCATATTAGTTGGAGATGGGTGGTGGGATAGTCCCTCAGCAACTCATGAGCAGATTTTTCAATGGGTGACAGATCTGGTGACCATGTAGGCCAGGGCGGCAATTGAATACCCTGTGTATCGAGGAAGATCAGAACACGACATGCAACATGTGGTCTTGCATTATCTTGTAGGAACATGGCATTTGAGGGCCTCAAAGAAAGAGCACAACCACTGGACATAAGATGCCAGAAATGTAGCCATTTCCCTTCAAATTACTGTCGATCTGAACTAAAGATGTGCGTGTCATGTACCCAATGGCTGCCAAACCATCACACCAGGTACAGGGCCCCTATGCCGATATCGAATGCAAGCAAACGATGTGCAGTCTCCTTGTACACTCCAGACACGTATACAGCCATCAGAATATTGCATATAGAACTGGGATTCGCTTGAAAAGGTTACATTGTGCCTCTCCTGCACCCAGCTTTGTCATTTGGCACACCAGAATTGCCGTCTCTCTCTATGCTGCATTGTCAAGGTAAACCAAAGTAATGGTCACCCTGCTGATAGTTCATGCTGCTGCAAACGTGAATGTACCTTACAAGCTGATACTGGGAGTGCTGCAAACATGCCCATTTCCTGGCTAATGGTCCGAGATGTGATCGTACGATTTTGCAGGGCTGACTTTACAATATGTCTGTTTTCTCTCACGTTAGTCATGGAAGGGCACTGAGATTCTGCATGCCATTCAGTATGACCCTCAGCAATCCATTGATTCCATATTCGCATGACAGTGGTTAGATGTTGACCAGTGCAACCGGCGATATCACGGAACGATAATCAACACTTTCGATAGGCATCGATCCTACCATTATCGAATTTCGAAACTTGCTGGTAAGCATTTCCTCTTCTTATTCGAGGCATAACACGATATTCTGACCAAACTCCAACCTTACAAAAGCACTTTCTGAATGAAATCCACTGCACAACTTTTCTTTTATACAGTGCTTCAGATGTCGTTTCTCCCTCCTGCATAATCTAAATGCGCTGAAATACTAATCATTTGCATATCCCAACTTCTTCCTTTCATGTGATTTTGACATACGTCAGATCATTTCTTCCTGGTGTTGCAATTTTAATGGCCAGCAATGTATATTAAGCACAAAATTATTATGAACATGGTAAGGTAAACAAACACAATGACAACTATTAGAAACATCACCAGAAATAGAAAAGTAAAAACCATGTTGTCACACACATTGCAAAATACAATGGGAAATATAATCATGAATTAAAAGTTATTTGCATCACATCTTTCCTCCACAATTACAGTTTTTATAAATATCCTCTGAACTGTATTGCATTTAAAAGATTTGCCATTAATAATCAGATGTATATATATATATAATATAGATGTTTATATATATATATATATGTATTTGATATATATATATATACCAAACTCCATGTTAAAATAAAATTTTCAAGACTAAACTTTTAGAGAAAATTCCACTTATTCTTTGTAATCTTAAGAAATATACTTCCTTACTATATCAGTGCTATGTAATCGATTATTTTCTCCAGTGATTCTAAAATTTTATGAGAATATGTGAAGACAACAACATTGTAAAACTAATAACTATCCAACATTTAATTGAAAAAAAAGAATGTTCTATTATGATGTCTTAAAGACAAGAGTTACTCTCCATAGAACTGAAATTAATGCATCAGTATATTCTGCTTCAAACTCATTCTTAACACAAATGTGTTCAAGTAATATCACTTGTGAATGGGTCAAGTAATATCACTTAAAGCTTGAAGAAAGTTTAAATTTCTTGCAACCTATTATGGTTAATTAACAACTACAGGAATGGTTAAAACTAATTCTGATGGTCGTATACGTGTTACAGCTGATACAGTATGAGCTCATCTAATCTGCTTGAAAAACCGGTTATATTCAAATAGCATGCCATCTAAAAAAAAAAAAAAAAAAAAAAAAAAATTAAATATTACTTAAAAATTTACTGGAAGGTATTATGTCCAAAAGTACTAAAATTCTATACTTTTGCAATTCATGTGATTTCTTTGGCTTCATATCCAGCTGATGAAACTCCTTTACAACTACACATATGTATTAATTACTCTCTATGTCTCTGCAATTTTGAATCATTGATCAAAGAATCTTTGTATTATCTGTTGAATTCCCAAGATAAAAAGTTAGAAACTCAGGAAATAACCTTAACTCAGTTACCATACACATAATCACTTTAAATAATGACTCAAAATTTTCACAAGCACTTTGACAAGCTAACATATCTGCATTATGAGCACTAAAATATGAACATAATATGCATAATGTAAGCATACTATTCTAGAGAAAATGGGACAGTTATTATTTACTGTGATAACCAATCTATAAAAACTTTATCTTTTTCATGTCTTGAAAGTGCAACTTAGAATATATATCGGATTTATATGTAGTACTGTTCTAGCATACATTTCCTGACAAAACACAGAACTTCTGAAATGTTATGCTGAATTTTCCGCCTCAAGCTATGGCTAAATACCAAATTTTGTACTAATAATTTTACATTTATTTGCATCTGAAATCTGACATCAAAAATAATTTTACTTAAAGAACTTCTAATTGACACTAACCTTGATTCTTTTTTTAAATCTAATGAAACCCCCTTCAGAACATGCAGCAATTTTTATTTTAATGTACCAACACACACAAAAGAGGCCCCAAAAAGGGCGGGAAAACAAAAATTACACGATGCCACATCAGGTAAAAACAGAACTTATGGAGCCCTATTTGTTAAATTTCTGGCAAAAAAAATTCATGAAAATTTTTATCAGTGTGATCACCATTATTATGGTGCAAAATCCATGAGTAAGTTCACTACTTAATTGTTTTCTATAAAATTGCCACACACAAATGACCAAAAGACACTCAAATAATATTCTGTGTTAACAGTCTGGTCAGCTAGCAGAAATTCATTATGCATATCATAACAGTTTAAGAAAATAGTCAACATTGCCTTAACTTTCGACAGATTTCAACATGGTCTTTTTGGTCTTGCTTCCAGTTTTGTACACTATGACTGCTCAAGTTTCTCTGTCTTCGAAAGCACAGTGCCATGTTTCAGCAGTCAATAACATGCTGTATGAAGGAAATCACCCTGAAAAAAGCATCTCATGTAGCCCTTGAATATGTTGCTGTTTTCAGAGTAACCCAAGAAGCAATGCATTGTAAGCAAAAATAATCTTTCAAACTTGCTAACAAGTTCCAAATGATATAAAAACTTGGTCAATAATATCTCTATTTGTTAAACAATGAGCATTAAGCGCCAGATCTCTGACCTGATTGGCCTATTGCTCAGTTAAAATTGGTAGCTTACCACACCTCTTCAATGCATTTCCCCCCTTCTTTAAACATCTCATACCACTCAAAATGTTTTATTTTTGTTTAAATGCTGTTCTTAAAAGCTTTCTGCAACATTTCAGATATTTTTGGAGCAGAAATTCTATTTCAAAAATAAAATTTAATGCATGTTCTTTGATCAATCTCATTTCTTATTTTGAAAATCATCAAAGAAAACAAAACAGGAATTGTTGCTAGATATCAAAGGTGCAATAACTTCTGAAAAAAACCGCCAATTTCTTGTATATGCATATTTTAAGACTCACTCCTGATACTTTTGGATCTAGCAAAAGTAACAACCACTATTAAGTTTTACAAGATAAACAGCATTTTAAACACACTGTTTAAAATATCATTTCACAAGCTTCATTACTACATGCTTGCGATTTTCAGTAAGAAATCTACAATTGCCAGCACGAAATCTTGCCAACTCCACATTATAAAATTTATACTTACTTAATTCTGGAATGATGCAATTAAAAAAATATTTACTTTTGAATTGCATAATTCCAGAACTGAGCATTTTATTACTTTCAAAATGTGCACAAATTTATGGACTGACACAATATATGCATATACTATAATGTGCAAAAGAAGATTTTACATAAAATGGGCACTAATACAGTAAACTGGTTGTTAAATAATTTGAAGTCCACGGTTGTTAAATAATTTGAAGTCCACCAATTATCTTACATAAAATGGTATTACTTACCAGGCTATTAGGGATTAAATTCCCTATAAACATAATGCCTCCCAAAAAATTTGAAAAGCTATAGATGTTCCTAACATCAAAGCTTTGCTTACCAAATCAGCAGTAAAAAGCATATTAAAAAAATGGAAAGTGCAGCTTACCAGAAGAATATGATGATGAGGAAGGTCGAGATGCTGAATATTGGTCCCTTCTGGTATTAGATGAATTATGCCCGATAATGGGCGGATATTGGTTACGTCCTGCACTGGGTGGATATTGGTTACGTCCTCCACTGGGTGGATATTCGTTACGTCCTCCACTGGGTGGATATTCGTTACGTCCTGCACTGGGTGGATATTCGTTACGTCCTGCACTGGGTGGATACTGATTGTGTCCTGCACCAGGTGGATATTGGCTGCGTCCTGCACTTGGCGGGTATTGATCATGTGCTCCATTACTAGGTGGATATCGGTTATGCCCTGCACTGGATGGATATCGATCCTGTCCTGCATTTTGGGAGTATCGGTCCCGTCCTGCCCCAGATGAATACCGATCACGTCCACCATAACTGTTTGGAGGAGGAACATTACCATAACCTGCACTTCTGCCTCCTAAACTGTGGCTAAAGTGAGTGGGGAAAAAAAATTCTTTAATGTCACACTTGCTCAAAATTTGCAAGAAAGAATATATACTACAAAGTCATTATTTTAATCCTTAGACATGTAAACAAAACAGATAATTCTCCTCATCTTATGTTTTTGTTTGGCTTAATGTATTAAGCTATGGAAACAAACCTTGCCGCTCAGTGTCACAAAATTGATACTTTTTTAACGTGATATAAATTTATCTTTCTTCTAAACTAAAGTTCTGTTCAAAGAATATGGGATGTCACATATTTTATAAGAAAGCGTTTTTGCTCAAACAATACAAGTGTTGCAACAGATCGCGAGGGTTGACAAGTTGATTTCTCCTTTTCAATTTTTTTGGGAAAGGTACAAGTAAGTACCTTTCAATTACCAGGGCAAACCTAAAGCAGAAAATTTTACTCCCATAAACACAGAAGCCATCCACATGACTGTTTTCAAGAGTAGCATTTATGCACAAATTAAAAAAAAAAAAAAAAAAAGTAGAAAAACCTGAAAGTTTTTCAGATTTTATATTACGCTCAAAGGGGCTTTTACCATTTTGCATGTCATCTTTATTTATTAAATATCACATTCTTCACACTCAAACTATAAAATTCAATTCAACAGCAATATCACAGAATAAGTTTAAAAAGGCATTTCTTTAGAATTTTCAGTACACAGTCTTGCATGCTGAAGATAAAAATGCCCCCTTCCATAACAGTGTAGCTGTTGCTCGCTTTGAAATCGTTAAGTTTTTGTTAATAAAAAATCTGGTAAAAGTTTTACAAAATATGAAACAGATAATATATCAAATTAAAAATTTGGGCTTCCAGATGCCCATATTCGGGTGGAGACGTACGTTATTCAATATTTGATAGCTCTAGGTACCATTGTTTTATCTCAATGCAAGAAACATACACACATTTATGCAGATTCTTCATTATTTAATATCTTTAATTATAATACAGATGATAATATTTGGTGGCAACAATTTGAGAAGTGAAATGCCATAAAATGCCACAACAAAATTAATAGCCCTTCTGGGCTATCGCTCTTTGAGCTAAAAAAGAAAGAAAAAATAAAATCTGAAACCTTTCAGATTTTATATTACTCCCCAAAGGGCAATTTTTTCATTTATATACACATATACATTTCGAGAGCATTTGGGTAGCACGTCTATTTGAGAGCATCTACCTTTGGGCTAAAAATATTTAAAAACAGCACATCCTCAGAATTTCTGATAAACAGGCTTGCGTGCTGGAGATAAAAATGTTTCTTTCCGTGCAGCATTGTCACCGCTCGTTTTGAAATTGTTGAGTTTGTTAATCAAAGATTCGTAATATTTTATAAAATAAGAAACTGACAATAAAGCAAATTTGAAATCCCAAATTCAGGGTTCTAAGTGCCCATAATTTAGGTGAAGGACTATATTATTCAGACTCTGTTGGCTCTAGGTACCATTGTTTCTTTCGCAATGCGAGAAACATACATACATTCATGCAGATTTCTCACTATTTAATTTCTTTAAATACAATACAGGGTGATAATGTTTGGTGGCAACAATCTGAGAAGTGAAATGGACATTTATAATGTAAAAGGCTGTTTTGAGACTGACAGTCCTTCTGAGGTAATGCCCCTTTGGGCTTGAAAAATAAATAAATAAATAAATAAATAAAAAGCTCAGACGTAATCTGGTTTTGCAAAGGAATACAGCACCTTTTATATGACTATTACTATATTTGCACAAAATAAAAAGATGTTTAACATCAGACCTATCAAGAAAATGGTTGTCAAAATCATATTTTAATCACATAAAAGAATTCTCCTTACTTCGATTTAAACAAATGCAACATACCTTTGCTTTGGTTTAAATGAAAATACACACACCTGTTGGTAAAGGAATTTTCAAAGAACCAGAAATAAATGAGTTTATAGGAAACATTGATTGATTAAATTACTTCAACCAAAGGCAATAACAATATTTTTCATTCTATATGTGGCAAGAACCGGTTTATTTCTAGTATATCATAATAAAGAATTTGTCACCACAATAAAGCCACAATTCGTGAAATAATTAAGAATTTCATGATGTGAAATTCAGGTGAAATGTATCAGCAAATTCCCAAAAATTAAGATAATGTGTCCCTGTATGTCATCAACGATGAAGACAAACATGCTTACAAAATGGGAGAATCCCCAATCACCAGCCTCATAGTCCAGATCTCTTATCATATGAATTCACTTTCAAGCCACGAAAAAAAAAAAAAAAAAAAAAGCAACCAAAAGTACAACATTGCACATTGGACAATGATATGAAGATAGTTGCATTGACCTCTTTTTTGCAATAAACAAACAAACAAACAAAAATCACATTTGACTTTTTTTGAGTTACCCAGACAGAATGGTAGTTTGGGGAGCCTGGCTGCAATACCGAAGGGCCCAGGTTTGAATCCTGGAAAAGGCATTGGATGTAAAATTGTCTGTTCCTTCATAGGAGGAAACTGTGGACACCTATTAGGTGTCTCCACAATAAAATGGACACCACTTCTGGTCTTCTGGTCTTAGTAGCGTGCCAATGTCATTACAGGCCAACGCCATTATCATATGAATTCACTTTCAAGCCACAGAAAAAGCACCCAAAAGTACAATATTCCACATTGGACAATAATATGAAGATAGTTGCATTGACCTCTTAAAGACATTCAACCTCTTTTGAGCCACCAAGACGGTATAGTGGTTAGGGAAGCCTGATTGAGGTACCAAAAGGCCCAGGTTCGAATCCTAGAAAAGGCATGGATGTAAAACTGTCTGTTCCTTCATAGGAGGTAACAATAGCCACCAATTAGGTGCCTCCACAATAAAATGGCCACCACTTCTGACCTTAGAAGTGGCCAATGCCATTATAAGCAAGTGCCTGCCATTGGGAAGAGGGGACCTTTTTTTGACAATAATATGAGAGCTGATTTTGTATAAATTGAGAAAAATCTACTGAACTATCCTTCAATAGAAACCTTTTTGTTATTTTTTGTACACACACATCAGTCTTTTCCATGTTAATCGATAATTCAATTGCATGAAGCTCATCATCACAGCAAGATCCACTTCCACTAAAGCTAATACGCATATCTGATTTATTATCAACATTTCATAGCTAACTTAGTATATCTGAAATTATCAAAAAGAATTCAGAGTACTTATTTTAAAAATGAATGACGTTACCTGAATGAAAACACTCATACTTTTGTCATCCAGAAAAGTTCTTTTATTCCAGAAGAGAATTTTTTGTATGTTAAAAGCCAGCTTTCATAAATTATTAAATTGGTTGCTTTACCGATCCAAGATATAGTAAGCAGGTAGAAGTACAAGTAGGTGAGACACCTGAATTTCATTGTTTTTTGTACAGGTATAATCATACCACACTTACTGTGCAGCTCTGCCTTAATTTTGATGTAGAGCACACTGCTGGATGGCCTGAGGATATCCCAACCACTCTCCCAATCATCAAATCACCCAAGAGCTTGCCTGCATTTTAAATGCTATGGTGTACAGACAATAACAAATATCCATGCCTTATCTGGGATTTGAACCTGAGCTCATCGATATGGTAATTAGCGTCACTATCCACTATACCATTCTGGGTGACAGACATAGTAAGCAACAAAACACTTATTATTTAATGAAATTTATAGCAAGTATTAAATAGCAGACTGTATTTCTTACTATACGAATGATAGATACACTTCTGTCAATGGAAATAAATACTTTAGCTGGCCCACACTTTTGCTTAAGAGTGGGCCACAAATTGGTGATTACCACAATAAGAAAAACAGATTATTGTTAGTAAAGCACTAAAGTCAATTTATGACAAAAATTCAGATACACCATATTTAAGTGGATGCTAGCTGCACTCCACTTCTGAAACAATATACTTGGTGAGGGAATCTTACAATTCTGCCAATAGAGTAGAAATATGTTTATGGAGAAATATAGCAACCTCACAAATTCCAAGGAAAAGGATGAAATGATGAATAATTCTTACTGTTATGTATCTCTTGAGCTGAAAGAAGACAAAAGCGAAACTGCATAATAATACTGTGCGTCACTGTTAATGGATATGAGCTGCCACTTTTCATTTTTTTTTTTTTTTTTTTAAGTATAAAACTCTAACAAAAAAAAGAAAAACTACCATCTGGAAGACTGGTATGAGGTCCAGGTCATGGCTGGATGACAAAATAATTCTGCATGTGTAGAGACAAAAAGCAGGGGAGATAAAAAAATGTGCAATGCCCTTGTCGGGACTGGAACCAACGACCTCTCCAATAAGCGTCGAACATGCTTACCACTACACCATGAAGACATGCTAAGAAGGTGGGAGAAATACCTCATATATTCCCATTTTTAAGAGGTGACTGGGGATTAGAGGAACTAATTGCCAAATTCTGGTGGTGGAAAATCACCATTCACCATCCTTTTTAGTTCGGGTGCCACTGTAGAGACATTAGGTATTTTTTGATAGCAGGAGAGATGAAAAATTAGCAATGCCGTCGCCGGGACTCGAACCATGGACCTTCGAACATGCTGATCACAACACCATAAAGGTATGCTAAGAACGCAGGAGAAATACCTTATACATGGATTGGTTGAAGTCAGTGTGGTTTTTCAAGATCATTATTACACCAACAGTCCATATCGGTTTCTGACAGCTTCCAAAGTCATCTAACCAAAATTATGACAAAGATGATGATATATGAGAAAAGTGACATGATGGCAATATCAGGAGTGATGACTGGAAAACAACAATCACTTAATGCATCCATTAACGATTCCTTTTAAGATGTATCTTTGATGTTTCTAGTGTAACTGGAGGGTTCTAGGAAAAAAGGCCACAGGAATAATGCTCACAGGAAAAAAGCCCACAAAGAAAAAAGGTTACATGGAAAAATGCTCACTTAGAAATATGCTCACATAGAAATATGTTCACATGGAAAAAAGCTCACTGATAAATAATTCACGTAGAAATATCCATACATTAATGAACCAATAATTAATAGATTTAAACATCGTACACCTAGTCTAAGATTCTAAAGAAAATTTATTTAAGTTATCAAAACATATAAGATTGCTATTAATTATGGGCCATTTTGAATTAAGAAAAGAAGAGGAGGAAGGAAGTAAAAATGAAAGAGAATATACAGTGAAAAAATTATTACTATTTTAATTGTTAAAAAAATAAAATGATAATAAATATAAGTTACACATTTTATTAAATTACGTAAAATAGTTAATTTTATCAGCGATTTCATGATAGTTTCTTACATGATTCATGATTACCAAATGTAAGTTTTCGTATTTTTTTTTTTTTTTTTTACTTCAGTACATCCTGTATTTACATTACCCAATAACAAACATTGACTGGCTAAATCTTTGTTTTCAGTCCGTCAAATAAAAACCACATACTGGGATGGCTATCATTAAATGATGAATTTAGTACGTTATGAAAGCATTCGCAACAATTCGTGATTTTAGGAGATTTTTTTTAAGGCTGCCTCATGATGTTCAATTGAGAGGCATCATCAAAGTGCCTAAAAATGTTAATTCTATTCCTAAAATTTTAAACTTCTGCAGAAATTTTACAAATTTTTTGGCTTTAAGCTTAAATAACTACATTCAAACATCAATTTGTATAGATACACATCAAAAGTATCCAAAAATAGAGTAGAAAAGCAAAAATTAATTATTTGCAATTACAGGAAAAAAATGTTGTGCAGAGGCAGTGGTATACACATATTACAGTACCCGCAAAATTTTACTACAGTTTTTCATGCTTTTATTTACCGCTCCTGAGAAAGTTAATATGAGCATTTGTTCATGTAAACATATTTCATGTGAGCTTTTTTCCATGTGAGCTTTTTTTTCTATGTGGGCATATTTCCTCGTGGGCATTTTTCTTGTGAGCTTTTATACCAGTGAGCATTATTCTGTGAGCATTTATCCTGTGGGCATTTTTCTGGTCACTCAACTGGAGGCACTATGGAGTTGCTATCCAATGGGCAGCTAAGAAAATCATCTGTACTTTAGGTGTGAAAGGATATTGATTTCACAGGAACTAATACCTAAAGATACGATGCTGAAAATTTTCGCATCATGTCCATTTCCAGTATGATAGGATGGGCCAGAAAATGACACAATAAATATCTTGCATGATCTCAGAGTGAAAACTCAAGCAACGGACATGACAATGAAATCTCAAAGTAAAAACAAAATTAACAGCTTTCAATTCCAATGAAGGCACTGATTAGAGTATTTCAATTTTAAGATATGCAAAGGCTATTGATGATAAAAAATTGTTTTAAAATAATTCATTTTCTTGACCATAGGCTGCATTCTCCTTTTTGGGGGAAAAAAAAATTAGGACCAAAAAATGTGACCTATATTTGCATAAATAAAGTGATTATTTTTTTTAAAAAAAAAGTAAGCATGAAGTAAGTATTTTAAAAATTATTTGAAAAATCAGGAAACTCTACTCAAAGCATTGGACTGCAGCTATAAGGATCATTATCAGTAATATTTTCACAAACAAAAATAATTTCAAATTATTTATTATTTGAAATAAACAACCCCAGAATAAATTATATAGAAAGAAACAATCAAAACTAAAGCATATTGTTAAAATATATTCCACAAAATTAAAATATATTGAATTTTCAGCAATTTCTGCTAATATGACTCAAAAATCTGTTTATTGCTTTAAAAAAAAAGAGATGGTTTATAAATCATCACAATTTTCAGTAACACTTACTTCAGCATCCTGTGACCTCCTGAATCTACTGATATTCTTTTGTTATATGGAGCCATGCCAACTTGAGGTCTCCTGAAATTATTTCTATTTCTATAATCAGGTACTGGCATCTGACCGGGTTTCAGAACTTTAGGCGGATCGCTAAAGAAAGACAGAATTTTTATTACCTGGTAATTATAATATAAATTTTATAAAATTATCAGAAGGGGTTCTTTTATAAGCAATGGTAATAATGACAACAATAGCAACAATTTTCATTCTGAATCAATACATGTTTATTATGCTCTATTATCATATTATATATCACACATTAAAACTACAGCAAAATTCTGATAATTTATAACCACTTAATCTACCAAAGCCCCTAATCTGCAATCATTTTTAGGTGTAAGCAAACAAAATTTTGATTTTCAGATAATTCAACATGGCAAGTTTAGCGGAAATTCTTCCTTATTTGCATACACAAATAAACTTTTTAACAAATATATACTATACTTATTACATACTTAATTAAAAAAAAATTGCCTTCTCATAGAAATTATTTAGCCTTTTCTGCACAAGTTCTTTTATAATACACACACTGTGAACATTCGCACATTTTTCCTTTTAGAAAAATCCATACTTTCTGCTGTATAATCTGCTACTTAAAAAAATAATTTTATGTGGTTAATATATGTGATGCATTTACTTGCCCACAAAGTTTCAGAAGGTGAATTTCAAATTAAATGCACTTAGCTGGCTTGTTTGCATTTTGTGGCATGAACAAGCTTGTTGCATCAGTAATGAACAGAGATAGCTTTTTCAGAATATCAACTGTAAAACTTTTTCTTTTTTTTTCCCCTTAAATTTGAAAGCAAAAAATAATTTCACTGGTAGATTACATTTTTTTCAACATAAAATATTTTGATATGTTTTTATTATTTCCTCAAAAATGTTTCCTATTAATTATCTCTTTTTCTATCTTCTACAAGTTTCTTTTGTGCTGAATTAAAGTTAGTTAGTGCTGAATTAAAGTTAGAATAAAGTTTTTGTGCTGAATTAAAGTAAGTTAGTTTCAATACTTTCTAGTTTACTTAGTGTCTATTATCTTGCCTTAGTGAGATACCATGTCTACTAATATGTCTTTAGTTAGAGGTGAGTCTCCCGACCACACTGTAGACGTACCCCCACGTGCTACGAGAATGGTGAAGAGAGAAGTGCCTTTGGACGGAAACCGAGCATGGCTATTTGTGTTTATAGCCTAGGCATCGGGGATTTAAAATATTAGTAGGTGTAAAATCAACAATGTATCTATGTAGAATGTTTCGGTTTGAGATGTAATATGCCAAGCAGATATACAGCTACAGAGCCAAATTATTGAGTATACAAATTTAAGCTAAAATGATTGTTTCTTCAATAACGAGGGTATTTTATTTAGTGCCGAAGTAAAATTAAGAATCAGGACTCTCCACATGCACGAGGGAAATCAAATGTGTGAGCGTAAAGCACACACACAAGAATAGATAAATTAAAAAAAAGAATTGGTGGTGACTTTGAGGTCTGGATTTTAGGTCATTCCGGATATTGGACATCCAGATCTCAGACTTTGCACTGTATTTCCTTTGTATGCTTAGTTCCTCATGTGAGAACGCACAAAACTTGACACATGACTATTTAATTTAGATCCATCTGTAAAAACAGTGTAGCCTGTCATATTAGAGAGGCCTTTATTCAAATTCAACTGTTTCAGTAAAGCTGGAAGAATGTCTAATCTTTCTCAAAGTCTACAAGGTATTTCTCCTGCCTTCTTAGCATGCCTTCATGGTGTGGTGGTCTGCATGTTCAGTGCGCAATTGAGAGGTCTGTGGTTCGATTCCTGGTGAAAGCACTGCTAATTTTTCATCTTGCCTGCTTCTAAAAATACCTAATGTCTCTACAGTGGCGCCCGAACTAAACGGATGTTGGATGATGATTCTCCACATGCAGGATTTGGTGATTGGGGACCCTAAAACCCAAGTTGCCCTTTAAAAGAGTGAATATATAAGGTATTTCTTGTGCCTTCGTGGTGTGGTGGCCTGCACGCTCAGCGTGTAATTGAGAGGTCCGTGGTTCGATTCTCGGAGAAGGCATTGCTAATTTTTCATCTCGCCTGCTTCTAATAATACCTAATGTCTCTAATAGTCAAAATCTCTAGCTGAGAAGACCTCACTGAAGCAATCGAGAGTTTTATTACCAGCTTTTAATTTAAAGATAGCATATTCATTTTCTGCTAAAATATTGATTGGAAGACATCCAGGAAAAATCTTAACAGCTACTGCAGAAACCAATAAAGCGATTTTTTGAATTCGCAAAATTTTGTTATGCATTCGGATTGATCAACATCAGCTGTCATGTCGTGAGGCCCACCACAGTGTGATATGGTGACAACGGGGTTAATTGAATGGACTGCACTACCCCCAGCCCAGAGCTGAACCCTACCGAGAACTTCTCGGATGAGTTGGATTGCCAAATTAAGGGGTGAAACAACCCTCCAACATCGGTGAAGGAACTTGCACATCTTTTCCAAGCTAAGTGAAAGAAAATACCAATAACCATCATATAAGGACTTGTGGAAAGCATGCCTCAGGTGGTTGAGGCTGTAACTTCCACTAATGGAGGCTCTACCAACTACTGAATATGAATAAATTTTGTTTCTCTTTTCTATCACAGGTGTCCAATACATATTGGTATATAGTGTATTACTTTCGCAAACAAAATATAAAAATAAAAAACTTACACAGCTGATTCTAATCTTGTTGCAGGGAATTTAAAATTGTCCGGATACTGTGGATCAACAAAACTGATACTAAAAATAAAGAATAAACACTTAGTTACAAATACACTAAGATCATTTTATTAAACACACATCTTGAAATATAATGAAAGACACAGAAAAACATACAAACATAGTTACAAGGTGATCAGAATATACACAGAATCACCTGTAGAATATGCATACTCTTATCATTCTTCTTTGGAAAACTGTACCAAAAAACCATTTTCTGTTTTTAATTAGAGGGGCATACCCATAATGAAAATTCCTCAATGAAATCTAATTCCTCAATGAAGAGCACTGTGGATAGCTTTATAGTTAAAAAACATATGCCACATAATAAAATCCTAAACTACGTCTTACAGAATATCTACAGCCATTTACTTATACATGATGTGATACTGCTTTACCTTGCCCATTATCAAGCCAAACAAATAGATGATCAGCAGTCTTGATGTATTTCATATGGAATCCTTGATCATGTACCTTTTTCCCTGGTATGATAACACGCTTGAAAACCTATATTGCATAATTTCTACCCATGTTAAAATCAAATGCATCATTACAATGTGAGATTAATTGCTAATATTGTTAACTTCCTCTATGCCAATTTACAGCATTGCACTGATAATTTGTGGGACCACTGCCCTCATCTGACTATTCACTATATGCAACTGTTTCTGACCTTGACTGCTTCCTGCTACATATATCTCAATTGCTTTTTCTTGATAGCATGCATTATTAAAAGAGGTATAATGTAACTTACAATACATGCTATTTCTGGTATGCGGTATGCATGCATGCCGTCTTTAATTGAGCTCAAAATCTGGGGACATGAGACTGAGGAGAAAGGGCACTCAGACCTAGCTAAAGAAGCCATACAAAGTTAAACGCCCCAACAAAACTTGAAGGCGATCCGAGGAAGCTAACCCTCCCGATCAATCCAGCGGGAGTACCTGGGGACAGCTGAAGATTTCATGCTCCTCGCTGTTTGCTGAGAATATAAAACATTTCATTCTAAAATTTCATAACATCAATTTGGTGTCCCACGGTGCTGTGCTTGGTGACAGATGTTCCCCCTCCTCAGGTATGCCACTGATCTTTACGACAGTAATTATACAAAGACTTTTGAAAAATTTCAGAATGAAGTGAAGAGTGAATTTCATAGAAAAACTGAGATAAAAAAACATTTTAATATTCAACAGAGTTACAGAGAAAGACAGAAAACACTTACCTTAAGAAAATGGAAAATTACATAAATGAAATTTATTTTCACGAAAGGAAATTAAAAAACTTTGCTTCATAACATTATCTTATTTATTTAAAATCAATCATCTTCATGATATTCAAACACTGCCAAACATTTAATAGGTTATCTGAATACAGCAAAGCACACCAGGGTTATTTGCCCGAGGGGAAGGATGCCTTTCGGGCAGATTTTATAAAGGCAACAAACTGGCTCAAATTCAAGTTAACAGAATGAATATGATGAACTTTTCATGTCTGAATATGAAAATTTTCAGTTCATAAGGTATGCCATTTCTTTTAAACAAACAACATTTAGGTACACAAAAAACTAATTTTTGTATGCTTATCTTTTCCTTATTTTTAAATCTATCAGTTTTATATCTAATGCACAACGCACACTCGTAAATTTTCCTCTTAATTTTTATATTAAAAGTGCAGGTTATACACCGGAATATATAGTACATCTTTTACTTAAAGTTTGATACAACCTAAATCTCTAATTAAATAGTATTTTTTTACATGTACTTTCTGAAGAAAGGGCTCTTCTATTTAAGGGACTAAACATCTAACCCACTGGGTGTCTCTTAGTGGAAGATACTACTGAATATTGGGTTCACTTATTGAAAGGTAGTACTTTCTCTTTCTCTCTCTCTCTATATATACAGTCAAAAGTCTTTAATCCAGAAGAATCCAGACCTCAAAGCTACAAACTTTCCGCGCATGCACATAATACCTTTACACATGTGCGTTTAATGTATAACGGAAATGTTTAAGTTAGAGCTAAAATTATCTTTAATGATTCTAAGGCATTTCAGTTAATGTTGCAGGATTGCGTTGTTCACTTAATCTTCTAATTGGATCCGGCCTTATTATTTTTTGCAGACTGTTGTTATTACAGCAATTTTATAAAAGCTAAGCTTGAACTTTTCGATTATGTCAAAAAGAATTTTTCCAATTCTAGAGCTGTCCAAAGGATCTACAAAGCGAAAGCATGTTTCGATGTCCATCAAACAAAAAGTGGAATTGCTGCAAAAAATGGATAAAGGCATATCCTTTGTTTCTCTAACCATTCCGAAATCTGTTTATCAATTTCATGCTGCTCTGCAAGGGGGGGAAACGTTGCGGCGGCGCGCAATGAATTGGAAGTTGATCTGTTAGCACTATCCTTATCTTCAGGGCAGATGTTTTTATTTTATTCAGCTTATAATTCCTTACTAAATGTACTATTTCATCTCGATGTACTCTGTCTTTGATATGATTTAAATCAAATTCTTCATCATTATAAATATCACGAATACACATCAAATGGTTGCAATTTTCTAATTTCAACTATGCGTAATGTTTGCTTTACGCATGCGCGCGTTAGAAGAAATGTTTAATAGAGTAAACAAATAAATATTATTTTTTTTGTAAATTTTGATACCCTTTACATAATAATTGCTCTTTATTTCATAAATTACGGTTTCATATTTTTAATTTTATAATTTCTGCATGCCATCTTACCAGATTTAAACTGATGATCTATAATCTGGAAAAACAGATAATCCGAAATCGCCGAAGTCCCGACAAGTCTGGATTAAAGACTTTTGACTTTATATGTATGTGTGTAATGAAGTAAACTTTGATGTAATATTGTTGCAGAAATATGGATAGCATAGATGTAGAAATACTGCATTCAGAAACGTAGATCTGTAATAATGACACAGCCTTAGCTGTAATAATATTGTTATGAAATGCCTAGCAGCGGTAAGACAGCTTCCCCGCAAAGCGCGTTTAGGGTTCCAGAAAATGACAAGGGAAGACAGGGTTGCCATATTTGGTGCAGATTCGTCCATTTATCAACATTTGGTGACAAAACTGGCAATATGCCATAGACGGATGGAGAACCTTCTGTAACAAATTCTTTCTTGTTTTGCCCAGAATGTTCTCGAACACAAGCCAAAAGCTATATAAACCCTGCTGGTACGTGGAGAGTCACTCAGTGCCTAGTCTAGTGAGTTGATCGCGAGTCTATTGAGTTTATCATCAGTCTAGTGTCGAGCTGGTCATTGGAGTATTGTGAATCTAGCGAGTTATAGCATGGAGAGTATCGAGAGTATGTAGAGTTACGAGAACAAATGAACTGAGTCGGGAGCTGTACACTCGTGCTTTGCCATGAAGCTGCCTTCATCGTTATAGCCAAATAGCCTGAAGGCTGTGTTGCTCATTGTTTAAGCGTGTGTTTCGACGACTGCAAATGTGTTTTTGGAGCTGCCCTGAGTAATACTGGATAATGAATTGTGTTTTCATTCTTCATCAAGTGTTGCCATCAATCATTCCAAATCCAAGAACCCGAACAGAAACATAACAACTGGTATCAGGAGTGTTGTTTGCGAGTGAATGTCAGTGACCTGCCTGCAGGAGAAAGCCATGGCGGAGGAAACGAAGACTTTGATGGACTTGTTAGTCGAGATAAAAGCCAGGCAAGAAGAGATGGAAGCAGGACAAGAAGAAATAAAAGCCAGACAAGAAAAGCTGCATGAGAAATACAAACAGATGGAAGTGGAACAAAATAAGATTAAAAGCGATATCGTAGAGCTTAGACAGAAACTGGAACAAAAATAGCAGCTGTGAAAGAAAGATTTGAAGAAAAATTGAGAAAGTTCCAGAAAAAAGTAGACTTTTCGAAGGAAAACCGGACTGAGCCCAAGAATGAACCTGAAGATTTCAAGGTTTCCCCCAGTTTCTTTTGATACGGTAATCAAACCAAGCAAATACGATGGAAAATCATCATGGAGTGCACATAATATCCAGTTTTTGATCATGCCAGAAACTAACAAGTGGGACTCTCACATGAAGACTTCACAGTTGGTTGCATCACTCAAAAGAGATGCTGTAGACATCTAAGGTGTCCTCTCTGAAGACCAAATTTCAAATTTCAAGAAGAAGTAAGAACTTCGAGAAGAACTTCTGGGAGTGAGATTTGGGGAAAAGTGCGCAAAGGACTGCAGCCGTAGTTGAAAATTCAACAACAGGAAATCACAAAATGCTTCCAAAAACTGGTGACTGTCTTCGAGAGGTTGGTGCATCAAGCATATATGGACTGTCAACATGATGTTTGCAAAAATCTGGTTCTGATGCATTTCATCAATGCAGACAGGGATGCAGGAATTCAGAAGGAATTCTTCAATTGGAGGATCTGAAGCATCTAAAATCCACCATGATCATCACATGAAGTTCTAGTCAGCACAACAAGTGACTCGAAAAGATCACTATTTTATCAGAATGGCTCAAACAGAAGATCCAAATTTTATGTTGCAAAACTGAGAGAAGAAATAAGAAAGATTCGTGGCAGCGAACATGTTAAGAAGGCCTAATAAAAGCAATACCGGAAAGAAAACAATAATAAAAGCAATACGGAAAGAAAACAATCAAGTGCTGGAACTGCAGATTGGAAGGACATCTCCGCATTAACTGTCACATGAATCACGAATGAGAGAAAGCTTCCATGGGAAACCAGGGAAACTAAAATGCGGCAATCTCACAGAGCGAAGGTTGCCAGGCAAAGATGCAGCTCCTCTGAAAGTTCTTCAGATCTCTTCAATAAGCGGCAGGAATAATGGACTGTTCATCAAAGGATATGTGAATACGCATCCATGTAAGATGATCATAGATACGGGAGCAAATGTAACCATCATTAGAATAGATGTAGCTCAGGAACTGAACGAAACGTTGAGCTGGACTCTGCCTTGTGCGACTTTATAAACAGTGACAGGTGACAAGATTCCGACTAAAGGTAAAATTAACATCGCCATTACCTTCAAAAATGAGATTTACCAGCACTTGGCCTACGTCGCTAACATTGCGGACGAATTAATACTCAGACTGGACCTTAGCGGAAGTACGACTTTATACTAGACTTTAATAAAATATACTCTGCAAAGGAAGAATAATATTTTGGAAATGAAAAGCAGCATTCCTTCAGCTCAGGTAACAACAAAAACAGTCGTGACCATCCCTCCGATGACAGAATTTTTAATAACCGGCTCCACAGAAATTAATAGCTTTAGATTCGGAATAATTGAATACCCTGAAAATAGCGCAAAAGATGTATTAGTGGCCTCAACATTAGCAGACCTTTCGAGAGACTTCATCCTTGGTGAGAGTGGCGAATGTTCGCCACAGACTGAGAACCATCCAAAAGAGTGAAGTGCTAGCAGCACGCACTCCAGTTACTTGCATTTACAAAGCCCCACTTGAAATTCTGAGTGAGGTAACTAGGAAATTAATGGAAGTCTGCACGCTGGTATTGCACTGTCGCATGTGGGTGTTCAGTACCCCAAATTGTCACATTATGCTTATTTATTAATCCAGAAATGCAAAAAGTTGATTCATCACTGAAGGAACTTTTTCGAAAATTTACATTCCTCCATGTGCGTCAGAAGTTTCCCACAGAAAGATAATTGATGTGGCAGATCTTCCAGTTTCAGATGTTGCAACTATTTGCAAACACTTCCTAAAAACTCTTCACACAGTTTTCTGAGGTACTTTCAGTTCTTATACAGCTTGATATAGCTTGATATATACAGCTTTATGAAGGCTTCTCACATAGTTGGCTTCAATACGCTGAACTATGTCTTCTCCTACTGAATGACGACCAGTTTATTTTCCTTTACACATGCAGCCTGTCTTGAAATTTTGCATACCAACGACGGACTGCCTTATGATCCGTCACTGTCTGTCCATATTTTGTTTGAAACTGGTGCTGAATAGAGACAACAGACTTGCTAACATGAGATTCAAGCACACTAAATGCTTTTTGCTGTTGCCTCGCCATTTTACAAAGTTGTTTTCCTGTCCATTTTGTTTTTTCAAAAATGCCAATGAGGATTGGACTTCCAGCATCATGTATTGGTGACTATTAAAAAGAATTCAAAACTTGCTTACATTACCTCTGCATGTATGTACATTTTTAATGAATACATTTATTACATTTTGCTAAATAAACCTTAGATGCACTGGGGAAACGGTGTAGCACCAGGGTGCCTGGGTCAAGGACCATACCCCTTGTAGAACAGATATGTTAATATTTGAATACTGTCATGAGTAGCTAGTATATATTTAGAATTTTTTTTATATATACGTATACAATTAAATCAAGTTTTCAACATTTTTTTAAATTATAAGAATAGAAATAAACTTATGAAATAGGGGCATTTATTTTGACTTACCCTGTATGTACGTATACGAAAAAGCTAATTAACTGGAACACTAAGCTCTCTAAAAAAATAACTGGAAATACTATTTATATAATCAATTAGTTCATATTAAAATTGCTTGTACAGAAGTCAGATAGCAATAAAAAGAAGTTATTTTAAATTATTTTACTTATATGAATATAAAATATAATATAAAATTTTATATTATATTTTATATTCATATAAGTATATGAATTCATAGTGAATATAAAATTCATAGACTTTGACAACTAATCAAATTCCATTGACATTTATGAGCCAATATGTGTGAAGACTGTTATTCTTTTCAGCAATTTATTTGTTATTGTTTTTCTTCATTTTCTTATTCTTTTGAAAGACTTTAATTTTGGTGATTTTTTTATTTGAAGAAACAGTTTTTCTTTAACTAGTCAGCAACCTTTATTCGCCAATATTACTTTATATTACTTTACAAGATTTAACATTAATTTTATACTCAGACTTTCAGATGTAAGTACAATAACAATTTCAAGATGTAAATACAATCACATTTGGCTAATTTTCTTTTTCTTTTTGTATTTTGACTCAAAGCATCTATTTAAATAAGTTTTGTTAAATAAATTCCAGAATGTACTATACCAAGACATTCTTTTTATACTTGTTTACACCTTTTCTGATATATTATTTCTGTGGGCAGTTTAGAAACTTTTTGAATTTTGCATAATCTATAAAATTGTATTTATTTTTTTGAGTAATTACAAGGGCTTTATTTTTGTTTTGAGACGTTTCTAATTTTCAGAGGTACAAATAATTTAAAATAATTTATTTTAGTGCTTGGGCTCATTTGAAATGGACAGAAACATATTTTTTTTCCCCCTATAAAAAGAGTATGTCATTGAAAGACTCTTCCTTCTCTTGGTAAAATTTTGAGTGTGACAATGATATTACTACCTTTTCCTTTTTCATATTGTGTACTTTTTTCCCCAAATTACTTTACCAACTCAGTCCAAAAGTTAATGCAACAGTTTCCACTAACTCTTAATTTGAATATTTTCAACTTTTTTTTTTTTTTAAATCAAACTTTGTCTGTTTATTTCAAAACAGTAAATAACTATGTTACACAAACCTAGCAGGAATTGCACAGGATATTGTTTTGTTTCCATTTACATAATTTTTTCACTTACACACACATACATTATTCTAGCATTTTAATGTAAAATAAGTATAACAAATAAGTATAACTCTTACCATACTGTCGCATTTCCAGGTATATCAGGTAAGGCCTGAACAGGGCTAGGGACAGTTCTAAAAAGAAACAGAAAAATAATTTTAATTCATTGCTGAATTTGGGTGGAAGTCAGTAGTGAATGATTATATATTTTTACAGTATTTATCAGATTATAAACTAACATTAAAGCAAACTCCTCGAAATTAAAAATAAATGCAAAAGAAAAATTTATCAACCAAGCATGAGGAGCAAATTTTATACAGATTTAATTTTTTGGTTGCTGCCATCTGATGAAACAGTTTTATTCATTTTTTTTTTTTTCTGTCACTGTCTTTCTACAGACCAACATTTTGTGACCATTAAGGGCATTTGAGGTCAAACAAGTTTTAAACACAACAAGGATGAGTTCTTCAGAAATATTTCTCCATGCACTGCTAATGAACACACAGATTTGAAACAGGTAAGCTGCTTTAAAAGTTTCATAGAGATGAGCCTTTATTCTCAGCAGAGCCAAACTATATACATTTTTCTCAATTTCCTTTGAATGGCTTCTTGATGCACTTGATTAAAGGGTTGAGATCATTCCACTTGGAATAACTGTCTAACCTATTTTCTTTTTTAACTTACTATCATCTCTGTCATACAGACAGCATAAGAATCCAACACTAGAGAACTAAGAAACCCCAAGGAAATGTGTTGCTGGTAGCAGTGTTGTCACACAATAAATGTTGCTACACCAATTTCGCTTTTAAAAATATCTCAAACTTCAGAAATGTCTTGCATTAGGATAGGATACAGTTAAAGGATCAAGCTTATATCCATCAGCAGTTCAAAAGAACATAACAGTCAATGCTATTTTGCACGTAATGTTGATAGAATATTTAATTATTTCTTTCCCCCCTTTCTTTCTGTTGAATATTTTGCTAGCATATCAAGACTCTAGTAAGCATATCAAGACTCTAGTAAGCAGAACTAAGAAACCCCAAGGAAATGTGTTGCTGGTAGCAGTGTTGTCACACAATAAATGTTGCTACACCAATTTCGCTTTTAAAAATATCTCAAACTTCAGAAATGTCTTGCATTAGGATAGGATACAGTTAAAGGATCAAGCTTATATCCATCAGCAGTTCAAAAGAACATAACAGTCAATGCTATTTTGCACGTAATGTTGATAGAATATTTAATTATTTCTTTCCCCCCTTTCTTTCTGTTGAATATTTTGCTAGCATATCAAGACTCTAGTAAGCATTTCCTATATAACTAAGACAGCTCTTTTCACTGCAATACCTTGAATTGCTGAAATTATATATGTTTCTCCACATAATTTTCCAGCAACTTCAGCACAATAAATTCATGTCCATAAGCAACCCCTTATATGCTGATTTGTCTTGAAACTGCTAATTTTCTGCTGTCAGGTAATTCTGTCAGCCTTAATTTGAATTATCTCAGCATCCAATGGCAGACACTTCTTACAGCTTCCTTGATGAAGTTACGAATGTCAACACTGCAATACGGCAATTATATTTTGGTCTGTCCAAAATTTTCTTTTGCTAAAGCATACAAATATTTTATCCCTCTGCTTTCTTTACCATCTGACGTTGCTTTAAATCAATCTCATATCACTGTGACAAAGCAAATACTGATGCTTCTTCTATAAACAAAATAATTTTCCTTTTACAGTTAGCAATAAGGTGACAGCATTCCATTGCAACACAGCAGCCAAAAGTTCTGTTTAATAATATGAACTGGTAACTCAACTTTCATCTACTCAACAGTGAATATAAAATTCATAGAAATACAACTGTAACGTCCTCTAATTTTTATTAGTAAAGGATGCCTCCACTTTACTGGACAAATTACTAATATTTGTGAAATATTACTAATATTTGTTATAAATTACTTGTGATTCATAAAATGTCAGAGGACATTTTATGAATCACAAGAAACATATTAACAAAAATAAGTCTTGCATAAAATTGCATAGATGTCAACCTTGAAATATGAAAAACTGCGAGACTTTCATGCTGCATAATGATGCAACTTCTACTGATATTTTGATTTAATTTTATAATATATGAGTTATTATAATATAATTCTGATATGAAATACACTAATTTGTTATTTAATTCCGTATTCTAAATAATATTTCAAGTTATGCTTTTTGGCTAATTGCATTTAATTTCGTATTTTTTTTAAGTACTTATGCATTATTCCTTTGACTGGTCAAGCAGCATGATTTGATGCCAATTATAGATGACCATGTCCTTCAGAATTCTGCAGTTATGATTGGTGACCAATGTCGAAACTTCCGTCAAAGGTTGGTGGGATAATACTCAAGTACCTTTTTTTTTTTAAATTTTATTTATATAGTTTATTTTAATTTTATATTACATTCAATTATTTTAAGTTGGGAAAAAAAGCTTTTATTTATTGAAGAACTATTACATATGATGAATATAAAATTAGCAATTATAGTGTATATAATCACATAGGTAAACATAATGTTTCATTGTTTCATTTATGTATTTAAAGTTAAAATAAATACAAAAATATACTTATTATACATTAGTTAAGCTTTCATAAAATGTATGTAAATCTTTGTAATGAGTTAGAACACAAATTAACATCAAATAAAAATTATTTAGAAAATATATGAAAAATCATCAGGAAAAATTTAATTTAACCTACCCAAGTGTCATTTAGAAATAAAAATGTCATTACTTTTGTGGTTCCCCCCCCCTCTTTTTATGAAAGCAGCATTAACATTTTTTATAAATTTCTTCTCCCCCTTTGAAACTCAGTGATCTACTGATCTTCTAGATCTATGTAGAAATGATCTAGTTCAAATGAACTTAAAGGGGGGGGGGAAAGGAAAAGAAAAGGGAAAAAACAACCCCCCCCAAAAGGAGAATTGGAGATTTATCTGGAGCCTAGTAGATATGATTTGAAAACAGGAGTCTACCAATTTTACGATCCTAAACCCAGAAGAATTGGCAGCTCTGGTATTGGATAAACATTGTATACAAAATAAAATTTTCAAAATATATTTAATATTATTTTTAGCATATTTGATGATTTCATATCCACATTATTAAAAAATATTAAAAGTCTGAAAATTAGCATACATTTAATAGCTATAATATAAACACAAAAATTATAACCATTTTTTTTTCATCTGAAAAATAACTAAACAATAAATAAGACTAATTCATTCAATCATTAAGTCAGAACAAATAATAATTGCAGGAAAAAATTAAACATACTCTTTAGGATGAATAACATCTTCAGACAAAATGACAGTTCCTCCCATACCAGAAAACAGCTGAGGATTCATGTTTATTTCCTGCATAGAAAAATTAATTAGATAATTAGAAAACACAAATACATACAGTAAGTATACCAACAAATAATAAAAATCTTAAAAACAAATAATAAATAAGCAATGCTAGCAACATATACAGTCTCATTTCTTATTGTGATTTTCAATTGGTACAATTCATTTTGTTTTAAAGTAACCTCATAAAGAAATTAATACATTCAGGTCATGTGAATTTGAGTGCTAGCTCATTCCACCACCATCAGACCTAGGGCAATCTAAATCTAGTCTAACAACTTGGGATTGAAAATTATTCGTTGAAACTTGGAAGACATCACAGATAGGCCAGGAATGGTTGATCCCATTAAGAATCATAATCATGGTATGTAAATAGAATTTGTAAAATATTTTAAGTAGAACTTTGATATCTCATGCAGAAAGACCACATTTATGGTTACTTACATTAATTATGAATCAAAATATTTAAAGCTTTAGAAACAAAATTTTTGTCTCTTGATTAACACACGAATGTGGAAGCGAGCTTCAGTATTAGACTAAATAATAGTTAACCTTAATTTACCTTTAAAGAAAGTTTATATTTCTTTCTATTATACTTTTCTCTTCTATCTTCACTAAAAAGGATAGATAATTAAATTTTGTCAACAATGAAATATTTGAGAATCATCCTCCCCCATATGAATCAATTTTCAGTGTGATAATACAACTATGTGTGAAAATTAAAAATGGAACAGGTTTTTCATGCATAACATTGCATGGCAATGTTAAACATTGGTACAAGGCATACTAAAACATTATCCCAATGTAAGAAAGACTTCAGGAAAGATAAACAATACTGACCAAGAAAGACTGCAAAAGGACTTTCACTGATGTGTAAGTTGAGCACAGAAAAATAAAAATGCTGTCCTCAGTAGGGAATACAATCACTCAAGATTGCAATAAATGATGTGCAGAGTCTAGTATGAAGTCATTAATGAACTTAGCACCACGGTCTAGCAAGGCAATCACTCCTACAGATGATTCACGGTCTAACAAGGTTGATTACTGCTACAGAATAACTGCTGGCAGCTGATATATTGCTAGGAAATACCCAATAATGTCCTGCGCATGTTCAGATGCATTCAAGTTCAGCGGCTGTAATGGTCAGTTCAGTCAAAGAATGCCTTTACCTTCCAACACCTCGGTGAAAACCACTACATAATGAACTGTAGCACTGTTGTACAAAAAGATGTACCTCAGGGCCAACAGTATCCTGAAAAAGACACATGTGAACATGTACACACTTTAATACACTGAAATGCCACTGAATTGGGGACAGACATGGCTATGCAAAGTTTGTAGCACTATAGCACATTTATGCTCCTGTAAGAGCATTGTGGTAACTGCATATATAGTTAGTACTATGGTTGTTGTTAATCAGTCGTTTCAATTGCCAGTATAAATAAAACTTCTGATTTAGACACCTTCAATCGTGGATAGAGAGTAGGCACTCGATTCATATGCCATTCAATTTCTGAAATAGGAGGGCTCGGATTTTCAAGGTCTACAATGTCAAGAGTGTACCGAGAATACACAGATGGTAGAGGAAAAAACTATCGAGCAAACTGCAAAGGATGATTAGCCTTGAAGGAGCACGGCACGAGATGGCTCAGTCAGCCATATGGTGCATAACCAGTGAAGCCAAATATTAATTAGCTCAAATTACCCCTCAGCTAAATCAGGGGGCCAGTCCTATAGTCAATAATCAAATTGTGCAATGTTTGCTTCTCTATATGGGCTTCAGGAGCCATAGACAAAAAAAAAAAAAAAAAAAAAAAAAAAAAAAAAAAAAAAAAAACAGTACCATAGCTCAATGCATGCCATCGGGCTACCCATCTTGCCTCGGCAAGAGTACACAGAGAATGGATTCTAGAGGACTGGAAACAAGTAGCATGAAGTGACGAGTCTCAATTTCAACTACTTAATGCCAACAGGAGGCTGAGATCCTGCATGCTAGGTTGGAACTGTACAAGGCAATGGCAGCTGAATCATGGTCTGGAGTGTTTTCTCTTGGCAATGTCTGGGATCATTGGTGCTTCTACCAACATTCCTCAATATGATTAGGTATGCAGAGTTGCTTGGCGATCATCTCTATCCATTTTCATAATATTTTAATTTAAAGCCCCTTTTCAATTACTTTTTTTTTTTCAACTATGCTTTACATATGGAAGCTATAGTCATTTATAGCTATTACAAAATAATGACAAAACGAAACAAAAATTAGCAAGGATTTTTGCTGACCTAAATAATTACATTTTAATAAACTGATTAATCCTTTATACAGTACAAAGCCTGTAATCTGGACGTCCATTATCCGGAATGATCTATAATCCGGACCTCAAAGCCACGAACTTTATGCATGCGTGTAGAAAATGTGCATACATTATGTATGCGCTTGTTGAAAGAAATGTTTAATAAAATAAACAAATAACTATTAAGCTTCTTTTTTGTAAAATGTGATACCCTTTAGATCATAATTGCTCTTCATTTCATAAATTACGGTTTCATATTTTTAATTGTATAATTTCTGCATGCCATCTTACCAGATTTACATTGATGATCTATAATCCGTAAAATCCCCTAATTCGGAATCGCTGAAGTCCCGACGAGTCCGGATTACGGACTTTGTACTGTATAAGAATAATCAAATCATCGATTTGCATTAAAATTTTTCAAACATAAGTGGAATAAAATAACACATATGTTTCAGACTCATGGCTCATAAGCCTCGATAAGAAATCAATAGTTTAAAAATATCAAAAAATTTTTTAAAATTATTTGCAAAAGAAAGCTGCAATCAAATTAAAATATATAACTCATGGATACTTACTAATTTCCAATTCTTCCCATTTTCATAAAGAGCAATCAGAAAGTCATAACCCTTATGACCTTTGCGAACATACAACCTATCATTACCTCTGACATTTCTTTTTACTGAAAAGGAGAAGGTTAAAAAGAAAATCTTTTACACAAATTTGATAAGTAAATCAATTACATAAAATAAATTTCTGAACTTGCATATATTGAGAGAAATTCTGCAGTACAAAGTCAGAGATCTGAAATCATCGAGACTTCAATGATTCCAAATATTAGACCTTCAATTTAAACCTAGAAAGATGAGATGTAGACATGATGACATTGAGAACTAACTTACTCTTTAAGCAAGATAGAAAAATGCTAACCAATTCCTCCACAGGGCTACAGCAGGTACAACTGGTGCCACAGCAACTGGGTATCAAAATTTTGAAGTGGAAAGAATTTTAGAAATTAGAAAAATAATCAGCAAAAATTATGGATGGCTGAATTTTTTTTTAATTTAGGGATGACAAAATTAAAAAAAATCTTGTGAAGTAGCAGGCAGCAAAATTTAGGGCCCACAGATATTGCAGTGGGCATAGCAAAATGCAAAGTGTTCCTCCTCCCAACTACTAAAGGCTAAAAGCGTGATTCTAGTCAATATCAATCAACACACTGCTACTAGCCACGTGTGACTCCCTAGCCAGCAGAAGTGACATGCAAAAATTTCAGTTAGTCTGGAGAAAAAACTCATTTACAGCACACCTATCTCCTTTTGTTATATTCTTCATTCGTAAACTTTGTAGGGGGGATTTTTTTATTATATTGTTTGATATTACTTTATTTAACCTTTTTTGGCTGGTGGGCTGGAGGTTTGATATTAGATCATTCCAGATATTGGATAACTGAATTTTGGACTATGTTTTTTAAAAAGCAAGCCAATTTGGATTTCTTATCATCAAAGGAAATACACTCATGTCCATAAATAAAGGATAATTCGGAGTCACACGGAAATCGAGCTCTAAAATAAATATATCACCTGTAAAATCACTACACACATCTTCAAGAATCATATGCAAATTTCAGGAAGTAACTACATTACACCGATGGTACATCACAATGACGAGAGTGTAAGAGAGCGATATATAAGGAATACAAGCAAAGAACTAAAATTGTTCGCAGGTGCTTTATAAGCATTTCAGTGCAATAACTGAATAGTTATGACACAAAGGTCGCATTTGGATGATTTTTTACGTGGTAAAATTATCGGCCGTCTGGAATGTGGGCGTACCCAACTGGAAGTATCAGACGAACTTAGAATTGCCCAGAGTGTCATTTCCAGACTTTGGCAACGATTCCAAGATGATGTTAATGTGAGTAGACGTTACAGCACAGGTCGCCCCAGAGTTACAACACCCAATGAGGACCGGTATTTGGCAGTTACTGCCAAAAGAAACAGGCAGAGTACAGCCTCAGACCTGTCTCTTCAGCCACTGGTACGACAATTTCAAGGCAGACCATGTACAGATGCTTAGGGCAGATTGGTCTATATGCTCGTAGCCCTGTCAGATGCATTCCACTTACTGCAACTCACTGTCGCCTGCGGTTAGCCTGGAGTAGAGAGCACGCATTGTGGACACCGCAACAGTGGGCTTGTGTGATCTTTTCCGACTAGTTCAGGTTTAGCTTGCAGTCTGATTCTCGCCGGACTTTCATATGGAGAGCTCCAGGTACCCGTTACCACCAAGAAAACATCATTGAACGACACCGCTACGGTGGTGCAGGAGTGCACATTTGGGGTGGAATTATTCTGGGTTCCAGAACTGACCTGCATGTTCAAACTGGAACCATGACAAGCCAAATCTATCGGGACATCATTCTGGAACAACATGTACGTTTGTTTCGGGGAGCCATGGGCGCACAATTTGTGTTTATGGATGACAACGCCCGTCCTCACCATGCAAACATCGTAAGCAAATGCCTTCAATTGGAGGATATCAGCCGTATGGACTGGCCAGCATTCTCACCGGATTTGAATCCAGTAGAGCAAGTGTGGAACATGCTTGGCCGACAAGTTGCAGCCCGTCAACCTTCTCCTACATGTCTACCGGAACTTCGGAGAGCATTGCTTTTTGAGTGGTGTAATATCCCCCAAAATCAGATCGATAATTTGATACTCAGCATGCCTAGGCGTTGTACGGACTGTATTGCATCATCTGGGAGACATACAATGTATTAACAATCATATCAATCATGTAATATTGGTTTTTTGTAAATAGTTTTTTTTTTTGTAATTTGCTCCAGGGAGGAAAAAATCGCTAATTTTTTAATAATATTAAACATATAGCATCTTTTTTTGCTCTTTACCTTTTGTTTAATAAATAAGCTTTACAAATAAGTCAAATTTGTTTTGCTTCTAACTCTTCCTTTGCGTGATTTTGCATTATCCTTAATTTATGGACATGAGTGTATTTTTCTAAAGATACATTTACACTAGACTGCTTATTGATGCAAATTCAATCTCACCATTTAAAAACCACTGCCAAATTAAGGTTAAATTTTAGCAAACTTTTGAAATAAATGAATGGTGACTATTTCCTTATATGGAATTTTAGAATTACTGGACATGTAGAAATGGATATAAAAGATCATAAGACAAAATACAGAAATTATTTTTAAAAAAAATATAAAATAATTATTTGTTTACAACAACGTTTTTAAGATACAAAATTCTAAATTCAAACTCTTTATGCTCAGCAATAGTAGACATATAAGGGATGTGGATGTTAAATGTTTCAAAGATGCATTTAATACACTCTTTTTCAAAAACATCAAAGCACCAAGAAGGACTTTTGCGATTGTGATGAAATTTGGTATGAAAAAACATCTTGATCGAATATGCAAATGAACAGGAATTGCGATCATAGCGCACATTTCTAGTGCACAATTCGCAAAGTATAAAACCAGTAACAGAGGTGGAAAATTTATCTTTTTATGTTGCTGCCATTATAGTTCCGTAAAGAAGCGACTGAAGAAGCCATTACGACGATATCGAAGACCTTACAGACAATGAAATGACTTTGAAAGTGGTCGCATTGTAGGGTTGCGTGAAACTGGGTGGTCATACCGAGCAATAGGTCGCCACCTGCAGCATAGACACTGCTGTGCAAAGATGTTGGCAGCAATGGTTGCTACAAGGAAATTGCTGACAAAATGAAGGCTCTCGAAAGCCAAGGAGCACAAATGCAAAGCAAGATAGGATGATTGTTTGCCAGGCCCAAAACGCCCCAAAAGTATCATTGTCGACTATTCAACGCACTACAGCCACGTTTATACCTCCCGTGGTACTGTCCACCATCTCACAGCGCTTGCCTGAGGTGGGCTTATGCTCATAGATGCCTTTAAGACATTTGCCTTTGATCCCACAATATCGATGGAGTCATCTGGAGTGGTGTGCAGCTGATCATCATATCTGCCATCAGACAGGCATCATATAGTTTTCTGTGATGAGTACCGCTTCACTCTTGAAGTAGATGACCACTGTGTTCATGTCTGGAGAGGACAGGCCAACGGTCCCAATCAGTCTTTGTTTTACAAAGGCATACAGCCATAACCCCTGGAGTGATGGTGTAGGGTGCTATTTCTTACGATATCTGGTCATCTTTAGTCATCCTCCGTACTTCTTTAACATCTCAACAATATGTTGATACCATCCTGCGGCTGGTTGCCGTACTCTTTATGGCACGTCATCCTGGGGTCATTTTCCAACAAGATAATGCCAGGGCCATATACTGCTCACATATCTCTGGACTGTTTCCATGCGGTTGATACTCTTTCTTGGCCAGCAAAGTCACCAATCAAGCATGTCTGGGACATGGTAGTCTACCAGATTTTGGGCACTACAAAATATTGCAGATCTGGAGCAACAGCTGATGAATGCCTGACAGAATGTGTTGCAAGATGACATTAGGAACCTCTACCACTCCTTGCCTCGACGAATTCAAGCACGCATTGCCGCCAGGGGCGGTTCGACCAACTACTAATTTGAACACTCAATGGGTGATTGTGAGCCGTGAACAGGTACTATGACCTTGATTTTTTTATCATTTTATTATCTGTATATGAGCTATACACATATTCAATATCATCAAAAACATCCACTTCCTTCATGGTGCTTCGAGTTTTTTGCAAAAGAGTGTATACACATGAAAATTTGAAATACAGTTAAGAACAAAAATGGAATAAGGGAAACATTTACAATATATATATAAAACTATCCTTACTTTCTTCTGCAGTTAATTTAGGGTATACACTTTCTAAAGCTTTTAAAAGTCTTTTTTCATCTACAAAAGGTAACAAAGCAACACCTACGGAATAGAATATTTTCACTAATTAGTTTATACAAAATCATATACATTCATTATAGAATGCAATTTTCTTTTCTTTTTTTAAATTAAGAACATAAAATCAAAAATTACTCTCATACAAATTTCATAAACTAATGAACACAATTCTAGAATTTCTAGCTTCTACAGTTTTAATTTAACCAAGATATATTCAACTTCAAAAAGTATAAAATACATATATTACACACATTTACATAAAAGTTATCTTACCTTGCCATGCATATTTCTTCCCATTTAGATCCACTTTAAAGTCAGTAGGATAAAAGTCAATGATTGGAGATTCCTTAATAAAAATAAAAGTAAATTAATATACTTCAAATTTAAAAAAAAATAATTTTAACAATTTAAAAATAAATTTAAAAATACTAACTGGATCAGTCATTAATTCACCCCATGGCTCTGGTACATGCTGCTTACTTGCTGCAGGAAATACAGCCATCAATTGTTCCAGCGGTTTAAACTATGAAATAATAATGATAAAAAAGGAAAATTTATTTAAAATATTGTATATATATATATAGTAAGAAATTTAAAACCAATTTTACGCACAGACCAAAAATTGAAATTCACAAGCAATAAATTTCAAAAAATCCTACAAATGTACAATAGAATTTAAAAAATGTTAAAACTAAAATACTTCAAATAAGTAAAACCCAAATTAAAAAAAATTAATGATTAAAAAAGAATTTGAAAGAAGAGGAGTTCAATCAACTCCAATGACATGTCATCAGGAGGAGGAAACACTGAAATCAATTAAAATCTCTCTCCCATAAAAAAATCCTTAAACACATACACAAGCACATGTACATAATCCTTCAACTAACGAAAAATTCATATCTCACACAAATGAATAGTATCATGATGTCCCATTCTTAGGTACTAGGCAGTTAGTTGCTAATATATCACTAATATCCTCTGCTTTCCAACAAGATGTTTGGAAACCCTAGCAGCTGTTCTGCATTCTTCTAGAAAGAAACAATTTTATTTTTTTGTTTTTGTTTAGTACAGTACAAAGTCCGAAATCCAGATGTCCATTGTCCGGAACAATCTAAAATCCGGACCTCAAAACCACCAACAACGTTTTCTCGTAGGTGCATTTCATTCCTGCCCCTCCACGCATAATAAAACATCTAGACAGTCCCAATTCTTAATTTCACTTCGACACTAAATATTGGGTTGGCAACTAAGTAATTGCGGATTTTTTTTAGAAAATCAAAGACAATTTTTTCATGGAACTGAATAACTTTATTCTGTAATGTATTACCCATTTTGATCAATGACCTTTTGCCATCTTTCAGGTAGTACAGCATCATAGCAATCCCACGTTCATAAAACTTCCTGGTTTTTATTAGCAAAAAACTGAATCAGGTACGATTTGACATCATCATCATTATTGAAATTTTTACCATTCAAGGAGTTTTGTAAAGATCGAAACAAAAAGTAATCAGATGGTGCAAGGTCAGGACTATATGGTGGATGCGGCAAAACATTCCAACCAAGCTCCAATAATTTTTGCCGAGTGACCAAAGATGTGTGTGGCCTTGCATTGTCATGATGGAATACAACACCTTTTCGATTTGTCAATTCGGGCCCCTTTTCTTCAACTGCATTAATTTCATTAGTTGTTTAATGTACACATCAGAACTGATCGTTTGGTTGGGTTGTAAGAGTTCAAAGTAGACAATTCCTTTGTAATCCCACCAAACTGATAACAAAACCTTCTTTTGATGAATATCAGCTTTTGATGTTGTTTGAGTTGGTTCACCTGGCCTGCTCCATGATCTTTTCCGCTTGATATTGTTGTAAACAGCCCATTTTTCATCGACAGTTATCAGTCGTTTTAAAAATGGAATCATTTTCATTACGTTTATTTAGCAAATCGCAGCTGTTAATGCGTTGCGTTAAATGCGTTTCCTTCATTTTGTGAGGAACCCGTGTATTGAGTTTTTGAACATAGTCCAAGTTGTTTTAAGTGATTTTCCAATGGATATATGTGGATACATGAAGCTTCTCTGCAATCTCACGTGTTGTACTGTGATGCAATCCAAATCGATTATTGCTTTGATTAGGTCGTCATCAACTTCAACTGGAGGACCAGAGCGTTTTTCAACTTTGAGTGAAAAATCACCAGATCGAAATTTGGCAAACCAATTTTGACACTGCCGTTCTTTTAAGGCTTTGTCACCATAAACACATAACTTTTTATGAGCTTGTGATGCGTTTTTCCCTTTGCGGATATAAAAAAGCAAAATATGACGAAAACATTCCTTTTGATTTTCCGTTTTTCAACGAACGCCAAACGAAAACTACACAACCGATCAAAAAACTTTTTTTACTGATTGACAGCTGAATTGCCAACTATCAAATAACAAAATGTGTTTTACATTTGTACTACGTCTGCAACCCTAAAAATTCAACTGAAGCCATCTATGAGTGAAATCCGCAATTACTTAGTTGCCAACCCAATAAAATACCTTGTTACTGAAGAAACAATTTTTTTAGCATAAATTTGTACGATCAGTAATTTGGTTCTGTTGCTGCATATGTGCTTGGCATACATCTCAAACCCAAACATTCCACATAGATACATGATTGATGACACCAACCTGGCGAATTATTATTTATTATACTTTCCTTTCAACATCACATGTTTATCAAAACATGACAAATTGAATAATGACTCATGTAGTGATGCCTAAACAATCTTTTTTATGTTAGTAATTGAAATTAAAACCAATTTTATTAAACCAAAAAACCAAATAAAGGAGTATAGTAACCTTTTATGTTGACATTATGCCAGGCGATGATTACAGATTTAAGTTAAATACGCTAAAAAATGTTGACGAGGAAAAATTTACCAAAAATTTCTTTCCGTATGCTAAAAATAGATTTTGTTGATGATACTCATAGACCCAAAGATTACATTTAGGGCTATTTGAATTAAGAATAACTGATTTGTTATTCACATAAACTCAGAACCAGCACCAGGGCTCATGTGGCCACATCGAGTCAGAGATTTTAGAACCCACAGAAACTGCATCAGGCAGTAAGTTACCTAGCTCTCAATAAAGCTTAAGTATATGGAATTTATTTATTCAGAACTCTGATAAGCCTTAAGCATAAGCAAGAAATAAACATAAACATAATACATAACTAAACTAATACAATTCAGGCTTAATTGTCTCAGGCAATAGAAGCAAGATAAAATTTAATGGAACAACTTGTCATCACTCACCAAGTTCATGATGCATAACAAATATGTATAGTGAAGAATAGCTAAATTTTATGATGATAGCCGCTAATTTTAAAGGTTTTCATATATCGCAAAACAAAGGCGAAATTTTCCAATTACCAGATTTTATAAAGATATGTGGAGAAGTGGTAATAAATGAAGATTATATAAAAGAAGTTTTTCATTGTGATGACAATGCTTCTCAATCATCAATCAATTAATGAATGGCGAAATCTGTAGCATGGTTCTAGATCCAGGAAAAACCGCTACGGATAGTTAAGAAAGTGACAAAGAAGTTACTGAAAATGAGAAAATTTCGATAAAAAAAAATTGATTGACAAGTTGGAATTCTCAAAATAGCAGTTACAGGACTTCAACAATGTAACTAAACAAGAGATTATGTCTGTCTACAGAATTAAAGAGAAAGTATTAGCACAAAAAATGAAGCAACTTTCATTCAAATAAATGTTTAATGTTTAATACTCTTTAGATCATAAATACTTCATTATTTTATAAATCACAATTTCATATTTTTAATTTTATAATTTCTACATGCCATCTTACTAGATTTAAACTCATGATCTATTATCTAAAAAAATTCCAAATCCAGAATCACCGAATTCCCAACGAGTCCGGATTTCGGACTTTGTACTGTATTACTTCCTCTGACTAAGAGAGGATGGGGATATCTTCTTTTGGTATTTAAAAATTATAATTATTTATTACATATATTTTTATGCTTTAATTAAGTATTCATCCCTAAAATCAATCAATAAACCTACTTATAAGCAGTTTTTTCCCCTTTGTATGGGTGGAAAGTTCATTTAAAAAATATATTCAAAGCAATTGTTCTATTTAGCAATTTTGAGGTATTGCGGAAATTCCTGCAGAAAATTTACCACAATTTCTTTGAAATCAAACTTTGCTCAGTTTAAAATCGAGTTTACAATAAGAAATATCATAGCTTGTGTATAAAAAACTATTTGAACTTGGAATACAACAAAATGAACACACATGAAAATGGCAATGGTGCTAATTAAAACTGAAGAATTGTTATTGGCATGACTGTCAATATTTGACACGTTCCTGAAACTTTAGAAAATTTTAATAAAGATGGTTGCACTTATATGTAAGTACCTTTTATTTTTATTTCAGTATTATCTTCAAACCAGCATACACATCTGCATGGTAACCACTTATGCAGAAAGTTCTTGGGTTAATATTTGTTTACCTCATGCAAACTTTTCACTGTATTTTGTATCATATTTTTACTAAATGGGTCAAGAAATAAAGCAGAAACTACCCATATTTCCTGTCATGAGGAATTCTGCTTAAAATTCATCAAAGTTTCAGTTCTCATGGAATGAAACTATTCAAGACGGAAAATGCATAATGGAAATGTAATGTTAGCAACTTTTCGCAAGGTGTCAGAATTAGGACTGGGAAATGGTTCACAGGAAATCAATCGCCATTTTATTTAGCATTGCTGATAGAAAGGGAAACATAAGCTGTAAGCAAGCACAATAACAAATTGCTTTATGCAGCCATCAAATAATATCCAACAAAAACAAAACAAAAAATACTTGCATAATCAATACGTGGATATCAAAAATGTACTTCAGCATGAAAAGAAGCCAATAAATTTTTATCAGTATATCTAGGGTACAGGCTAACACCAGAGTACTTATTCTTTCCCTGATTAATAATTCAATCACTGCAAAGTATACAGACTTAGTCTTATTTAAAGGTGAATACATGTTCAGTTGTATTTACCAGTATGAATGAGCAATTAAATAAATTTAGATAAAACAGCAGAAACAATAATACTGAAGAAAACATCTGTCTTTACATGAAGATATCTTTCCCACAATTCTTGATATTTCATATAATTCTAGTAAACACAATACTAGAATGCACTATGTTTTTCACAAGGGAATGGCAAAAACGTATGTTTAAAGACTTAAATTATGAACAATTTTCATCCTTAGATTAAAGTTTATTTTATAAACGAAGATCTATTCATTTAAAAAAAAATAAGCATAGATTTCTTCTTTTTCAAGAAGGAAAAATATTCTAAAATATATCATCACAAATATGCCATTTTGAAGTAAACACACACACACACACACAAAAAAAAAAAAAAAAAAAAAAAAAAAAAAAAAAAAAAAATAAAAAAAATAAAAAAAAAAAAAAATTATAAATTATAAATTGTGAAACCCTATAAATTTTTTTTAAAATAAATGCTTCTGTATCAGTTATGCAACACTGGTATACGAAAACTCTCTTACTAAAACAACAAAGCAGAAAGTGTTTATAAAAGTTATCTGTAGATATACTATAAATTAACCCTTTGATGGTTATGAACGAGTTCAGCTCGAAATCGAATCATGCTTCATAACGCGCGCAAACGAGTTCCGCTCGGGAGCAAGATTTTGACCGAAATGGTTAGTAACGAGCACTACTCGCGTAGTGAAATTTTCCCCCAATGCGCGCTGACGAGCTGACTTCGTTCGCCATTATTATTCTGCACTGATTGTGTTTCAAACGAATGCGGGGAAAAACAGCTGCCACTTTCGACTACCGTTTACTCCTAATGCTGCGCGAATTAAGTAAATGGAAACTGCTCATTTCCATAACCGTCAAAGGGTTAAATACATTTTACTCGCGAAATTTAGTTAGTTTTACTGTCTACAGATGGCAGTACGAGTTCCATGAATTTCTTTGCATAATGAAGGTGGATTTTTTTTTTACCTTGTTCATTTTATACATATTTTGGCGTGGTTTTAGGGTGTTTGTACAGTAAAATGGCTCAAAAGCGAAAGTTAGATAGGTATGATGATGATTATGATTGTGATACAGAAAGCTTATCAAGTTTTGAATCTGATGAAGACTTTGTTCACAGTATTTCAAGCTCAGAAGACGATTCAAGCGATGAGGAAGATTTTTCGAGTGTTCGACAGTGGTGTATAATTGATTCAAGTTCTCACGCTCCTAGCCGATTTAGCTTACTGGTGATGTAGGCATGAAAGCTTGCATGACAAGTATTTCTGAAATTCTCTATTAGAAAGAACCTACTAGATGATGTGTGGTATGTTGGCAAAAATGATGCTAATGGAAAAAGAATTTGCCGTGAAACACGTACGTATTGCAAAGACTGTAATGCCCCATTATGTGCAATTCCATGTTTTAAAGTATATCACACACAAAAAGATTTTTAGGTAATTACTGTATTTATACTGTGCTTCATAAAGTTTTACATTAGTTGTATTTATTTAGTCCTTTCAATTTAATATTTGTCTTATATTTATAATTAACTATTATTATTTATATATTTGGTTATAATCATTTATAATTTACTGTTTAATAATTATTTTAAAGTACGTAAAAACTGTTACTTATGTATTACAAATACTTTAAGAAATTTTTAAAACGCGCGAGGCGAGCTATCTACGGCATCGCCAGAGAAAGGTGACATTTTCGGAAGAACGGCGGGGGAAAACAGCTGCCACTTTCGACTACCGTTTACTCCTAATGCTGCGTGAATTAAGTAAACGGAAACTGCTCATTTCCATAACCGTCAAAGGGTTAAATACATTTTAATTTATAAATAAAAATTTAAATTATGAAGAAGTGCATTTATTGCTCCTAAATTTCAGAACACGTTATATAACAAAAGACATTAAAATTGAAAGAAAAACTAAAGATCTCACAAGCTACTGAATGGCAACATTTGAACCAGCTATGTTTGATGGAATAGTCTTTTGCTTTGAACAGAGCCAAATGCCTTGCTTTCAAATCTCTCAGTTTGCTAATCAATAACCGACTGTTAAATCTGAAGATCTTTTTTGAAGAATGTCAACATTCTGAAAGCTTGTATATATAAATTTATGAAAAAAATAAAAGTTGTATGTTTTGCAAAATGGTTACAATTGCCAAAGACTGCTTTCATATTCTTTCTGTTTTTGTCTGCCAATTTTGAGGCAGAATCATGTTTCCCGACTCCATTGCTAGGGCAAGATTTGATATTTTAGTGAAAGTGATATAACTCCTTTGAGATATAATGAGAATTTAATAATAAAGGAAACAGCATCTGTATATACTATATTGTTGTCGTAAAGAATTGAAAGTACACTGAACCGATGATAGCTTGGGAAAATAAATTTTCACAAAAGAAACATTTACAATTTCAGAATTTTCCACCAGAAGAACATACACAGCTCTTCTCAGTATCAGAAAGCACAATCAGTAGTTATACAGTCAAAAGTCGTTAATCCGGACTCGTCGGGACTTCGGCGATTCCGGATTATCGATTTTTCTGGATTATAGATCATCAGTTTAAATCTCGTAAGATGACATGCAGAAATTCTAAAATTAAAAATATGAAACCGTAATTTATGAAATAAAGAACAATTATGATCTAAAGGGTATCAAAATTTACAAAAAAAAAAAAAAAAAAGCTTAATATTTATTTGTTTACTTTATTAAACATATCTCTTAATGTAAGTTGTTTAAGTTGCTTCATTTTATGTGATAATACTTTCTCTTTAATTCTATAAAAAGACATAATTTCTTGTTCAGTTACAAAGTTCCGCTGTTCAAGTCCCGTTAATTGCTGTGCCGAGAATACCGACTAACTTGTCAATCGAAATTTTTTCGTTTTCACTAACCTCTCTGTCATATTCTTCATGTCTTTATCCATTTTTTGCAGCAATTCCACTTTTTGTTTGTTGGACATCGAAACATACTTTTGTTTTGTAGATCCTTTGGAAGTTCCAGCATCGGAAATTCTATTTGACATAATCGAAAGTTCAAGTTTACTTTTATAAAATTGCTCTAATACATAATAGTCTGCAAAAAATAATAAGCAGGAATCCAAATTAGAAGATTAAGGAAACAATGCCAGTCATGCTAACATTAACTTGAAATAGATTAGAATCTGTAAAGATAATTTTAGCTTACACCGTCCGTTATTCATTAAACGCGCAGGCGAAAACGTATTCTGCACTTGCGCACACGCATATGCGCAGTAGTCAAGGTCTTACGTGCACGTGTAAAACGTCTGCGCGCATGTGCCAACGCGGTGCATACGCAGAAAGTTTTTAGCTTTGAGGTCTGGATTACAGATCATTTCGGATTATGGGTGTCCGAATTAACGACTTTTGACTGTACTTGAAACTACTGAGAACATTAACACAATGCAAAGAACATCTAAAAGGTGAAACATGGAGATCTCAAAACTCCAAAGCCAGCTCTGAATTAAACACATCGAAAAACTCTCTTCGGTCTTGATTTTCTTCCGGCTGCCAGGAAATGTCTAGTACCTTTTATTTCTCGAAATTACTTGAAGCCACGTACAGTTAAAGTTATATGTAAAGACTGGATAAGATTACAGTTATATATAGGTTATAATTATAGCTATTCAATTACACTACCAATTATAAGTACACAGAGACGCAACCAAATTGTTGCCAAATTTGCAATTTTTGGTGATTTCTCGCGAAATCTGGTGACAAAAATTAGTCGTCCAAACCACTGCCACATTGGCGATGTCTAGCCAATTTAATGAGAAAGCCATTTAAATCGACTTCTCCCTGCAATCTTCCTTTTTCTGACAGACCTTTGTTCTCTTCCTACTTTTCATTTTTACAAAAAATACTACAATTTCACTAAAATGATTCACTTATATACAAATTTTGTTACACTAAGTTGACCAAAGTAAGCCCTAACTAAAAGTATATCTAATGGTTAAAGAAAAAGTCTTTTTTTTTTTTTTAGAGAACATAATAATAAAATCCTTTGTGTTGAAAGACAAAGGACACAAAGAAAATAGTCTATAGTTATTTAAAACAAATTTTAAATGCCCAATATAATCTGTATTTAATATGAATGTTTCTAAAAAATATTTAAACAGATCATATGCAAACTGATAACAAAAACAAAGTCAAGAAATAAAAAATTGAGCACAAATAAGAATTAGGTTGTAAAAAAATTCAACAATAATGAACAAAGTATTCTAAATGCTGAACTAAGTGTTGCAAATGAACTAAATGTTCAACAAAGTTCAAGTTATTTTTGGATATATCTCAACTGAAACCATATATTGTACTTACTGGTTTTCCTTTATCAAATTTGATTTTTAAATCACCAACATTGATGAAGTCAGATGCGAAAGGTGCATAATGATATGGAAAATACCAGTTCCAAGAAGCACAGCCCTATGAATAAATTTTATAATCAATAAAATACAAAAGCAATATTAATAATTTCATACAATAGGCAGCTCAAAAACATATGTACAACAGAGATTCTAAAATTAGATGTTTTTTACTTTTTAAAATAAATACAAATAATCCTAAAAAAATTTATTCATAATCAAAAATATCTGATGTTTATAGTTTTCCCAGAAAATCAGACACAAAGTATTAACAAAAATATAACCTCCTCCAGATGATTGACTATTGTAGCACACGGTTTAATGCTATGAGAGTGGAGGACAGATGAATAAATATGCAACAGGGACTCGAACAATGAATGTGATTCACTCCATGATATTGCTTCTCATAAGATTAACAGAAGAAATTATTCCTATAAATATTCAAAACCTCATTCTTATACCCAGTTTAAAATTGTAAAACACTGCCCTCCCCCAAAGAATATTTAAAACATTATCAAACTTGGAAATGCTAGGAATTTACTACAGTCTGTTACATTAAAATGGGAAATTCAAAGTTATTTTCCATAGACTGACTTGCTTAGCAACCATGGGATTGATAACTGCAGCAGATTGTTCCAGTCACCTAATTTTTTCCTTCACTCCATTTCTGCTCAGCATGTGAATCAAGGCTGACCTGAACTACAATCTTGAGTGAGATGGAGAAAATAATGTTGCATGGTGAAGCTGACATTACAATCTCAAGAGGGGGGAGAGTAACAATGGCAGTAAAGTGCCTGTTTTTAAGAAACAGACAATTTATTAATTATAAAAAGCATTTATATATATTACATCTGCATACAATTTCATAATTTTTCCATCCAGTTTAGTCCAAGTTGTATATCAAAAAGAAAAGATTTAGTAGTTCCTCCCTCCACATTTATCCATCTCTTCCTTTTCTTCCCCCAAAGGTTAATAACACTTTTTCTTTTCTTGTAGATGGTTCAAAAGCAATGCATGGAAATGTCACTGAACAGAGCAGCCACTCTCTTTATGATTCTTCAGCATGTCTACAGAAGGCCCTTAATCGTTGCAACAGATATGAACTATTTGTATTCTCCCCCTCTTCAACTGACAAAATTCCCTTCTAAGTCATCTCTTCTTCCTGCTTAGGAAAGAACATACTTCCTTGGGGGTAATAGAGCATTGACAAATATACAGGGTGGTCTTAAAAAAGCTTCCCTGACATATGAATCCCTAGCGTCCCATCTGCTCAATCGATCAAAATTAAATTTCAGATATCGTTATTCAAAAATGTGCACCTGAGGCTGTGATAAATAAAACAATAGAGCTCTCATGGTTATGGTTACAGTAAAAAGAAATTAAATTTTCACGGGCATAACCCACTTTTTTCCTGCACAAACTGAAAAACCATAAACAGCAGCAAACTGAAAAACCGTATGCAGCATGACAAAAATTGCTCGCGTAAAACATTTGCAAAGAAGAGCATTACAAAGGACCAATGATGACACAAGAAAGGAGAGGGGTAAAAAAACTTTTATTGGAATTACAAGTTTTCAATGTGTCCACCACCACAGATGATAATGCACTGCATGTGGGAGATCATTGACAACAATGACAACAGGATTACAGCAGGAATCTGTATAACTTTTTATGGTATCTATCAGCTCTGATAAATTTCGTTGATTTGATGTGTGCAGCTTAGATTTCAGATAAACCCAGAACCAGAAATACATTCGAATGAGGTTGGACAATCACAGTTGCCATGATACTGAAGTTATGGGTGATGACTCTATCACACTATTGTACACATCAAAAACTTGTAATTCCAATAAAAGTTTTATTTCCCTCTTCTCTTTTGTGCTGTCATTGGATCCTGACCATACTCTTCCTTGAAAATGTTTTACATTGCTACTTTTTTTCATACGTGCATCGTTATAATGCCATTTATGGTTTTTTAATGCTCTGATTAATTTGTGAATGAAAAAGAGGGTGTTGCCATTCAAAAATTTGGAAACTTTTTCACCGTAACCGTAAGGGCTCTGTTGTTTTAAATCAACACAATTTCAAGCGCATACCCTCAAATAATATCTGAAACTTCATTTTGATTGGTTGACTGGATAGGCCACTCGATTCATATATCGAGGAAGTTATGACCGTCCTGCATATACTTATGCCTGCTCAACTCATAGGATTTGCATTATGGATCACAGACACTTTTTTCTCTCTCTTATATTTACATATTATAAAAACAAAATAAAACAAATTTAGTTCTGCTTTTAATGTTTTGAAATATTTGGGTGCAGTTTGTACTACAGGTTAAAGTTTTGGATCTGTTCATGTATTTGTTATGTAAGGCATTATTGTTCATTTTCTAAAACTAAATCAAATACAGGTTGCTTTGGTTCTTATTATAATGAGCTGCTTTACTGCTCTTTTAATCAGCAGTTTATTATATATCACTCTGGCTTTTGTACTCATGTCTTGGATCAAAGCTATCTTCAGCAAAATGTGCTAAAATATTTTATCAAAAGATTCTGCACTTATTTCTTAGTATCCTCTATACCACTGAAATGATATTATGCATAAGGTGAAACAGTAATTAACTACACATAACATTTTCTTTTAAACCACTATTTTCCTTCCTGTTAAAATAAGCATGTTGGCAACAGTATTAAGAAAAAAGTTTCCTCCATTGCTTTTTATTTTATCAGGTTCATATATTTTCTTCAAACATAAGACATAATATTATTTTAAAGAATTCAAGTTACCAGACTAGTACTTAATGATTTTTATTATACAATTAAGAGAAACAAATAGAGTGTTTGAAATCTCAATGATTACCTTAAATCCTGGTGGATACTATCGACCTTGTTTTGAAACATGTATATAAATCAGAAAAGAAATTCTTTAAATCATTTCCTGATATAATATTTAACCTATTATCAGCAGCAAAAAATCATATTATAAGGACTGTAAAATAAGAAAAGAAGTTTTGCTCAGTTGAAACAATCAAACACTTATATATAACCGAGAAAGGCAGAAAGCAACTGAATAGGCAGTTATGCTCTCAAAATAATGCTTTTATCATCCAGTAGAATCAATGTTACTCTTTTACTCATGCATCATATAAAAAAACTAACATAAATATCTTTTGTCATAAGCATTTTGAAAAATCCTACAATTTCAGGGTTAATTTTCTCAAATGCTTTCAAATACCATTTAAAAATATATAAATCTTAAATAAGACCTCATTTATATGTTTTTAATTTTTTATATTAAGATTTAATTTTAGTGTATAAGTAACAACATAAAAAAAAAAAAAAAAAAAAAAAAAGTTGCATTAGAAATTAATTAGATAGCCTGGACAAGTAAACATAGTAGTAGTAAAAGTAATACAATATGTGATCTACTGTTTTTGTTATTTATTTTTCAGATGGTGCCACTAAAATTAACTGTTGTTTTGATCATTTTTTTTTTTTTTTTACCATTTTATCAGATGTTCAAATTAAAACAATAAGAGCTGCCCAACTGGTATAATGGTTAGTGTCGCTGACTGCCATGCCGAAGGGCCCGGGTTCGAATCACGGAGAAGACATGGATGTTCGTAAATGTATAAGTGTTGGTGCGGCATGGCAGCACAGTCCTCTCATGTGGTTTGGTGGAAGGGGAAAGCAATTGGAGACCCTCGGACCTGTACCACCGAGCAGCTCTCCATCAAAATTGGGGGCAGAACTAAGCTAAATTGCACTGTCACCTGAATGGTGCTCAAGGCTGTTGCCAATGGCAGGAGTAATCTTGTGCTCCTTGCCACAAGGAATTTCATGGGCTTGGACTGACTATGTCAAACAAATGAGCATAAGCAACAACAACAAAACAATAAGGAAAAAAAAAAAAAAAGAAAAAAAAAAAAAAAAAAAAAAAAGAAAAAACAAAAAAAAAAAAAAAAAAAAAAAAAAAAAAAAAAAAAAAAAAAAAAAAAAAAGCAAAAAAAAGATTTAGTTTTAGTGGTGTCATCTAAGAAATAACTAACTTAAGCAGCAGATCATGCTGATTACTACATGATTATCAAAACGTTCTAACACAAAGGGGGCATTCTTATAACAGTGTTCTTTGCTGGCACATTCATGCAAGTTAATCAATGGTCTCAAACACAGAAACCTTTATAAATGTGCCCTAGCATAAAGGTGTATGTAATCTTATGATGATCAGTCTTGAAATTGAAGAAATGCAGCACTCGTAAGGGAGAAAATATCTTTTTGCAGGTCACTACCACAAAAATTGGATTTTCATTTGCTTTTAATCATCAGAATAGGAACTGAAACTTGATTTGTACTGTACTGTCCACATTCTTCCCTCTCCAAATGTAAAACTTTTGCTCATACAGTGGCGGCCAAAATTGTGGACACTTTTGGAAATTTTTATGTTTTTGAACTTTGGAAACTTATAGAAAACGTTACGTTTCGCAAAATGCAAACTTGTATATATCATTTTAAAGAGAATTTTTTACTGAATTCAATACAAAACACAAAATTCAATTATTTGCAATACAAAAAAGTTATATGTACTTTAATATAAATAAAAAACGCAGTTATGAAGTGGTTTGTAATGACATCTATTGATGACAGAAGAATAAAAAGACTATGTCTCCAAGATAAAAAAATGACATCAGCGGCCATCAGAAGGGATCTGAATGATGCTGGTATTTCTGTCAGTTCAAGAACAATCAAGAGAAGATTAACAGATGTTGGATTGAGAGGTAGAATTCCACGAAAAAAGCCTTACCTTAATTTTCAGCAACGAAAAAAAGACTACAGTGGGCAAATTAACACATTAATTGGACAGATGATCAGTGGTCACAAGTTATATGGAGTGATGAAACTAAGATATCGTTATTCAGTAGTGACGGGCGAAAATATGTAAGACGTAGAATAGGAGAAGAGCTACATCTTGACTGCATTCAAGCAACTGTGAAGAACCCAGTTAGTGTTATGATTTGGTCATGCATGTCAACAGATGGTATTGGTCGCCTTCATGTCATCAATGAGACACTGAATGGCAGAAAATACATTAACACTATTCTAGAACCAAAACTTCTACCTTCCATCACAGATCTCTTTCCCAACAATGCTTCGTTTATTTTTCAGCAGGATTCTGCTCCTTGCCACACAGTTAAAATATCGAAAGAACAACAGAAGTTTCGTACAAAGAGCATTCAATTGTTCTCATAGCCAGGAAACAGTCCTGACCTCAATTCTATCGAACATTTGTGGCACCGTTTGAAAACTCTTGTCCGAATGAGGCGCCCATCATATAAAAGGGAACTAATTGAGGCTATAATTGTTTCCTGGCATCATTTAATAACGAAAGAAGAGCTTAAAACTCTTGTCAGCTCAATGAAACTCGATGTGAAGCTGTAATCAAAAATAAAGAGTACCCTATTAAGTACTGATAACTCACTGCAATCATCACTATCTAATGTATATCGATAACTATTATCATTTCACTTTATTTGTATTGCAAATAATTGAATTTTGTGCTTTGTATTGAATTCAGTAATAAAATTCTCTTTAAAATGATATATACAAGTTTGCATTTTGTGAAACGTAATGTTTTCTATAAGCATACAAAGTTCAAAAACATAAAAATTTCCAAAAGCGTCCACAATTTTGGCCACCACTGTACATATATATATAAGAATGCAAGTAACTCTGTGAAGATTTCTCTTTTCACCAGCAATAACTGATTTGCTTAAAGGTGCCTGAGGAGCACCATGGGCAGTAGTCCTGACTAAAGATACATTTAAAATACAAACTCAAAAATAGTACGTACCTGATAGTAGTACTTAAGAACCCAACACAAACCTTCCACATAAGCATCAGCCTAAGCAAAAAAAATGCATACAATAATTATTTATTTTAATAGCATTTATTTAGTAATAATTAATTTCATAGTTTTTCTTTTCCAAAAGTACATACCACTTTATGTCTAAATTCATGATCATCTTTGCTAACTTTAAACTTCACTTCATAGTACCTATCTTTCCAACCATCTTCCCACAATCTAGTAAAAATAGAAAATTATTATTCAAAAGAACAAATCAAGTTTGTTACTAACATTACAGCGTCTGCTCCCTAAAATTAAATGATATATATAATGAAAAGAAATTAATATGAACAAGCTATTAAAAGTAACGCCACAATTAGCTTATAAAAAAGGAAATATATATATATATATATTACATATACCATATGAGTGGTCTGTAAGCTTTTGTAAGCAAAGAAAATCGTTAAGTGTATAATTGCTTTTTGCAGAATAAAGGTTTTTTAGCCTAAAGGGCATTATCCCAGAAGGGCTATTAATTTTGTTTTGGCATTTTTCGTTGAAAACTTTAAATGTCGGTTCACTTTTCAAACTGTTACCACCAAATATTACAGCCCTATATTATATTTAATGAAACTAAATAATGAAGAATCTGCATAAATGCATGTTTCTCGCATTGTGATAAAATGACGTTACCTAGAGCTATCAAATTTTGAATAATGTACGTTTCAACCCAAATACGGGCATCTGAAAGCCCAAATTGGAATTTGTTTTATTATCTATTTCATATTTTGTAAAACTTTTAATGAATTTTTAATTAACAAACTCAATGATTTCAAAGCGAGCAATGGCAACCCTGTATGGGAAAATTCTTTTTTTCTCCAGCGTGCGAGACTGTATATTGGAAATTCTAAAGGTATGCTGATTTTAAAATTATTTTCCGATATTGCTGTTGAACTGAATTTTATGAACATGATATTTAATAAATAAAGGTAATCAACAAAACGTTAATAAAATACCCCTTTGGGTGTAATATAAAATCTAAAAGCTTTCAGTTTTTTTTCGGGGGGGGGGGGGGTCGGGGTACTACCATCTTCAGAAAAAGAAATGTTAAAAATTTCCTGGAACCCCAAAGGTTTTGAAAAATCCATTTCAAAGATCAATGCACAGTATACAAAGATTGCTGGATATATCACAGGCTGACTAGTGTCCGAGAGCCAAAGTAACAAAATATTGAAAATCCACTTAATATTCTATTATCGTTAGTGAATTCAGTGAGTTACACAAGACTTATATCTTTCTTCATATTACTTCATCCTAATGAATATAAATACAGGTATATTTCTCTAAAATTCTCTATAAAGCTAACCATCCCCACAGGACGGTTGTTCTGTGTGTTTTGTCATAATAAAATAATTCATCCAATTTAATCAAATAATGGATTCACCCATATGGTGTGGCTACACAAACCCAGGAATATAAAGTAAAGGCACTACCACAATAATAATATGGAAGTGGCTTGCGGTCCAAATATTTTTTGAAACCAAGCCAGAATGAGTAGCCATAAAGAGAAAAAATACAAAAATGCTACAAACCAGTTCAACATAGGCCACTGCATCTTTATTAAAAAAGTTCAGGCTTAGCATGCAGTGGTGTAAAATTTGCCACTACCGAAGTAATGGCAATGCACAGTGTGAAGAAAGAAGTTGTGTATCATAATATTACCAATCAGTTCAAATTAAAAAAAAAAAAAAAAATTATGACACAGTTGTCTTTACTGGCTTGAGGTAGGTCTTTGCTAAATTTGGTAAAGCTCCTTTCCCTTACCAACAAGATAATAATTCTGCTTACACAACAAGGCCTGTGCAAGGAATAACTTCAAGAAACAGCCTTTGAAGAACTTGACTATAGAAAAGTCCACAGCATCATTAAACATATTCAGGGATGGCTTGAAATAATGAATGCAAGTCAGGCCCTGATTCATCATTAGACACATAAGTCAAGCAGCAATATTAAATAACAATAATTCTTGTAAAAAACTAGTGAATTTAAAAAAAATCTTCCAGATGAGTGCTAGCTGTGGGGACCAACTGCTCAATATAATTATGTTTCACAACATAGTTTGCAATGGAACAGCAGACATCAATACAGTCAAAAGTCGTTAATCCAGAGTCGTCAGGACTTCGGCGATTCCGGATTATCGATTTTTCCAATTATAGATCATCAGTTTAAATCTGGTAAGATGGCATGCAGATATTATAAAATTAAAAATATGAAACCGTAATTTATGAAAAAAGAACAATTATGATCTAAAGGGTATCAAAATTTACAAAAAGAAAAAGCTTAATATTTATTTGTTTACTTTATTAAACATTTCTTTCAATGTAAGTTGTTTAAGTTGCTTCGTTTCATGTGATAATATTCTTTAATTCTATTAAACAGACATAATTTTTTGTTTAGTTACAAAGTTCCGCTGTTCAAGTCCTAAAATTGCTGTGTCGAGAACACCGACTAATTTGTCAATCAAAATTTTTTTGTTTTCAATAACCTCTGTGTCACTTTCTTCACTATCGGAAGTAAGTTATAATAACGAGGTACTTGACTTAAATCATATCAAAGGAGTACATCGAGATGAAATACTATATTTAGTAAGGAATTATAAACCAAATAAAATAAAACATATCTGCCAACAACTGACAGATCTGACCCCCCTCGAGAAAGGACAATTCAGATTTAAATCGTTTCATGCAGAAGCACTTTTCCATTGATGTTTTGATATAAACATTATTTTTAATGAGAACAGCGTGAAATTGATAAACATATTTCGGAATGATTAGATAATCAAAGGATGTGCCTTTATCCATTTTTTTTGCAGCAACTCCACTTTCTGTTTAATGGAAACATACTTTCGCTTTGTAGATCCCTTACATATTAGCAAATATATATCGGAAATTCTATTTGACATAATCGAAAGTTCAAGCTTACTTTTATAAAATTGCTCTAACAGTCTGCAAAAAATAATAAGCCGGATCCAATTCGAAGGTTAAGGAACAACGCAATCTGCAACATTAACTGAATTAGATAATTTTAGCTTAGCTTATACCGTCCGTTATACATTAAACGCACATGCGTAAACGTATTATGCGTATGCGCACATGCATATTCGCAGCCGTAAAGGTCTTACGCGCACGCATAAATGCCTATGCGCACGTGTCAATGCAACGTATGCGGAGAAAGTTTGTAGCTTTGAGGTCCGGATTATAGATCATTCCGGATTATGGGTGTCGGAATTAACAACTTTTAGTACATTATTCATACATTAAAATTACATAGACCATATAGGCTTTTCTAGATTCATCAATTATGCTTAAAAACAAAATAACTTAATACAACATTTCTTACCGCACATCATCTTCAGGTTCTGGTTCATCATCAGAATCTTCATCTTCTCGCTTCCTTTTCTTTCCTTTGGGTGTTTCAGGTTTACTGTTGGGCTGAGATTGAGAATCAGCCTATAAAAAGAATCATTCCAAATAAAGGAAAATGAATATCAATAATATATACTGATAAATAAGCCAGAAATAAAAGAGTATATTAATTTGAAATTAAAAGTACATATTAATATAAATTAAAATTTTACTATTATAAGCATTTCTAGTCAATGAAACCTTCCTGCGAATTTTATTTCTGTAGAAGAAGTATGCCCAAAGGTTTATGGCATTTATCAAAATGACATAAATCTCTGAAGAGTTCTTGCTAAGACTGTGAATATCACTCCATCAAAATTGCTCCACATTTTAAATAAAAACACACAAACTCCACATAGCAAACACGCATTACATAGCTCATCACACTACATTCTCAAAAAACCACACCAGCTCTGACTCAAACTGAAACTGAAACTTTTTCTCACACAGTTTAGGGGTGCTACAATGCCCTCTATGGGAGACCTCAACACTGTCATAAGCATAAACTTTTATCAATTCTTAAAACATGGAGGACTTCGCAAAAAAAAAAAAAAAGGTAATATTTAAGAAGGAAAAAGTCTTCATACAGGATTATCTAGCCATTGTGAAACAAAACAATTATGAAATATCAGTGTTATGTGATGTTCCTTTGCATTAGACAAACCACTACATTTTTTATTTTAAGCAAAGAGCTTTAGAGCTATTTGCCTTACGGCGCCCAGTTTCAATTGAAAGCTTCCCACGGGATTAGAATCTGAAGATTTCATCCAAAAAAAAAGCTATATATATATATATATATATACAAGATAAAAAGTATATAAAACAAAATTATAATTTAATCTAACTTCTATTCTAAAAGTTCTAATAACTTGTCTGGATTGCACCATTTCTAGATCAATCCATCTTGCATGGCCTGCACAATGCTGATGGCATGGTTATTTTGGAATCTACACTCTAAGAACTGAAACCTTTCTAACTTACACCAAAACCTTTCTTTTAACAGACTGGGCAGATTGGATAAATGCGCAGTTAGCATGTAGCTCTGTTGCCAATCAGATGTCATTTCATTTCGCTTTGTTGTACTGCTAACTATGCCATTGTTTAAAATGTGATACTCTATATAAAATTGTGGTGTGCGTATTGCACTCATGATCATGTGCAATGAAAATATAGTTTCAATAATTAGTTCGTATCCAGCAATAGATTATGCTCGATTGATTATGCTACGTCTACGTCTCTCCTTCAAGTGTCATCTTTCTAATTATGCAGCAGTTTCTCCAAGTTTCTATCACATACATGTATATTAGTATATTAGTCACTACAAACCAACTTACTACAAATGACGCTTCAAAGCTAATTTTTGCAGCTGTCTTTGGCATTTAAACACCAGTAACAAAGAGTACATCCCTAAAAGTACAAACACTACACAGATTAAGAGCAATGAATACAAGGAAAACTGTTAAACAGACACTCACAGGCTGAAGCATAGATTCTAGTCGCTCTCTTCCACCAGACTGAGGCGAAGTGCCATACATCCTCATCTGATATGCTTCATGGCGGGCATTTTGAACTGGAGAAGGGGTTCTTGACAAAGACTAAATAAAAATTATAAATATGAAGAAAGTTAATAAAAAGTAACTAACACAAATATTTTAAATTAAAACAGTCTGAGATTGAGTATGTTGGAAATATTCAAAATCAAAATAACTTTATGAAGAATGGGATGTTCAATGAAGAGCTTTAAAATACTCAAGCTTTTTTTTTTTTTTTTTTTTTTTCCATTATTAGTGCAAAGGGAATTTGTCCCTGAAGGACTATTGTTTTCATTTAGTGATTTTGCGTTGGTTCACTATAAATGTCCGTTTCACTTTCCCAACTGTTGCCAACCAATATTAGAGTCCTGCATTATATTTGAAGAAATAAAATAATGAAAAATCTTCATAAATATATGTATATTTCTCCCATTGTGATAAAACAACAGTACATAGAGCCATCGAATTTTGAATTACGTAATCCTACTGTGAATATGGGCATGTGGAAGCCCAAATTTGAAATTTGTTTTATTATCGATTTCATATTTTGTAAAACTTTAATGAATTTTTGATTAACAAACTCAAGGATTTCAAAGCGAGCAATGGCAACATTACATTTTTATATCCAGCGTGCAAGACTCTGTATCGGAAATTCTAAAGATACGCTCAATTTAAAACTATTTTGTGATATTGCTCTTGAACTGAATTTTATGGTTTAAGTGCGATGAACGTGATATTTAATAAATAATGGTAACAGACAAAATGTTAAAAAAATGCCCCTTTGGACGTAATTTAAAATCTGAAACATTTCAGATTTTCTTTCTTGATATATTTCTTTAATTTTATTAAATATTATTAATATATTAATATATATATAGTATATATATATATATATATATCTATATTAAATTATATATTTTTCCCCAAGACATACGAATCGTGGAGTTATACTTTACTTTAAACAAGTAACAATTTGGTAATAAAATGTGTCAGTTTTTCTCTCATTTTTACAGAGAATGACTTTTTTAATCATATTAAATTTAATTTCTTTGTATATTTCTTATTAAGCCATCTCTAGATGCATATAGCATTCAAACTGAAGCAGTGTAACTACGTTCACAAACACAACTAAATTTATTAATAAGAAAACTATAAATTATTTGTTGTATTACTATCAATTATGAGTGATTGCAAAGGGTAGTAAATACAGAATTTTCATGGACACTATGTTTTTCTTTTCAAATGGGTTCAGTAATAAATGCAATTTCATCAAACTCTCTCTCTGTATCCTGCTATGTACTTCATTAAAAAAATACTTGCATAATTACATAAAATCTTAAAAACATTAATTCATCTCCACATATCTCCTATCTAGAATCATGTTAAGAACGTAATATATGAGGTGATGATTCAAATTGCTGTGAAAATAACAGTCAGCATTCGTAAAAGAATAAAAAAAATATGAAGTTTGTGTTTTTAAAATTTTTTATCAGGCGTTAAAAAAATTTAAAGTAAGTTTTATGATTTGCAGATAAATCATATGTGATTTTCAACTTCCTTTTTTCCTTAAAAAGGGAAACAACAACAACAAAAAAAAAAAAAAAAAAATTTTTTTCTCTTTTCACATATAGTACAGAATAGATTAAACTAGTTGGCTAAAAAAAATAGTCATGTAATTCTTTAAATAATTTTTTGACAGCATGTAAGGTACAGTTAATTTATTACATCAAGACACATAAACACCAAAATAGAATTCATGAAACAGTATGCAAAGCTTTTCATCACTTCATACAGAAAACATTAAATGCTTCTGAACTGAGTACAAACTACATGTTTTAATTATGTGATAATTAAAGAATATGATTATTAATAATTACTAAGTAAAATTTTTAAAGATATGAAACTCGGGAAATACTGGCACAGTGATATCAAAATGCTGAAATTTTACAGCCAATTTAAATAAATTTTTTTACACATGAACTATAATATAAAAAAATACTTCAATAATTGCTTCAATAGAATAAAGTTAAATTTTATTTTAAATAATTTAACAACATTCTTTATTTGTAAAAAGCAAATTAAAAGAAAATTTTAAAGTTAATTAAAAAATTTAATTTAATGCAAACAAATAAATGATTAATGTTGTGCGAACTAATCTACAATATCATTTAAATTCTGAGAGTATATATAAATCAGTGCAAGTATCAATTCATGAATAAATATAAAATTCTAAAAATTATTTAATCTTAAAAAAATTATTTAGAAAAATGCATAAGTGAATGATTGTTGAGCAGGCAGGAGTCAGACTTATCAAGGGAAAGTTGCCTCCAAACCTAACTTTAAAATTTGCTTTTTACGAATAAAGAATGTTTGTTAAATTTAATATATATATATATAATGAACATTTTAATTTTGATATTTTAATTTTTTAATTTTAAAATATTGTGATTATACATAAAGCATCTTTCCCACAGCTCAGAACTTTTTATTTAAAAATATTTATTTTTTTCCCAAAGTTTAAGAAAAAGGATAAAAATAGAAAAGTATATATTTTATGACAAATATACACTTTTTGGCTACAGATTCTAAGAAAATTTTATTGAAGGGTAAATTGCTAATCTGATGATATAAACGTTATTTATTTATTTCAAAACAGTTAAGGATTTTTAAAATGAATTATGAAAGGCACTAAAAATTCGATTCTCCTACAGTAAACACTAACCTCATAGCAAACTCACAAAATTTAAGCCCAAATTTTTTTAAGCTTATGCATCAAGTTTAAACATTAGACACACATAAAAGTATTTTCCTTTTTATTAGTAAATCTTCCATTTATTCATGACATATATCATTTCCACTTTTTCCTGCATAATCAAATTATGTTATAGAAAGGCAACATAAAATTTCTGACAAAATTACGAAGAAAATTATCAAATCTTATTTCACAACTTTAATCATATTTTCAGAATTTGAAATATTTTAGAGAATTTTATAATTTTTTACATGATAGATATCTTTTTTCCCTTTCTTTTTTGTTTGTTTGCCACCACAAAATAAATGCATAAATATTATACCTTATAAATGAATTACAAAAGAAAAGTCCATTTGTTTGTAGTTTTATTTCATAACAATAAGCAGTTTAAATCTGTATAATTTTTTTTAGCTCTCAATACCTTTTCTCTTAAATAATAATTTCTAAACCCTCCAAGGATAGAAAGTTAGCTTTCCAATTCATTATACATGAAAAATTCTGCCTGCTCCTGGCAGATCAAATTTTAGGTTTGATGCAGATTGGAAGAAAAGGGGTCAAGGTACCAAAGTATCATTTTAGAATTATAAGAAAGAACATATACATGGTATTTTGGAGGAGAACTTTAGAGTTTCAGAGACAAACCCTTAATGTTTGGTGATTTACACTACTCTAAAGATGTCTATTCATTAGATCTTATATGTGATTTATTTAAAAAAAACTGTTTTGTTCTGAAACACAAAGTTGAAAATAATAAACTTTAAATGCTAATTAATTACAATATGTTAAAAATAGATTTTAAATCATTTTAAAAAGAAAATAATGGAAAACACACACACACACACACAATATTTGTTTATTCTAGAAAGTCACAGCTAAAATATATGCAAACAATATTATTAAACATTCTAAAATTTAAAATAATAATACTGAACAGCAGAATAGCAAAATAAAATGATACAGATTCTAATGTATTTAAAGGATTAAACAAAATATAATTGAAAAATTTTATGACATAAGATCTTTTAAAACATACCATGGGACTAAATTGCCCACCTGGAGTCCAAGCAGGTCTGTCGTCATTCATCTAGGAAAAGATTTTTAGATTAAAGTTGATGCAAAGAATAATTCAGATATTGTTCACTGCATGAACACACAAAGGAATTTTTTATAAACTGTATAATTACTTAAATCAAAAACTATATATAGTGAAGTTAGTGAAACTTCAGTTCACAAATTTATATATATAGTGAAACCTCATTTCACAAATTTATGTTCATTCTCGAAGGTGTGTTGTCATCTGAAATGTTTGTAAACTGAAACTATTTTTCCAGAGGAATTATAGTAAAGTGAATTAATCAATTCCTAGACCATGCAGTTGCATTTTAAACTTTACAATAATACTTTAAGCATAGGTTCATATAACACAAAACCAATGGAAATTATAAAATATAGACAGACCCCCCCCCCGAAAAAAGAAAAGAAAAAAAAAAAGAAAGGGGAAAAGATAAACTATATTAAGCAAATAAAATGAGATGAAAACTTTACACAATCCCCCCCCCCCAAAAAAAAAACTCAACATTGAAGACCTCAGTCAACAATATAATCTGGCCATAAGTTAAACTGATTCGAATTCACTAGCTTTTAAATTACATGGCCCTTGTTAATGAATGAAATGAAAAGACTTAATAATGTTCCCAGAAGTCCCGGAGTGTTATTTATGTTTCAATGGTTACTTAAACACCTTTGAAAATCATTTGTTGTTAATTTCAGTCTCTATACCTCGACACATGTTGGGCAGCCAGCAAGTTGTTTTTTTTTTTTGATTCAGATAAATTGTTTACAAACTAATTTATTCATGAAAAGACGTATTTGTAATCTGATGTTTCACTGTGTTTAAAAATTTGACAATAATTACTACTACACGAAAAACAGATTATAAAATGTTTAATGAAAAGGAAGACAGGTTAAGATGATTCACTTATTTTAAAAGTTGAGTCAGTGTTTAAAAAGTTAGCACAAATGCTTAAAAAGATACACTTAAGGAGAAGATGATTCTACATTTTTAGTTCTGCACTATATTTTGCTGTCTCTAAATAAATAGAATTTTATATCATGTACTTTTTTCAGTAATTTTCAATAAAAATCCCTTTCAAGAGAGACACATGAAATTTTACTTAAATAACTGATTTCAGAAAACATGTATGAGAACTGCATAAAATTCTGCTTAGAAAAAATTATTACCTTCATTCGTTTCTTTCTGTCCTTTTGTCGTGCACGAAAAGCCAACTATAAAAAATAATGACCAGATTAACAACAGGAGTATTAAAATTTTTTATAAGTACTGCTTACAAGTATGTATTGCCATAAATTATTTAACAAATTAGCAACAGTTCTGAATTAAAACTAAAAATTTCTAATCTGTTAAAAATTTGATATAATTTTATTATTACCATTTTTTCATATCGCAAACTAAATTACTATGAGCAAAACCCATTAAAATGAAATCAAATAATAACAGTTTATGACAAAACACAGGGCAGAGAATAAGAATAAAACAGTGCGTAATATATTACAAGAAGCCAAAAGCCATTATTATTTTGTTTTTCCCAATGGCAGGTTGTGAACAGTTACAGTTTTGTAACAGAGTCCTTTAATCTATACTAAGGCCAGATGTGGTGGTCTCTTTATTATGGAGGCACCTAATAGGTGGGCCACCATTGCCTCCTATGAGGGGATGGACAGTTAAAACCATGCCTTCTCCGGGATTCGAACCCAGGCGCTTCGGTATCGCACTCAGGCTCCCCTAACCACTATATTGTCTGGGTGGCCGCCAAAAGCCATTATAATTACTTGTAATTTTATGAAAATTTAATTAAATTAAAACATTTCCATATGAGAACATGAAAATTTTCATATTTTTTTCTGAGTAATTCTGATTTAAATTTTATTAAAATACCATTTATTACATCTCACAAACTTCAGATTGTGAAAATTACCTCAGATTCCTGTCGTCTTTTAAAGATTTCATCTTCAACTTCACCTAAATCTGTAAAAAATATATAAATAAATAAATAAAATAAAATATTACAATATCTTGGTAAACACATCCACGATTTATATACATACCTACAGTATTATAGCAAGGATGGCTTTAAAATGTAAAACACTGCAATATTAGATGAAAAACTCAAATAGACTTTTTACTCTACTATTCTTAACTGTCCAGTTTAAAATGTAAAACACTGCAATATTAGATGAAAAACTCAAATAGGCTTTTTACTCTACCATTCTTAACTGTCCAATTTAAAATATATCAAACAAATTTAAAATTTAGTAAGTAATTTCAATACATTCTTCTGTATGCAAAATAAATTGCGAAGATAAACATACAGGTTATTAGACTAATTTATAAAATAAATTCAAAATTTACCCATAAATTGACTTACATACATAAAAATCACAATTAAAGTAATGAAATCTAATAGCTTATCTTAGTCACCCAATTATTCAATTATGATTTATTACTACAAATTGTAAAAATGAGGCACTTTAATACACAAAAAATGCTCCACAGTTGAAAACTGTATTTGACTTCTATTTTTAAGAGAATAACAATACAGTTTTAGATCCAAAACATCAACGATTATGTTGCATAACATAATCACTAGCAAATTTGTTCTTTAAAGAAACATCAGTGAAGCAATAACATGCAAAAATTACAAAACTAATTATATTCGTATCTCAAGGAATTTTAACCAGAAATGCTAGTTTCTCACTAATGCTAGTTTCTCACAAATGCACACTTAGTTACTTACGTTATACTTAATAAATTTAACATTCAATACATGATTATAAGCATTGCTAAAATTAGGTAGGTTATTTTAAAGCATTTTATAATTATAACATAATTTATTTTAAAGTAAAGAACCCATTAAATCAGTTGTACTGATTAATTAACTTTGTCATGCTGGAAATACATGAGAAGAAATATTTTGAAAATATACCTGTCAAAATCAGCTGAACTCTACATAATTCAACATCACCGCTATTTGTAACATATCCCTGAAAAGGGGAAGAAATTGTTACCAGTATTTTATGATTGTCAATTACATTTATAAAAATTGTAAATAAAATAGTTACAACATCAGGTTCAAAATTCCTCAAACAAAATAATACAAAAGTTGGAACTTTAAAAGTTTCAATTATTTATTAACAATTAAAAGAGATATTTCTGAGAAACTTTTATTGCAGACACGAATGTTATATGTAAATAGTTACCAACAATATAGCAATGCCTGTTCACCTGCAGCAATACCTGTTCTTCTCATGATTCTAATGGAGAAAACTGTTTCATGAAGAATCTTTGTAAAAATTTGGATACAAATGTCATAAAACTCTTCCTTTATTTTAACGCTCGTATTATAATCATAAGGAATTCCGTCATGTGAGCATGGTGCACGATAAAACACTTCTCAGCTCCACCAAGTGTCAGCACTTTTTTTACTGAGCTGGGAAGTAGGTTAAGTTTCAAATACAAACATTAATATTGCACTGATGGCTGCTCTTAAAATACAGTATGCATTAGAATAGTGCCATCAAAGCTAGATTTCAGAATCAGTGTAATCATCAAATTGCAGGTGTTCAGGTCAACTCTTGAATTTTGTAGTGATCTGTAATGATACCACTGCTTGATTAATGCTTGAATTTTAGTTCCCACATAATCTGGTTTAAGTCAAGCCAAATGACACAGCATAAGAAAGCTTCTACTTCACATTCACAGTGCTAAATAGGTTTGAATAACATCCTACAGCAGGCATTTCTGTATTTCAACAACTCCATTATTCTTGTTTTAAAAATACTGCACTACACAACTTCATCTGCAAACTCACGAGATTTTTTTTTTGTCCTCACATATGTGCATAGCATCATAAATAAGAGTTTTTTTATTGTAAGGTAGGTTAACAATTAAAACAGTGGTACCTCAGTATACATCATTATCTCTCTTAAACGCGATGGCCGGCTTCCAGTCATGAGATGTTTTGTTACTTGGTATATACTAGCTTATAATTTAAGATATTTTGCTTTCTTACTTTCATTAATAATATAAATGTCATCTTAATGAATGTAAATTTATGAAAATAGAGACTAAATTAGGTAAATATACAAATTTAGCTAATTAAGGCTGTTTAAATAAAGGTATTCATAACAGATCACAAAACCCAGGCTGCTCAGAGGGTTAATCTGTTCCAGATTCCAGATTCTTGGAGTTATACCAAACTGGATATATATCAAATGAACTTTCTGATAAGAAATAAAAGGAGAACAATGAATCTGTTCTCATAAAAAATATTGTTATAATTACAATACTAATTAATACTAAAATACAAATGCACTAGATGAAATATATAGAAAAATATTTATGCACATTGTGCATAAATATTTTTCTGTTATTCAAAAAAAAAAAAAAAAAAATTCCAACATGCTTTAATGTCAGTGATCTTTGTTTGGTAATCAATTTTACCCTCATGTCAATGTAAGCAGATTTAATTTTATCTTTCTTTTTCACTATTGTAGATAGTTCACTTTCTTCATGCCATCTTCATACTTTTAAACACCTTTTATGATCCTAACCCATTTCTTCATTGTTTGACACTTCTTATTGACTTTCTTAAAAAATATTGTTCATAAATTTACAAAAAATAACCAAAAATACACAAAGTTATGTGAAAATTCAGATGTGAAAATAATAGCAGCAGGAATAGTGTCGTTCGTGGGCAGTCGAAGAATTGTCTCAAAAAAGGTAAACAAGTAGTACACCAAGTGATGACTCATCAAGCTTGAGTCGTATTCCAAACAAAAATTTTCATGTCTAAACAGAAACTTATATCAAGTTGGTTTATTTTATAACAGCCATATACCATGGTCCTATTATAACAGCATATAAGTGAGAAGTAAAAATTATATTTTATAGCATATACACAGCAGAATTGAAACTATTAAAGTTCCAACCTATGCACAAAACAGCAAAAAGGTAAAAAAAAAAAAAAAAAAAAAAAAACTGCAACATATTTAAAGATTTTAGAAGAATTAAAAAGACTTTTTAATGACAGAATAGTTTTAAATTTATTGCCAAATGATTTCTCTTCTCTGACATTATATAGTTGTACAAACTCTGATGCTGTGTCTCTATGCTTTGATACTACATCTCAACATCTGAGTAATTTTAGAAGAGTAAAATTATATAAAAACATGTCAAAAATTGATTTGAAAAATCAGAAAAATATGATAGATGTAAAGATTTGAATAAAACCAGGAAAATGACTCACTTGAAGGAGTTATATGATTTTATGCATCAAAGAAGCATGCTGTTTCAAAAACACGAGTTATGTGAAATATTTAAAAAGGTGGCCAGGGAAAAAAAAGGGGAGAGGTGTCTGCTTTTTATAAGTAAGTTGAAATATGTTGTTGTGAACATAAAACATCTACAGAATTTCCGGCAGATCAATGATCAATATACAATTGAGAATTATTTAAAAGGCAATATATTATCTTACGTTTCAGAGGATTTTTGTGATAAGATTGAGACATAAAATGCTAAACATTTAAAAATATATATTGGTAATGTTACTATATTATGTAAATTTGTACATACTCCAGTTCTATAAACTGCCTTCTTATATAACTCAACAAGCCTGTCAATTGCTCCTTCCCTAAAGGAAATTAACAAGTTAAACATTAAATAATCACTGCAACACAATCATTAAATGAGAGATTTTAAAAGAATTTAAGTTAATACATTAAAAAAGGCAGAAATTCAAAAATAAATTAAAAAAAAAATCATTTTCCTTTATAAAATTCTAAAGTTAAAAAAATATCTTTTTCCACCTTAAACCTAATTTAAGTTTTTATTTTAAAATCATAAACTACTATTAACTAAAAAGGAAGGTGTGAAAATTTATACCTTATTTCAAGCGAAGGAAGATGAGGTAAAAAATCATTTCCAACAAAGAAACACATGAACACCCAATCATCAATAACACGCTAAAATAAAGAAAAAAACCCTATTTTTAACATATATTACAATTGATTAAGCAGCAACAAAATATTATCTAAATAGTGAAAGATGCCTTAATAAATGTATAATACTTTTATTAAGTTCTCCTTGCCCCACAAAGTCCCCAGAAGGGCAATTTTTAATAGAAAATACATTAATGTACCAAACAAGCAACTTTTCTGATTTTGGCCATAATTCCACAAAAATCAAACACATCATTTAAGTACTACAAATGTAAAATGTAGTACTTAAATGATGAAGAAAGTAGAGCAGCGAAACAATTAATAGGATTTTATACAGTGCGGAATGAATAGAAAACGGCTTTGCTGGTACAATGGCACTGGTAGAAAATACTGTCTGGCTAAGAAGAACAACAAATGAAACTGCCTTAGTAAGGGATATGACCCCCCTCTAACAGAAACAACTGTGTTGGATCATCTGTTGATACTGAACACTAAATTATGTAACAGGGAAAGAGTTCCCATTCTTCAAACAGCATCAGTTTCAGTTGTCTGGTGCTCTCCAGAGGGTATGATCATGCTGCCAGGCATCTGTCTAAAGCAGATGTGTCAAACTTAGTATCTCGAGTGGGCGCCAAATAGTCATCAGTGTACAATAAGAAAAGGCCCTTTTAACGCTTAATGATGTATTTAAAAAGTGAGTAAATAAATCAGATCTTATCTATTACTGTAGATCCGTAAAAGTAACATAAGGAAATCCTGGTAATAGATGGATACCCATTGTTTTTCCTCCGACACTTAGCATTTTTTCCCTGTAACCAACTTTCAGATGTCTGTAGACATGCAGTTCACATTTGCGGTTTTCAGAACAGATTGAATGAATGTCTGTTAACCAGGATCTTATTGGGGGCCTGTTCCTTTTTATAAGTAAAAAAAAAAAAAAAAAAAGGATACCTAGAGCGCTGATTTTTTTCATTTCAGTTGCACAAAATTTCTGTAAATTCTGACTGAAAAGGGGCTACAGTATTCTCAGTGTCAATTCAGAGAATATTTAGCACCTGAAATCAAGGGAACACACTGACCAATATATTCTGTGGATATCTTCCCTTTCCAGGAGCTCCTCAATAGAATGAGTCCTGCATGACTGTGTACTCTCATCCACAAAAATTATAAGTCAGGACTAATGCACCCTAGAAAAGACGCATGCAGAAAGATAACTTCATCAATGTCATGATTATTGATAAGTGAACCTCTGTTAAAAATGCAGAGCTCTAGCTATCCGTTCATCTTAATACCTTTCCACAAAAGCACACAAGGACAATCACAGCAGTCTCTTTTCCTGATGTGAGTGGGATGAAAGTATAAGCCAAAGTCTCTCTATATAAACTGGATATGAGAATTGTTAGCCAAACACAAATGGTTCTCACTGGAAAGAGGACTTGACTCCATTCCTGAGGTGTTCAATCTTTGTATTCTTCACATCACTGTAAATGGTGCTGCTGATGGGCTGTTGTCAATGGTACGCAGTGTTCATGATGGCAGGTGAATATGCCACCTTTATAAAGTCATTTGACCACAGTAAACCTACTGCCTGGTTGCTGAGCACAACTTCTGAGAGATGTTGCCCGTTGTCTGGTTTCGATCTCTTTTTTGCCTGCAGGTTAGTATTAGTTTTTATTTAGTATTTGGTTCATCACTGTAGAAATTTAGCTCATCACTGTAGAAACACACTTCTGCAATTTTTAGCTTTTACTGCATCTTTCTCTTTAAGAGATGCATTTCAGCACTTCAGAAATATTCATGCCTTTGAAATATCATCCCAAAGATAGCAATAAAAAATAAGACGTTTTGAACAGTTATTTATAACAAAGCATACATGAGCTACTGCTATAAGAAGGAAGATGCATTTTTGAGCAAACTGTTTTCGTTTCTGAGGGAAACAAGCTCATATTTCAGAATGGACTCTTTGTAAAGTCATGAAAACCCCATGCAAATATTGGGACATATTGGACTCTAAGATAGATCATTTGTGCTTCCTGGTTTTATTTACTATGTTAGGTTAAAGTGGAATCAGAATTAAAAAATATTCATGAATTAACACACGTTCAAGGCCATACCTTGATTTAGGAATGCTTAATCAATTGAACGTTGAATTCCTGGATGATTTTGCATAGAAATTAATTAAATAATGAAAGAATTATTTCTAGACCATAACAGCAAATGAAGAGGTGAAGTTTTCTTTAAAAAGTGATATTTTAAAATAAGGAACAAACAGAGTGGTAATATGCTTACAAGTCCCGCACATGCAAAATATACATGTATCTGATAAATATGTAAATAGTTCTAGAAAACAATACTCATGAAATGCCTCTGTTTTACTTAGCGCTATCTATACAAGAAGAATCATAGAAATTATATTACCTCTAAGTCAAAAGGAAATGGTAGATTTTCCATAGTCAATTCCTTAGCTAAATATTCTCTTAAGACATTCAGTCGAATAAATATGAATTCAACATCTTGTTCTAAAGGTTTCTCTAACTCATCAAACTGTAATATAAATAAAAAAACAAACAATAATGATAATGGCTCTTCCATTGTAGAATACTAGGTATCATAAATTCCTGCTATACAATGTATTTAAAGTTTACATTTTGAATTGGCAAATTAAAATGCAAGAACATGAGAAAAAACTTAGTGATACAGTACAATGTCTGATATAAAGAATCATTCCGACTCCATTGATTTTGAATTAAATCTAGTATGATTATGAGAAGAAATTTTACATTAAAAATATGAAAGGTTATTTGTAATATAATGAGGCATTCATTTATGATCTTAAACAAAATTTAAAAAAAAAAAAAAAAAAAAAAAAAAAGAAAAGTCTTAATTTTTAACATCTGTTTTGTTCTAATAAAACTTTTTTCACCATAAATTGTTTGAGCAATTTTGTCTTATGTCATAATTATTTATATTATAATATATAGAATTTAACTTTGCAACTGAATTTTTTATTCAGTTGCAAAGTTTTATTGTTCCAGCCATGTAATTGCCATGTCGAGAATTCTCATTAAGTGATCAACTGAATCTTTGTATTCTGATATTATATTAAACTTAAGTGATTGCACACCAGTATTATGTGTATCATCCAAAATACACTGATTTTATTTCATTTATACATAATCTTTTACAAAAACATTTTATTTTTTAAATTCTATTTTGTGCATGTAAATAGCTGAATTGATAACAAAACTATAAAACTTAAAAGGAACAAAAATGCATTTTGTACAAAATTCATAATTTAAATGCATTTTTAAAACTAAAAATAGAATTTTTCACATATTTTATTTATATTAACAATTATATTTTACACAATTCTGCAGTTTCTTACCTCTCCTTGTTTCTCTTTTGCTCCTCCTGTGCATTCTTTCATTTCATGACCTATATTATATAACAAAGTAGTTACAACATTGCTAATGCATTCATTATTCAATTTCTCTTAACTCAGAAAAACAAAACAATATCTATATATGTAGTTAAGTATTTAAAACTATATATATAGTTTTAAATATTAAACTTAATAAACAAAGTTGTTAGATATTTAACTTAACAAGCAAACATTACCTAATTGTCCACATAATTCACATGGCCTTGGTTGATTTGGTTTGAATTCCTCACGGATAATTGTAAAATTAGGTTCGTGTGTAGCCAAACCTATACAGAATAGTACAAAATGTCAATCAAAATAACATAAATATTAAATTCAATTTGTAAATTCTTTCTAAAATAAATTTATGCTTTATAGCATAGGAGGAAAACATAGATGATGATAAAATATGCATAGATTTATGAATTATATTAAAATAATTCAGAAAACAGTTTTTTAATAATCTATACTGCATAAAAAATATTTTGAAAGACTTATTCATTTAGCATTTAAATGAATTTTCACAACCCCTTGAAAAGAAAATGTTTTCCTGCAAGTGCTGTGTGTCAATCCTAGCTGTTGAGGACTTTCCTAAAAAGAAAAAAAAAAGTATTTTCTTCCCCCCCTTTGCTCGTTTAATAACCTTTTTTTTAAGGGGGGAGAAGCAAAAGGTGAGGCGGCTTTTTTTTTTTTTTTTTTTTTTTTTATATCAACAATTAATTACAGAGCAAGGGCACACCTGCATTTTATCATTCTTTTTGGTAACCTTTACCTCACTGAAGTTTCTTAGCACATTGTCTACTTGTGTTAGATTTTACTGCATTTTGTATCAGATATTTACTAAATTTAGTGAAGGATAAACAGAAGCAATCTATTATTTCCAGGCATGTGATATTTTGTTAACAAAAACTGTTCCAGTTCTCATACAGTGGAACTGTACATAAAAGAAAATGCATGATGGAAATATAATGCTGATAACTGCTGACATAGTGTTAGAATAAGAGCTGGAAACTGGCTCAAGGGAAGTCATTTGCCTTCTTAATCAATAGAGTCCATATGGAGGTTGAGACAAAGAAAAACAATCTGTTTGATGTGATTTTAATGTAAATGTCAAACTATTCTTGCCAGACACCAAGAAACCTGCTTATCAATCTGCTGACATAGAACCTCTGGTTGCTAATCCCACATCTTTCACTACCAGCATGAAACTAGAAAATTTTGCTCATCCTGAAATTTTTGCAGGCTTGAAATTTCTCTCTCTATTTTAAAGCACATCCCTCCTCACCTCCATTTAATCATCAATAATGAATTTTCCATTGAAAATATTCTAATCACTATTTAGACTTTAGACATGATTCTGTTAACAGCTGGTATTTACTGTCATCTAAATTTTTGTATTTGCATAGATTTCACTGTCTGGTTTTGAAGCACTTCCATTTACAGTTTTTGCCATTTATATTCAGAACATGGCTTGCAGGAAACATACTGAGAAATAAAATGTTCGTTTCTGATTGTATCGCTGACAATGAAAGTTATTTTGAGCACAGCAAAATAAATTGTTAACAATCGGACTCATCTCCAGACAGTGATGAATCTGAAAATGATTCAATAACCATCCAAAATGTTCAGCAGTGGTGCAAAATAAGATATAAAAAATATTCCACCAGCACACACCTTATTTCCTTTTCTTCGCAATCCAGGAATAACTATGAATATAATGAATAATGTAACTATTTTGGATTACTTTGAACTTAGGAACATGTTATACACTTGGAAGACCTTGTACTGCTCTGAATTTTTTGAGAGTGATAGCTCATCATTTTGCAAGTCACATATCTCCTAACCCACATAAAAAAATCTGATGTGTACACCACATGACTTCCTTGTATGGAATATTAAATTATATGCATTTTTTCCTTGCATTTCTTTAAACTTATTGGATTCAATTAAATCTACTTCGCTGACAGCGCATAAACCACAATAGAATAAAGGCATTCTTTAAAATTCACTCTATTTGTTTAACATAGCGACACTCTGGCGCTAGGTTCACTTAACAGTATTATATTTTGTTCATATTATAACTCAGAATGCACAAAATTTATCTCATTTAAAGAATTATCTAATCGTTGCCACATGTTCTTTTCAAATACTATAATAAAGCTAGAATGATGTATAAAAGAAATTAAGCAAGCAAAACAAAAAAGAAACAGTTTTCATAGATGATTGAGTATTTCTCATTCAATTAATTCAGTTCTCACTTCGCGACAAGGCAAAAATACATAAAAGCTCAAAATATCTGTATTACAAATTACTAATTATTAGAAATTAAGAAAATCTTAAAAACGTATTTCCTTGAAAAAATTCCAGAAAGGATTAAGCATGATTTAATTCACAATAATAAATGAAGGCATTATCTTTGTTGTTGCAAAGCTACCTTTCTCTACATTGGCAACAAATTCACTACTCTGTTGTTTCAAATGTAAACAAGCAATGGCCGCCATCAAAAAAATTATATTAGGCTTAGTGGCACTTAAATAACTTTAAAATTGTTGATAACGCTAAAAATATTGCATAGAGATCTATTAAAGGCATAAAAACCTTAACCGGAAGACAAGAACAACATAATTCAATCATTTTTAAAGCAAAAAATGTACAATTTACAAACATATAAGAGTAAAGAAACTGAGATCACTGATTCAAGTAACAGAGTGGATATATATATATATTTATATACGTTTGGCGCGGCCGATTGCAACCAAAATACGAGGTGCACATCTACATGTTATAGTAGTCCTATATACAAAATTTCAACATTCTGAGGCTATTCGTTTTTGAGTTATGCGAGATATGTATGTACGTATGTACACACGTTCATACAGACGCCATGAAAAAGTCTCTTCAGAATTCATTTGAAAGCAGTTTTATAACTTTTTTGGAGGAAAAGAGTCTTTTATTCTGTCCTTACGTACAGATATCATGCAAAAACATCGTTAAATTGCATTCGAAAGTGGTCAAAATGGATATTTTCGTTGAAATATGCTGCCTGCAACTTTTCGGGATTACAAAACTTCCTTTTTACTTTGTACAAGGAAGTAAAAAGGCCTTGCAAATAGTGTGCTGTTTGTTGGTCCCCCCCAAAAAAACTGCAAATGGTAAAAAAAATTTGCAAAGAAACAACGATTTGCTACAAAGAACATAAAGCAGAACTTTGCCTGGAAACTTGTTTTGAGATGTACCATACTAAACTTAATTTCTTAAGTACTTTGTGCAAATATTGAATATTTTCATTATTATACATTTGTATTCATTCTATAAAGTAAATAATAATTTAATCAAGATTTATTTTCAGAACTTTTGACTTTATATGATTATTTTTTAAATTCATTTTTATGAAAGTCTGTTCTTATGCATAAAATCTATATTAAAAAAATTTTGGCTGCAAAAATGTGCTACATATTTTAAATCTCAAATACATGTAGATTTGAAATATGCAATTTTTGATGCGATTTCGATAAAAAAAATCGAGCAGCCAGAGAGTTAATAATACATTCTATAGTACAAAGTCCATAATCCGGACGTCCATTATCCGGACCTCAAAGCCACAAACTTATGAATGCGCGTTTGATGCGCATCCGCTACGCATGCAAGTAGAGCCAGTAAAGCGTTAACCCATGCATGCTTCAAATAGTGAAGAAAGTTACATTGAAAGAAATGTTTAATAAAGTAAACAAATATATATTACGCTTTTTTTTTTTTTTTGTAAATTTTGATACCCTTTAGATCATAATTGCTATTTATTTCATAAATTATGGTTTCATATTTTTTAATTGTATAATTTCTGCATGCCATCTTACCAGATTTAAATTGATGATCTTTAATCTGGAAAAACCCCTAATCCAGAATCGAAGTCCCGACGTGTACAGATTATGGACTTTGTACTGTATCACCAAAATATATCAACAGATGGTTGATGGTGTGTTGGCAGCTGCCATTTAACCCTTTGACTACCAACCGGACATATAAAGTTTAAAAAAGAGGAGAGAATCAAAATTCATTCAAGAGAAGGAGAATCTCTTGAATAGTTGGGGATCATCTTCCAATAGTTGGAAAATCAAGGCACTGCTGTGCTCATTGCACACAAATGAACACTGAGGAAAGAAGAAATACAATTGTCCAATGTGTAATGTTGGGTTAATGCAAAGAATGCTTTACCCTGTACCATGCAATGTAAATCTATTTCATATAATAAAGTTTTCCAGAATAATCAGTGTGCTTATAGTAAGTCAATTGCTACGTGTGGGACATATGTATCCCACCATTCACTATAGCTGGGACATATGTGTCCTAACCTTTGGCTTGCAAACAGTTTGTCAAAAATATCACAAATACTAATTTTACCTTATTTATAACATACTTTGTTCATAAGGATAGAAATGGGGTAATTTTTTTAACCCATAGTTAAAGGTTAATACTCAAATACCAAAAACGATACTTCTGAGAACCAACATGCAAAATTACAAAATAATAATATATATAAAATTCTGGAACACTTACCAAGCATAATGAGGTCAGCTGAAAATATTAGTTTGAAAATAATTAATAAAAATTTTTTAACACAATGGAAAAAAATTACTTGTCAAATTTAAATATTAGATATTTGCATAAAATCTATTCAGAGTAATAATAGGAAGGAAAACTTCATGTGATATGAAGTATATTTTAAAACAACAGCTTAAAAATTCTTTTTAGAGAAATATTTCATAAAATATGAAATAAAAAGTCAGACAAAAAGAATTTGCACTAGAGGGCAACTGTTTAAAAGCAGTGGTAAATAAATAAATAACACTAGTCTGTGTAAACTGAGATTATCTATTTTTTCCTAACCACATTTCCATCTAATTACTAATGCAGAAGGGCCTATAGGTAATTTAATTTGAGGAAAGGAATTTTTTTAACTTAAATTTAGAACATATAAATGAACATATTTTACTAAAAAGTTTCACAGATTTTAAACAATAAATTACAAAAAAAAAAAAAAAAAAGGTTCTTGTAGATTTTAAATTTTAAAGCTTGCATGTTGAGAGCTGCTGAGCAAGACTAGGTTTAAAGAGAATTTAATTTAAGGATTCTTAAGTTTCGTCCAAAAATTGCTACTATGACATAACATGAACATGATTAGCTATTTAAAGTTATTACTTGAATATTATTGAACAGGATGTTTCATTTTTACTGTTATATAAGCAGGTGCATTAATAACACACAAAAAGGGATGATGCACATGTGAAATATAAATGACAAATACGTTTAGGAACAGAAAAAGAGGTACCACTTAATTAAATGAAAAACTTAAGGGGTGGTTAAAAATTTAAGATACACATTAATATATTTAGTTAGCCTGCACATGAATATTAAAATAGCATTACCATCAGCTCCACACAGACAATGACGTGTATTTGCATCATGATCTGGGTTTGCTAAAACACAAAAACACAGTATATGAGTAAAATATAGGGCAAACAGAAATAACAGTTTAAGAAAAAAATTAATTAAATAACATATATCATTCATAACTACCTCTTTGTCGTCTAATAAAATCCATGATTTTATGCTCTCCTTCACCTGGAACATTTGCATCAGATAAAATAACTTCAATATTTCTCCAACCAGGATCACTATTCAATCTGTCATGGATGTAGTAATGCAAACACTTTGCAAGCCTTGCCATAAATGGAGTACCCTAAATTAATAAGCATATGACATAATTTAATCAAAAATACTGTTTCGATGATGTCAATTTTACAGACACAAAATCAATCAATCGGAAAATGTAAATGTATGTGCTTATAAACCTAGGTGACCATTGCTAATACATTTATATATATAGGTGCATTTTTTAATGTTCACTTTCTTAACTATCAGCATACTGAAAGTAATAAATCTAAATTTAGATTACCAAAGCAATTAATACTGCCTTTGTCATCCAATTTTGTCAGCAGGAAATAAAATGACCATGAAATATTTCATGAAACCTTAATGTTATACAAATAAAACTTGAAAATTAAATTCAGCCAATAACAGTCAGATTTTACACACACACACACACATATATATATATATATGTAGTATTTTCAATGTGCTGTAAAACTTTTCAACGTGCGGTACATTTTGCAGCTTTCGATAGTCAAGTGAAAAGATGACGCTGACACAAATGAATTTGAAAAATTTCTAATTTTTATTTACACATACTAAACCATTTTTTAGCAGATAGAATACCTTCTAGATCACAAGCAAATACAATAATTTTTATATACGCAGGTAAAGGGATACGACGTCATTTTACGCAAGTGGGCATAGCAGCGTGCAGATGTTGGAAGACAGAATCTAGGGAAAGGAATGATGTAATTGTTTTGCAAAGCTGTATATATACTGAGTAGATGTAGAAAGTACTCTAAGAATGACTGGTTAATTTTAGGTTGCTGTGTAACATGGAAACATCCAATTTTGGGGGCACAACACCAAATTTAGAATAGTTAATTTTGTTGCAATTTTTTCTTAAAGCAGCCATCATATTTTGTTATATCTTACATATATACATATATAATGAGACTAAAATGGGAATAAATGGTTACTGCATGCTATTTATAAAATACATATGAAGAATTAGCATGCTTTTGTTAACTCTTTCAATACACTCATATATTCAAGACACAGTCATAAAATCAAAAGCAGTTTTAACACTCAGTATTTAAACTTTTTTTTAATGCAAACATACCGGTGTAATACAATTGCTATCAAAATGTTCCTCTTTAGGTTTTTCAGGAGGTAACTGTACTCCTTTACTTGTCAATTCTTCACGCAAGCGTGAAATCAAATCAACTTTCTCAACAGACTCTTTAGAAGCCCGAAATCTTCGAGATCTTTGTTGATTCATTTTTGCTCGAGGTGCCTGCAATTATAATTATTAATAATATAATAATTGGTACAATGAAACTAATAAAACAAAATGTAATCTATGTAGTCAATCAACTGGACAACAATATCGAATAAAATGGCATAAGTTTACTAAAACAAATTTTACAATTGTAACAGTTATTCTAAGTTTTAAAACTAGTAATAAAAAAATTAATTTTCCCACAATTATATAATACAATACAAAGAGTGACATCTAGAATTGTCAGAACATCGGAGATTATGGATTTCAGGAATTTTCGGATTTTAGATCATAAGTTTAAATACAATAATATGACATGAAAACATAGCAAAACTGGAATTTCACTTAATATTTAAGTCAGATAGAAAAATGCTAACCACATTGCCAACCTCAGGGCAGGTGCAACTAGTATGGGAAAAAATTCAGAATATTAGATCAACACCAAACAGAAAAAATTAGGGATGGAAGAATTTTTAGAATTTAAGAGAGATACCAGGCAGCACAATTTTTAGAATTTAAAGAGGTACTGGGTAGCAAACTTAGGACTCATAGAAATTAGATTGAATGGCAATATGTGAAGTGCTGGCACTGTCCCTCCCCAACAACCGTTCAAGAGCCAAAAGGCACACATGTCCACGCCCAGAGCAGGTGCAACCAGTGTGGCAAAAATTTTAGAATTCAGATTAGTACCTAACAGAAAAAATTAGGGATGGCAGAATTTTTATAATTTAAGAGAGATAATACCAGGCAATACAATTTAGGAGAGGCAAAATTTTTAGAATTTACGGAAGTACTGGGCAGCAAACATAGGACTCGTAAATCAGGTGGCAAAATATGTAGTGCTGGCCCTGTCCTTCCCCTATAACCATTCAAGAGCCAAACGTGTAATCCAGGCCAACATGAATACAATGCCAATCAATGCAATGTTATTGACTACAGTGCAACCAGGTGTTTGAAAATGACATGCATGAATCTTAATTACTTAAGAAAAAAATTACATTTACTACACTCCTGTTTCCACTGGTATCATACTCTCTATTCCTAAATTTTATAGTGGAGATTGTTTTCTCTTTTCTCCTCGTTCTGGCTGGGGATCTGGAGGTCCAGATTTCAGACTTTGCATAGTACTTTGCCATTTCTAATACATTGAAATGCTTCCTATCTTACATTTGTGACATTACAGAATTAATTTATTTGAGCAGCTTAAGAAACTTACTAAATTTAAACTTAAGAAACTTACTAAATTCCAAGGTAAATATGCACTTGCCAAACTTTGTGAGTACAGAACTCGGAACATTTTTGAAAAAAATTTGTTCTTTTTTTTTTTTAAAAAAAAAAGGGACTATGCAAATTTTACAGAGAAAACTGACACATATCTGAATATTTTGAAACAATGGCACAGGAAAAACTCTAATATTACAGAAGAAAAACTTAACATGTGAAATTTATCATAAAATGATTACTTTTTAATTCATTTTGCTTTTTTTTACATAAGAAGGTTAATATCACATCATGTGTTCAACCTTGACAAGAATCAGCGTGCAAAGCACAATGTCACCAAAAAGCAGAATTTTATGAAAATGGATTTATCTGGCAATCCATTAATGGTTACACATATATTATGGCATCACATAATGCCACCATCTATATCGGGAGTGGTGATCGTAATTCCTGCAGTTTCGAAATTCGAGGTTCATGTTTGTCGTTTATGTTTGTGTGATTAGTGTATGTAGTTCTTTTTTTAAACCCAAATGGGCAGCTCGCCCAGAAGGGCTACTAATTTCGTTTTGGCATTTTGCATTGGTTCTATTTTAAAAATGCTTCCACCAAATATAAGAGCAATGCATATTTAAAGAAATTAAATAATGAAGAATTTGCATAAATGTATGTATGTTTCTTGCATTGTGATAAAAAAACAACGGTACTTAGAGCCATCCAATTTTGACTAACATATATTTCCACCTGAATATGGGCATTTGGAAGTTCTACTTTGGAATTGGTTTTATTATCGATTTCAAATTTTGTAACACCTTTAACAAATTCAACGATTTCAAAGTGAACAATGGCAACACTGTAGGGGGGGGGGAACATTTTTATCTCCAGCATGCGAGACTGTGAATCTAAAATATGCTCTTTGAAATATTTTGTGATATTACTGTTGAATTGAATTTTATGGTTTAAGTGCAAAGAACATGATGTTTAATATGTAAAGGTAACACACAAAATGTTAAAAAATGCCCCCAAGGGTGTAATATAAAATCTGAAAACTTTCAGACTTCTTTTCTTATTTTTTTAACACCTTGTAAAAAATAGTAATGCATGAAAGCAGTACACATTTTCAGAAATACGGCCTTTTGCCTAGTAGTACGTGAATGTAAGAATGAGCATTCCATGAATTTTTGTGATTCTTTCACTTTTTTTTTTTTTTTTGAAATTGAAACAGTTGATTTGTACAACGTGACTAGTGTCAAATTTCTGCTCTACAATGTCAAGAATTTTGCAATTCAATTACTTTTTTTTAAAGTTAAAACAAATCATTGAGCACACAGACGAGAAAATAGAAAGTGTTTTATTATGGACTTTTTTTGCATTTTTAATTCAGTTAATTTATTAGTTTTATGAAATTTTGAGTTTCATTACAGATGTCTGTTTTATATAATTTTTACTGTTTCAATATGCATGTATCTTGCATTTTTAATTTCTTCCTGTTTTATGTAATTTTCAGATCACTGCCATTTTTTTTTTTTTTTTATTACTACTGTTTTTTATGTGTTAGGACAGCAAAAAAAGTAGTCGCTAACAACTGGCAACTTTGCAAGACGGTTGGGAAAATAATGTGAGAATACCAAACAGAAAAATTCAATTTGCTAATATATAATTATTTTGTTTAAATTTTAAAATCAAGATATTAAATATTGGCCAATTAAAGGTAAATATATTTTAAAACTTTGGCAGATGAAAATTAAAATGTTTTCTTTTTAAAGTTTTTTTAAACATAAGTTTAATCAACTGTAATAACATTATTATATTTATTAAAGAAATTATCATGAAATTTGCGGAAAACCAAATTAAAATATTTTTCGACATGCAGATCTCGAAATTACTAAATTTAACAATGCATAAAAACAATTTTCACCTTCTAAAAACTGAAGAACATGTTTTGGATATAATAGAGAGGAAGAATTCAAATGATAACCTGAGTGTCTGCCATAACTATGTAGTTCAAACATAAATTGCATAAAAAATTACTAAACTGACACAATTTGCATTAAAAAAATTGGTAAATTCCTTTAAAAAAGTAAATTTTACATATAAAATCATAAAACTAAAACTTGTTTTGTAAATATAATAAACAAAAATTTGTAAATCTTGATAAATATATACCATAATGGATCTTCAGTCAAAAAATATTTCACACTGATATGAATAACTTGGAAAGTCACATTTTTAACCAAATTATAAAAGTTTCTACAAGTTGCATTTTTACAATTTTCAGATATATTATTCTTATAATTAGGTATTCTTGAAAATCAAAAAATGCACAGATAAATATTCCATAGATTCTAAAATATTTTTCATAAAGCTTTCATTCATTTCCTAAAGGTGTAAACAAATTACAACAATCAATTTACATTAAAAGAGAAAAAATACATAATGAAAAAATTAACTGCTGCATCAACTATAGAAAACATGAAAGAAATATAAAATGTTTACTAATAAAGCCATTCTTTTTAGCTCGAAAGCCTATTAATTTCGTTTTGGCATTTTGCATTGAAATGTCAGTTCACTTTTCAAATTGTTGCCACCAAATATTATCGCATTGTGTTATATTTAAAGAAATTGAATAATGAAGAAGCTGCATAAATGTATGTATCTTTCTCACATTTAGATACAACAACAGTATGTAGGCCATCCAATTTTAAATAATGTACTCCTCCATGGAATATGGGCATCTGGAAGCCCTAATTTGAAATTTGTTTTATTATCGATTTCATAATTTGTTATGGTTTAATGAATGTTTGATGTACAAACTCAATGGTTTGAAAACAAGCCATGGCAACACTGCACGAGGGGGGGACATTTCTATCTCTAGTGGTTGAGACTGTGTATCAAAAATTCTAAAAATATGCTCATTTTTAAATTATTTTCGATACTGCTGTTGAATGGAATTTTATGGTTTAATTAAATGCAAAGAACATGATATTTAATAAATAAAGGTAACACACAAAACGTTAAAAAAATGCCCCTTTTGGGCATAATGTAAAATCTGAAGGCTTTTAGATTTTTTTTTTTTTTTTTTTTTTTTAAATTTAAAACTGATCATTTCTCTTTTAGCATGAATTTTTAAATAGGTATAAACTTTTAGCATAGGTAACAGCTTTTAATACCTAACTAAATGTCTAATAAATAATACAGTAAAATATGAACTATAAATTGATTTGTAAATTTTCAGATACCAGACGACAGGTCTTAAACGTCTCCATTTGAAAACTCTCTCATATTTGACATCACAGTTAATGGTACGTATCAGGAATAATAATAAATACTGATAGTAAAAGTCTAATCAACAAAACCAAACATGTTTAACAGTACAACTTTTTCTAAAATTGAGTTTTGCCTTAAGCAATGCATTTAATCAATCTTAATGCTTAGTACTTACTACACCATCAATGGCCATATAAAGTAGTCGCCGTGGTCTGACAATGCTAAATATTCTGTCAATATATTCAAATATCGCAATCATCATTTCTTCCTCATCCTTAGGTGCAGGTCTTTAAAAAATAAAGAACATAAATCATAAATTAATTTTATTGTAAATCCAGTTTATTCATGAATATTATCACGAAATAAAATCTTGAATGCATTACTTGTTTAACTGAAGGAAACAAAATTTTATTTACAGATAGAAGTGTTTGTTTAAAACGACAATAATATTGCTTGTGCACTTATATTTTTAGTCTCCACTGAACAAGTTTTTGTTTATCTAAGATGGTTACACTCTCAACTACCTCAGATAACCAAGGATCTATCTACTTTATTATGATGGTTAAATTACAATTTGATGATATTTTTCTGTTTAATTTATACATACAAAGAATCAAACAAATCCATAAAAAATATAAAATGGGTTTTAAGATATATCTGAAAGTCTGTATGCACAAACACACACATGTATATACTCTACTTTTCAAAGTATTCACTACTGAAATTGAGACACTTGTCATATTGTGGGATAAACTTTTATCATTTTCCTGTTGTAGAATTCTGTCACCTGGAATTAGAAACAGGCTGTACAGCTGTCTGCACCACTTCATCACTTTGTAAAAAATCCTCTCATTCTTGACTCCTAAGCACAGGCTTTCTTTTCAACATTTGCACTTCTACAGCTGAAGAAAAAGGTTCTATATCTAAACCTTCAAAACTAATCCTGCAAATTTATGAACATTATGCTAATTTTTGTTGCTTTAAATTTTTCAACAATTACAACACTATAGCTTCCCATCAAGATAGGTATACCATATCTGCCATCTTCACAAGAATAAAAACTGGAAGAAATTTGAAACAAATCCAAGAAAAAGCAAAAAATGAATTTAATGTAAGTGGGGAGAAGTACATATCTGAATATTTCGAAACAATTAGATAGTGAAAAGTATGAATCAGGACTCAGAGGGGCTAGTCCACAGAGCTTCCCCTGAAACAGGAAGTGAGGAATGGTGATATAGTCACACTGATACTGAGCAATGAGACAAAATTCACTGAAAAGAAATTAGCATTTTAAATTTAAAAAACCAGCCTTCAAATTAACTGCATGCGAAATATAATTACAGTTTGGAGAGACATTGTTACTGCTACATCAAAAATTTAAAAAGCTAATAATAATTCTTTATTAAATTTAAAATAACAGATAAAATATGCCACTCTTTTAACATAACGTTTCATTTCATTACAAGTTGCAGTTTTATTCCTATGTGCATTTATGCATAGTCTTTTCTTCATCTGCATTCTAACTGGAAGAATTTGATTACTTTTTTTAAGATAATTATGACAACAGCTTTTTAAATTTAGGTGAAAAAGCAACCTTAGATTCGTGTAATTTCAAACATGTAAGGCAGTACTTTTTCCCTGCTGCTAAAAAAGAGAAATTTACTTTTGACTGCCCTTGAAATCGGTAATTTTATTCAAAGTTAATCTAATCTAAAATTGCTTTTTTGCTTAATTATAAATTTTACACTGGGTGTGTTACTTTTCTGATTTTATATAATAACAGATATCTTTTAAATAATTTTCTAAGTTATATTTACATCTATACACATACACCATACTTAGATAAAAACGATTTGCAAGATTGTTGTCTTAGTTTGGCAAAATAACTTTACTCATAGCATGTAATGAGAATTTTTTAATTTTTCAAAAGAGGAGCTAAGAAAGTGTCTTTTATGCAAAATTACTTTGATGATTATAAATTACCTAAATTGCTCTGCTACCTTTGTGTTTTGAATTTTCAATTTTCGAATTTCGAATACAAAAGTTTTTCTAAATGATGTTTACTTATTTTTTATTGCAGAGCAAACATTCTAAAAAAAAATTTTTTTTTTTAAATTTTTCCTATATTTTAACAGTTTTATAAAAATATTGTTTTTTTTCCTTCAAATTATCAATACACACGTGTTTATCTTTACAGTTAGAGCAGTCAGGGATATTTACATTGTTATTTGGAGGTTCAATTTTAAAATCATTCATATTATCATTATTGTCACCATCATTTTCTTATTTGGCACCAAATGAATTTCCTTTGGCCTTCATTTGTGCAGGCTTTCGAAAGCACTCTGCATTATTTTTCTTTTCTTGGAATAGCATTGGGTTTTAACAGTTTCTTTTGCAGCAGTACAAGCAAGATTATTCATAATAACTGCACAGAATATGCTAGAGCTGTCTTGTTCAAATTTCAGCATCAAGTTAGTCAAAAATTTAAAAAAAAAAAACAATAATTTCAGCACTTGCTTGTTGAAGCAGCCACAGCATACTCTTTGACGACAACTGAATTCTGCATATAACAGATTAGTCGGCTGATCTTTGGAATATGGTAACAGGTAGTTTGGCGACATTTTGGAGGCGATAAAGGTTACTACCTAGGACTTTGGTAAAAATGTGAGAAGTACTCAGTTCCGATTATGCATTATTTGTATGAGGGAAATGAGAGATCATGGAATTGTCATGTGACATTAATGGACGAATACAGTTCTTAATCGGAAAAGGGGGGAATTTGGAAAAATATCGCAGTACTATAGTATTTTGTATTAAGCTCATTGTGTGTTGTGTGAAATAGTGTTGATATTTTTTCGGATTGCATGGCGCTATGTAAAGTGAATTCTAAATTTTAATGCGTTTATCTGATAATAATAATAAGTTGAGATTGTGTTAAAGGAAGGATATTACAGATAAGTTTGAAAGGCGGTGCAAGAAATCTGGTGAAATGGACATTTTGTGAAACGGAGTGTAAGGAATGGTACGTGGTTTGCTGAAAGTAGTTTGAGTATGGGTGATATTTTATTAATTTCTTATTACTGGGTGAATAGACTGCCAGTTGACTACTGGATTTTGGATTTAGAAATTAGCAGTAGTACTGTAGCCGATTGGAACTCTTTCTGTAGGGAAGTATGCGTGCCACTTAATGAAGATTCTGAGGAAGATTAGGTAAGTTAGTATTTTTAATCATTTGAGGATATTATTTTTATGCATTTTTCTAAATGTAAGGAGTAAATAAATTAATATGGTATTATTGGAAAATTGTTATTAGCAATGATTTTGTTTAAAGCAATTAGGATTGTAATCTAATTTTTATTAATTTAATGTATGTGCTTATTATATTTTAAGTAGTGTTTTTTATTTATATATTTAATTTAACGATCGTGATTTTGTGAGTTATATGTTTGTAGTATTTTGGAATATGTTTGAGTAGAATACGTTGAGTATTTTCATGCATTTTTCGTGAATTTTTTCTAATTTATGAGAAAAAAGCAGTGTACATGGATATAGTGAAGAGGTGGTGCAATGCCATTTTTGTGGCAATTCTGGGATGTTTTTTTAAGTAAAAATAGTCGACGTGTACATGGTTTAGTTATATTTTAATTAAATGATAGTTATTTTGTGAATTTTATGTTTGTAGCAATTTGGTATACATTTCAGTTGAAGTAAATGTGCATGGAAATAATTTAAATATTTGACACTAAGTATTTGTAACCATTTTTAATGTTTGCGGTAGAAATTCGTTGGTGACGTTTGTAACATAATAGATAATTTAGAGGTAAAAGTTTTTGGATATTTTATTTATTTTATACGTGGAAATGTTCATCCTTGGAAAGGGTATATAATTTTTTGCGATCAGGTACTTTCATATATGTTCTTTTTACCGGATTTAAAGATTCACAAAATTTTCATGCATTTTCATGAAATTTTTCTAATTTATGACAAAAAAGCAGTGTACATGGATATAGTGAAGAGTGTGCGCAATGCCATTTTGTGCATTCTGGGATGTTTTTTTAAGTAAAAATAAGTCGACGTGTACATGGTTTAGTGATATTTTAATTAATGATAGTTATTTTGTGAATTTATGTTTGTAGGAATTTGGTATACATTTCAGTTGAAGTAAATGTGCATGGAAATAATTTAAATATTTGACACTAAGTATTTGTAACTATTTTTAATGTTTGCAGTAAAAATTCGTTGGTGACATTTATAATATAATAGATAATTTAGAGGTAAAAGTTTTTGGATATTTTATTTATTTTATACGTGGAAATATTCATCGTTGGAAAGGGTATATACTCTTTCGCGATCAGGTAATTTCATATATGTGCCTTTTACCGAGTTTAAAGATTCAGAAAATTTTCCTGCATTTTCATGCAAATTTTTTTAATTTATGAGAAAATAGTGTAGATGGATAAAGTTAAGAGTGTGTACAATGCCATTTTTGTGCAATTCTGGGATGTTTTTTTAAGTAAAAATAAGTCGAAGTGTAAATGGTTTATGTGTATGTGCTATTCTGAAAAACACGCAAGGAGTTTGTGATTATGCACTTTTTCCCAATTTTGCAGTTAATATTTGTCATGATTAATCAGTTTTGTTACATAAAAATTTCTAGCATAAGTGTAATTCGGCTAGTAGATTGTTGGAAAAAGTGTTAAGTAAATAAAAAGAAAAGAAACATGTCTTTACTTCGTGAAGACCAAATGTCGGCGAAAAAAAAATAGGGGGTTGCCGTAGTAGAGTTGGTAGCCAAATTTTCGCCAAAAAAACGCCAAGTTACCATAATGTAAAGATCAACCGATTGGTCTAATAAGTTTCCAATTTTTATTAAGTGCAAAGGTCAACAAGAAAGTATCACTGTTTAACAAGCAAGTGTCTCTTATTTAATAAAGAAGTATCACATTTTTCCTAAAAGCTATAAAAAATTCAAAAAGTTTGAAGAAATGGTACACCATACACAAAAATATGGCTTTTTTCACATTAATTTACAGTATATATTAATTTCTATTTAAAACTATCACAATATGATTTTTTTTTTCCTAATCTTATAGGTAAATCTTTCAAAACTCAACTAACTGCCATGCACTGAAATTAGGCCAATACAATTATAAAATAAAATACAACACAAAATTTATATTATCTTTTAATAGAACACAAGCTTATTTATTGAAATAAATGCTCTTACTTATTTTCAGGGTGACAACACGGATGTATTATTCCATTCATATCCAGGTAAAGGTTATCAAATTCTACATCGTTGGGATTTGGAAGTGATGTATCAACTGGAATCTTAACCCCATTAACAATTTTAGGCTGAAAGAAGTAGTATTATTAGAGCAGCCTTATATTAAATTCCTTTGAAATAAATTTATGAAATCTTAGTAATATTCAGTCTGTTTAAAACTAGTGTGCAATTCAAAAATAGCATATTTCTAAATGACCAACTTAAAAAATAATAAACTAAAATAGAATATATAATAGGGAAACTGATAACACTTCTTATGCTGTACAAGTCACTTAAAATAAAAGTTTACTTCTAACACTCAAAAATACGTTATCAAAGTCCAAAGCAATAAAAGTCTTTGAATGATTAAAAATTTTAGGCTAAAAAATTTATTTTTGGTATTCTTGTCAATCAATGATACTAAATGCTCTAAACTTTTAAAAATATAAGCACATTCAGGAAATGTTTTTAGCAAATGTATTAGTAAACTTAAGCTATGAATGTTGAAATGTAATGATTTTATTTTATTTCCGGTTGATCTTTACAATATGGTAACTGGTAGTTTGGCGACATTTTGGAGGCGATAAAGGTTACTACCTGGGACTTTGGTAATAATGTGAGCAGTACTCAGTTCCGATTACGCATTATTTTGTGTGAGGGAAATGAGAGATCATGGGATATGTCATGTGATATTAATGGACGAATTATGGTTCTTTAATCGGAAAAGGGGGGGAAATCGGGAAAAAATCTGGAATTTTGTATTTGGCTTTATTCTGTGTTGTGTGAAACAGTGTTGGTTAATTTTTGGATCCCATGGCCGTAACTAAAGTGAATTCGAAATGGGTATTTAGTGGTATTGAAAAGGGTAGTAATAAATGTTTGTTTAAGGTTGTGCGAGATAGAAATAAAGATGTTTTATTAAAATAGTTATTTTACCTGGTACCTTGCTGTGAAATATAAGTATGATTTTAAAGATCCTGAAACGAAAGAAGAAAGTTTATCGGACACGTAATCAAGATTCTGAAGAAGATTAGGTAAGTTAGTATTTTTAATTATTTGAGGATTTATTTTATGCATTGTTCTAAAGTAAGGTGGAAAGGAATTTGGTATTGTTGGGAAAATTGTTATTAGCAATGATTTAGTTTAAAGTAATTAGGATTTGTAAGGTAATTTTTATTAATTTAATATATGTGCTCATTTAATATTTTAAGTAGTGTTTTTTAATTTAATTATATTTAATGAAATGATAGTTATTTGTAAATTTTATGTTTGTAGGAATTTGGTACACGTTTTAGTTGAAGTAAACGTGCATGGAAATAATTTAAATATCTGGACACTAAGTATTTGTAATGGTTGCGGTATGAATTCGTTGGTGACGTTTATATATATAATAGATGATTTAGAGGTAAAAGTTTTTGGATATTTATTTATTTTATATGTGGAAATGTTCATATTTGGAAAGGGTAAATACTTTTTCGCGATCAGGTAATTTCATATATGTTTTCTTTTTACCGGGTTTAAAGATTGAGAAAATTGTCATGTATTTTCGTGAAATTTTTCTAATTTATGAGAAAAAAGCAGTGTACATGGATATAGTGAGAGTGTGGCAATGCCATTTTTGTGCAATTCTGGGATGTTTTTTTAAGTAAAAATAAGTCGGCGTGTACATGGTTTATTGTGTATGTGTATATTTTTGAAAACGTGTAAGGAGTATGGTGTTTGTGCACTTTTTCCCAATTTTGCAGTGAATATTTGTCATGATTAAGCAGTTTTGTTTGATAAAATTTCTAGCATAAGTGTAATTCGGCTAGTAGATTGTTGGAAGAAGTGTTCAGTAGATAAAAAGAAAAGAAACATGTCTTTACTTCGTGAAGACAAAATGGCGGCGGGGAAAAAAAATAGAGGGTTGCTGTAGGAGAGTTGGTTGCCAAATTTACACCAAAAATTAGCCAAGTTACCATAATGTAAAGATCAACCTTATTTCCTTTTAGTTAAACTAAATGTTACTCAAAAACATGCAAAAGCTAAAAGTATTGTATAAATTCTATCAAAAATTTTTGCAAAGAATCTAATGCTACTTTAAAAAATGAAGATGTTTTTAGATGATGCTACATTTAGAAAATTTCAAAAATCTGTAAAATTTGAGGACATATATGGCTTGATTGACACACAGCGAGCATGGAGATAAATTTTGGGATAATTTTGAGGTAGCAGAAAAATGATTCTAGTCCCTGTGGTGAAGATTTAAGAAGAATACGAAGTTTTATGAGCAACAAAGTTATGAAAGATCAACAGTTACAAGAAGGAATTGGGAACTAATATTTAAGACCTGAAAATGAAAAAGATGACTTTTTACCACAAGACTTAAAGATGTCTTCAACACATCATCACATGCTTAAGGCATACTGATATTAAATGGTTGTTTAGAATCAGATATTTCTTTCCATTTGAAACCTGTTTCACAACTTTTAAAATAATGTAAATTTTAAAATGAAATTCTGATGAAAGAACTATTTTAAATGGAACTTAAAATGATGTAAATTGTAAAATGAAATAAGATGGCTTTGGAAAATTTAGGTGTGGCTCTAGAGAACATTCGTGACTTCCAACACAAGGATCTTAGTAACGTTAAGTTTGGCCACCTCTGCTATATGCACTGGATAACTACTAGAGCCAGTGGTGCATAATTTTTTTAATTTACAGAGATACCAAGTGGGGGAAAAAAACTAGCACCGGTCCTGTATGCACATAAACTGTAATGCTGATTATTCAGAATTAAATATATAAAAAAATGCTGTTTGAAACCTAGCTGAATAGATAAAAAACAAAACAAAAAATAAATAAACAAAATAAAAGAGAAAAAGAAAAGATGGAGCATATCTCACACGATATACGATAACTACATACTTTTTCCTCAATGCAGTGAACTACAATTGAAGGATATTTCCTGCTTAACCATCGAAAGAAAGCTGGAACTCCCATGCTGCTAGCTATTTAAAAATTTCAGTAATTCTAAAAGATAAAAAAATTATACATATATAATTATTTCAAATAAACAAAACAAAAAACATAAATTTTCACAATAAAGGGGAATCTGTTTTAATACCAGCTCAAGAATCAATGAAAAATAAATTTAACAAATATTTTAAAGACTGGATGCAAAAAATATATTTTTCAGTACTATTCGGTTTCGAGGGCCGTAAAAAATCGCAAAACTATTGCTGATGCCAATGCTGCCAAAAATAATTGCGGCAAGAAAGGAAGAATAATAGTAAATAACTATATAAGATTGATGTTTTAATTTAGATGAAAGGTTAATTTCAAATAATACTTTTTTATTATTATAATTTATATGAAAAAGGCTAAACATGACTGAATGGAAGCAAAAGAGTAAATAGCTATTTCAGATCATTATTATAATTTATATAAAAAAGGCTAAACATAACTGAATGAATTCCTGCATCACTATTTCGCTACTGAGTTATCGCTGAAGCATAATTTGATCTCGGTTTGTTGTTCAAACGTAATTTTCTATAATGAATGATGCCTTTTCTTTGAAAATATTCTCGGTAAAGTGCAGAATCGCTCACTTATTTGTTTGCTGCTTTTTACAAGGGTAAAAATAATTGGATTTTTGTCAATTTTCTTTTACTTTTTAAGTGAAAATAGGTCGATGTGTACATAGATAAAGTCAAGGGTGTGCGCAGTGCCATTTTTGTGCAATTCTAGAATTTTTTGAAGTGAAAATAGGTCGATGTGCGCATGGATACTGAGTATGTGCAGTTCTTAAAAACTCGTCAAGCAGTGGATGATTCTGCACTTTACCAAAAATTATATTACCGACTTTTTGTCATGGGCAATTCCCAAATTGTTAAATCCATAGGATATATATATATATATATATATATATATATATATATAAAAAAAAAAAAAAAAAAAAGATTTAAAAATTAAACTAGTATTTCAATGCCGTCTTAAGAAATATATAACTATATAAATTTACGCAATGTGAAATCAGCGCGTACCTAGATTTGGCGCATTGTTAAATGGACGTGTGTGCTAGATTTGGTACTTTAGTGCATACATTTTCACTGCAATTTTTTTTACGGCCCTTAAAACAGAATAGTACCAATTTTTCTAAATATCACATTGGTTCTTGAAGCATTAATAAATAAGCTAAATTATTTCACCTTTTTTTTTTTTTTTTTTTTTTTTTTATGTGTGTATGTATACGTCAGTGGCATGCTATGTTTTTTACCGAAGGAGGCCAATGGCATGCTGTGTTTTTTATGGTAGGGGACTCGATATGAAGAAAAAAATTATAGGCCTCTCTAAGACAACTATATATAGACAGAGGTGATGGTTGTGAAAAAATATCAATAATGGTAGAAAATAACAGAGTTATAATAAATGCTGATTAAAATAAAAATATTCAGAAAGCTTTAATTTGACAGAGATTAGTAAAAAAATTAGTTAGATTAATCCCAATATGAATGTTACTATCCAAAGTATGTTTAAAATGAATGCAATAAGTTGTAGCTAATTCCACCAAAATTTGTCATTTTACTCGATTAAACATGCATCATATCTAGCTATTTTTTTCCTTGTTCTATCATAGCATATCATATACGACAACTGTATTTTCAGCATTTAGTGAATAATAGAGTCAGTAGCTCTCTTTCTTTAAATTATGACATGCAAGCCAGATTGACTGAGCTTTGTTTTAAATTTGCTAATTGTAAAGTGTTATTTCTGTAAAATAGATAAATAATTAAGATCTTTGCACAGAACAGAAACTACTTGTGGCAAATAGTTCCCACCCTCCCAATGGTGGGCCCTCAGCCGACTTAACGCTTGGCCAGAACTAAAGTCAGAACTGGTGGTCACTTTATTTTGGAGACATGCAATAGGTGCATCATTTTTGCTTCCTATGAAGGGACGGAGAGTTACAACCATGCCTTCTCCAGAATTCAAACCTGGGACCTTTAGTATCGCAGTCGGCTTCCCTAACCACTATACCATCTGGGCAGCAAGTGATAATGCACTTTGCAAGTTTCAGGAGACCACCTATTTAAAATAAGCTTGAAAATTCACAAGGATGAATGGCTTCAAGGACATGTATAACTGTCTAATACTTTTGACACAAATAAACTCAGTTTCGGATAACCAAACAGTTCCATAACTATTTTCAAAACATCTGACGAAACTGATCAATGCTCAATACACTGAAAAAGTTAGATTTCTGGATATCGTGTTCTTCGATTTTTCATTTCTTGTTTTATATATTATATCTCATCATTTGGTTATCAAATTGCATATGGATACCTTCATCAACATAATTTAGAGTACGATCATAGTATAGAAATACAGTACCCAATTGACAAAACTAAAGAAATACATGATGTTGAGATTTTGCGTATCTTTGACACTGAATTTTGCACAACACGTAAAACATTTGCACTATAGCAAGTCAATAACATAGTAAATTTGCTAATATAAGACACCTTAATTAAAGGAATTTACACCAAATTTACCATAAATAACGAAGGAAATACATATCAGATCAATAAAAAAAAATTATGTGTTACGATGAGATGGAGTAAACAAACTTTCAAAATCATGCTAAAAATCACAGCACGCGCTTCTTAGGATAATGGAAATAATTTCCTCATTTGACAGAGATTTTTCTTATCTTAACACATACTTAAATTTTGAAAAGTACATACTTTCTGATCTTTCTATGTAGGAGCCAGGTTTTAAAGTATTCTTCTACTGGTAACACTTTCTAAACAACAAGTTTTTAATCACACAGCTTCGTTTTTATGGTTTACAGTTTAAGACTTAAAAAATCATGGTATTTGAAAACAGCCTATTTCCGGTTTATATCTATAGCATGTAAATTTTACCAGCAAACACCATGCAAGATAGGCCACCTGCTGCTGAAATGCTGTGCTGTGTTAATTATTGTCAGAAATCAATATACATATTTACAATTCCATGAATGCTAAAAATTTTTTATGTTTTAGGTGATGATTTACACAGTTTTTAGTGGCAACATTGTTTGTCAAAAGAAAAAGATTTTTTTTCGTTGTTCTTGTCGAAACGGTGAAGTGTAAATGCTTGGAGTTATTATTTTGATGTTTAAATAAAATGAAAGAATATTAAAATTCGGTAGATTTTATTGAGCCTCCCAACCGGAACAGTGGTTAGCGTCGCTGACTGCCGTGCCGAAGTGTCTGGGTTCGAATCCAGGAGAAGGCAGGTTTCCTGGCTTGAATCCCGGAGAATGCTTGTACATGCATAGTGTCGATGCGGCAAGGCGGCACTCTAAATATGCGGGTAGACGAAAGTTCGGTTTGGTGGAAGAGGAGAGGAGTGGGAGACCCTTGGACCCGTCCATCCGGGGTTCTCTCCTTCGAAATTGGGGGTGGAACTGAACTAAATCGCACTATGACCTGAATAGTACTCAAGGTTTTTGCCAACGGCAGGCGTATTGTAGTGCTCCTTGCCAGGTGGAATATTGTGGGCTTGGGCTGATTACGTCAGACACGTGAGCGTAAGCAACAACAGATTACCGTATATACCCGCGTATAAGTCGATACCGCGTATAAGTCGATATCGCGTATAAGTCGACCCCCCACTTCGACATAAAAAATTCGTAGAAAATAAGAAACCCACGTATAAGTCGACCCCCCACTTCCGAAATCGATCGAGAAACTTCGAAAAAAAATTTTTTAAGTACTACATTTATTCAAAATCGTCTGAGAAAAAAAAAGTAAGTATACGATAAAAAATACTTTGGTAAATAAACAAAATCAAAATCCTTCAACGTCCGATTCATGGTCAGATTCTCCAAACATTTCATAGAACTCTTCTGTCGTCATTGGCTCGTCATCATACATATTTTCAGTCTCGAACTCTGTATTGTTACAATCACTAACGAAAGAACGACCGTAAAATGGTTTTCTTCTTGCGTAACGTAAAATCTATCTGCATTTTCCCTTTTTAAAAGTTAAAAGAAATATTCAAACTGTTCAGTTATTGCGTGGGCTATTTTTTTTAATTTTGGCGTGTAACTTTTTTATTGCTGGATATTTAAGTCATGAAATTACTTCAAGTAAGTGACTTATTTGATAAGTCGTTCAATTTGAGTGCGGGAAGAAAACAACTGCATTATATAAAGAAATTTTTGAACTTCCGATTCTTTTAATTTTTTATGGCTCCGCGTATAAGTCGACCTCCCACTTTGAAATCTTTTTTTTGTCCAAAATATCTCGACTTATACGCGGGTATATACGGTATATCAAATTCTTGAAAAGTGGTGTCCCGTTGACGTGATAAAAAGGTACATTTTGTTCTTGTTTGAAAATATTTAAAATGAATAAAGTGTGTCAACAACGCAAAATCGTTCTTTGTTCCTTCACTTAATTGCACAATATAGAAGATATTAGTCAAATTTTAGAAGCTATGATTGTGAAACCTTGAAATTAAAATGTGAAGAGCTTCAAAAATGAAATCGTGAGTCTATAGAGCTAATGACAATACTACGCATGAAAAGTTAGAAAACGAAAATCATTTGATGAATATAATAATTAGCTAAAGAACTTTTATGATAAACATTTTAAAGAAAGGATCTTGGAGATACAGCCAAACAACCAAAGTCTTCATTTTTATGTAGACAATTATATTACGTAGGTGGATTCAGAAGAAGAATACAACCACACAGCTAACGAATAAAGCAAGTTTTGAGTTAAGAGGTTGAGATTATGCGAAACATAAATTGACTACTTCAGGACAAATATGAAGACCTGTTGTTTTGTAATGTAGATCAGATTGGTTATTCAGAGTCCAGTAACAAGAAGAATCATCTTATGAATTACGCATACAGTATTTGCCACAATAGGATTCTTTGTCCGGTAACCCTTGTGCCAAACATGAAGTTGAAAAGCAAAGTTAAGCTGGGATTTTGAAGTGGCTGCGGACACATAGAAAAAGTTCTGCAATTGTTGAAAGAATTGGCATTATTGCATTTTTTTGGTATTAGCAGATTTTCACAGTTCCAGCGATAAACTCCCAATTTTTCTCCTATCGCTGTGTGATCCGGATCATATTGTTCGAGGGAGAAGGTGTTCCCCCCCCCTCGACCGTGCCATGTGCTTTGTAGTAGGGTTAACTACGGCACCTTTGGTACCTTCTATTACCTCGCGCTACTTGGAATATAGTTACTTGTGTTTATATTGTTCAATTATTGTTGTAGTTGTACTTGTGTTTTAGTGTTTGTGAGTGTCTGTGCTTGCATTTTCGCTATGGAGGATAACGACTGTGCTGAAATTTAGGACTGTGAGTCCAATGACTTAGACAATGATTGTGATATAACTCCTGTTTTGAAGGATTTACTTCTAAAGGACGTGCTTGCTAAGAAAACTTATGATGAGGTGAACTTACTGGACTTCCTCAAGAACTCCATTAGTTTCGAAGATGTCAATGTTTTGTCATCTTTGCAATGGACAATTATCCAATGCAAACATGACAATTCTCCTTGCAATGTACAATTACCTTAAGGAGAATTCTGATATGGACGTCAATGTGAATTGTGAGATGGTGTGCTCCCAGGTCAAAGAAATAAATGCGCAGCTGATAAGATTAAAGAGCAAGTGTGAGGTTTTTAGGGTTCATAATAAATCTGTATTATGTGAAACCATGTTAAAAATTCTAATGTTCTTAGCGCTGATTATGTTATTTGTAATGTGCCTAGTACAAGTAAGGATAATTTTAATAGTGATGTGTTTCTACCTAGTTGTAGTAAAGCTCCCGCAGTTGAAAATTTAAAAATATCAAATATTCAGATGTCGTAAAAAGTGGAATAAACATTGGCAATGTGAGTGTGACTAGTGTTTATACAAATGTTAAAATGAAAAAACGTACAAATACAGCAGATATTAAGGACGGATTTACCTCACCTCGGAGGACCGCCCGACCCCAAAAAGGTCAGTAAACAATTTTTAATGTTGATGTCAGTAATAAATTCGATGTACTTTGTAAATTTATTGCCAACGTTGATAATAAGGCTATTTGCAAGGTAATGTGCCATCCCGCGCGGTAGCTCCACTTACGAGGATTAAGCCTATTATGGTAATGCAACTGTGGCGGTGAACATGCCGACAGTTGTGCAGGTGCCCCCCAAATCCAACGAATATACGTAAAAATACGTTCAGATAAACAGTAGTTCCCATTGCAATGTCATCTGAAAGGGTACAAAACGCGTTCCTTTTTTTCTGTCTTTTTAAGTGAACTTTGCATGAGCCTGATACAACTTCGTTCTGAAGATAGCGTGTCCAAGTTAGGCCATAAATCTCCTCTTTTCTTTTTTGCCGCATTTTGGGGATTGAAAAACAAGGAGAGACAAGTCTCTATCGAGAGTGAGGATCGTCTTGGAAGTAAGGCAATACCTTTCAAATCTACAAGCCGGTATGGGGGAAACGGTGTAGTGATTAATGAGTGGGTACGTATCCAGGAACACATTCAAACTGAAAGAAAAAAGTATATTGATTCCTAAATGAAATTGTCTCTGTTACAAACAATAGTGCGCTCAGAAACTAATTTTAATTTTCAGTATCTCCAGACAAAATCACAAAGAGAGGCTGCGTGTGATTTAAAGAGTGGTAGACTGTTGTTCTAGACCAGTGGTTTTCAAGCTTTGTCGATTCATGAAACCCTCATAGCTATAAGATTTTTTCGGGAAACCTCTTCTAACCATTAGAAAAATACATCATAAAATACAGTATGTTACGGGTACTTTATTTGAAAATGATTATAGAAAAGTATTGTATTTTTATTAGAGTATTTTAGCATAAAATTACTGTAATTTTCTCTTTAATAGCATTAAAACGTGCTCTAGATCTCATCTACCACCGGGTTATATTTAACGACTGAACTGTACTAGATTTTGTTTTAACACAGACTGTCGAAGTCTAGCTTTATTGGTGTTATTTCCAGTCACATTACATATTCTGCATTTAATTTGTTTGTATATTCTTCTCTGCCACATACGTTGAAAAAGATATTTCATTTAAATGTGTTGTTCCTAATGGCATTAAGATTTTATAGGTATGTGAGAGACTTCTAGTTATTCTTCAGGAATCTACAAGCAAACATTTAGGAGCTGCTCTTGCTCAAATTTGGATTTTAATGTCGAATCTGTTGAAATGCCGATAAGTTGTTTCATTATTGTGTTACTTGAATGGATTTCTTTTCCAGTTATACTTACAAGGTATTTCTCTCAACTTCTTCGCATGCCTTCGTGGTGTAATGGTCAGCACACTCGACGCGTATTCGGGATGTCGAAGGCATTACAGATTTTTTTCAGTTTCCTCACATCGAAAAACTCTACAGTGCCACCCGAACTGAAAGTGATTGGGGCTGATGATTCTCTCCCACCAAGATTTGGCGTTTGGGTTCCCTAATTCCCAGTGACCCTTTAAAAAGGGAGTATTTATGGTCTTTCTGCCACCTTCTTAGCATGTCCTTAATGGTGAAATGGTCAGCACACTCGGCATGTATTCGAGAGGTCCAAGGTTAGAAGCCCGGCGAGGGCATTGCTCATTTTTCACGTCTCTCAGCATGAAAAATCCTAATTTCTCTACATACTTAGTTTTTGCTTCTTGAAAATATTCTTTTATAGTCTTTTTCATTTGAAAAATGTGCTTCATTGTACAATTTTTAACACTGTCGTCTAAATTCAATTCATTTTCCATTACCAAACTGTTTATTTTTAGATTCATTAGGATTTTTGAAACAGGAGACATGAAAAATCAGCAATGCCCTCACCGGAACTCAAACCCGAATATTTCCAATATGTGCCGAGT